TGAGCCTCTCGAGATGCTCTTCAAAGGTGGAACCGAGAACGATGATATCGTCGAGATAAAGGATTAAGGTTTTCCATTGCAAACCTTTCATGAGAAGCTCCATACCCCGCTCGAACGTGCTCGGGGCATTGCATAATCCAAACGGCATCGTGATGTACTCGTAATGTCCGCTTCTAGTGCTAAATGCCGTCTTCTGCTGGTCCTCCTCCTTTAGTTCTATTTGCCAGTATCCGGATTGTAAATCTAAAGTGCTAAAGATTTTAGCACCTCCTATGCAATCAAGACAGTCCTCTATACGAGGAAGTGGATAAGCATCTTTCGTCGTCACTTCATTTAATTTGCGATAATCTACGCATGGCCTTGTTGATCCATCTCGTTTCCTTACATACACCAGCGGGCTCGACCAGGCGCTCGTGGATTCGCGGATAACCCCTGATCGCAACTGTGTCTGAATTATCTCCTCCTCTTCTTCCACAAAAGCTCGAGGCGGGCGTCTTGGCCTCTGCTTAATGGGTGAGGCATTACCTGTGTCGATTGCATGCTTAACCAATGATGTTCGTCCTAAGTCATTTGGAGAAACTGCAAATGTCGATTTATGCTTATCGAGTAGCTCAGCTAATTTGTCCCTCTCATGTGTCGATGACAACTCTCCGCAGCTCCGATTATACAACGACTTTAAGTCTTCAGACCAATCCTCAAACCTAGGTTTCCCTGATGCAGAGCTACCTTTTACAACATTAATATTTCGAGGAAGAGGCTTAGCTCCATCACTACCTTCATGGTACACTTTGTCTATAAGCTGTAGGTTTGCGAGCTTGGTTCCGGCATGCACATGAATATCCACCCCAAGTGTGTTGGCTACGCGTACAGGCAAATCGATATCATTCCTATTGATATCGATCACGCAGCTGGCTACATGGATTGGTTGTAATGTTTCTCCGCTATTCATGGGTTCAATCAATCCGTATGGAAGATCGCCTTTTAGTTTAGTGACATTAGCACTGCCGGCGATGATGAATTCAGAGTTAGCAGGGATAATGACGTCACGCTTGGCTATCACATTACAGCTCAAGTCAGAAATAATTTCGCATTGAAACAAGCGATCATTCAAACGAAGCCCACGTCTAGGTTCAAGAATAAAGTTAAAGTGGTGCATGAAGTCAAATCCGAGAAGGCCCTCGTCACTTATATCAGCCACGAAGACATTCCACTTGAATGTCATGTCCTCAAGTGTGATGTCGAGATCAATAGTCCCATAGATATGTAGTATTTCATCATTCGCTGCTTGAAGTTGAATGTCCTCTGTCGGCTCGTTAAGATGTTTACGCAAATCTATGTCTATACCTTCGTAAACTTTAGAGGAAATAACAGTCACTGCTGCGCCCGAGTCGACCAAAAATTTAGCGTTTGCACCATGAACATTTGCTCCAATAAAAGCCGAAAGCCCTGTACTTTTGACGAGTTTAATTATTCTCGATGCATTACTCACTGTAGTTTTAAGGGCCGAAACCTGGTCGATTGGATCGGCCCCAGCTAGTTTCCCGCCTCGACATTATTTACGGATGGTAAGGGGTTGGCCTGTCGTTGATGCATAGGCTGCGGATGTTGTACATGTTGTTGATGCTGTGGTGGTGGTGGTGCCTGTGGTACCCACATTTGCTGCTGTGTCTTTGGCTGGGGCTGGGGCGGCACAAACTGTGGAGGTGCCCAGGCTTGTGGGACGAATGGTTGTTGTTGTTGATAGCGGCGGTTGTCATAACGAGGATTAGGGCAGTTCCTAGCTAAATGCCCCTCCCTATCACACTCGTAACATCTGTTGTGCATGGGTCTACCACCTCGAGGTTGACGTCCTCTGTCATCATTCCCTCGCCTACCTTGCCGTCTATCTCCCGTTGTATTGGCATCTCTCGAATTTCTTTCAGCCTGATCCTTTAAGAGGGATGAGAGTGTGTTCAGTCTTTCGTCAATGGACATAACGCGACGTTCAAAATCAGCAAGCCGGCCTTCGGTAACGCTAACCGATTGCGAGGATGACAGGGCCCTAATCGGCCGGTAGGCATTGGGGCTACTCTCCTCTCGCAGATTGAAATACCGCTCGGCTATCTCACGGGCCTCTTGCAGGGATTTAGGTTCGTGCATTCCCACTGTTAATGTCATGTTTTGGTCTCCGATTCCTCGTAGAAAATGTCTTGTGCTGATGGTTTCTATTGTGTCGACGTCGGCACTCGGATAACCGAAAGTTGTCAGTCTTCTTACGTCGGCGGCATAATCGGCAATAGTCTCCTTCGGTCCAAGACGCCTTGCCTCCAACTGGGAGACGAATGAGGCCGGTGTTTTCCTATTTTCGAATCGCTCATTTAGCGCCGCTACCAGGTTATCGAAGTCCCCTGTGACGTCAGAGGAGAGTTGTTGGAAAGCGAAGTCTGCTGCATTACCTCGCAAGCAAGCCAGTATTCGAAATCGTTTTTCGTTTTTGTTCCATCCACACGCTTCTGCAATGTTCTGGAACGAAAAGATGAAGCTTTCCCACGGGCGTGTTCCATCAAAATGTTCCTGATGGGGTAGCTGAATAGCAGCCCTTGGTTGAGCGGGGCTGCGAATTTGAACCTCCTCTTCCAAAGGTTGTGCATCTGTCTCGCTAGAGTGTTGAATTTGAAGTCGTGCTTCATCAAGCTCCAATTGGAGCTCCCTGATCTCCTGTTCTAAATCTGTTTTTCTACGCCTCCTTGCCATTTCGATTAGCGTGTTGAAGTCCAAAATCCCACCGCTGCCACCAGTGTAACGAAATTTGATTACAAGTGTTTAATTCAGACTGCTCTCGTTCAGTTCTCGCTCAATATCTCTCTCACTCGAGCTCATGCGTGTATGCAATATAAATTCAACAGAAGAAATGGAGTATTCGTGAGTTTCAGTTCCATTCGATGTTTATTACTTCAAATAATGACAACTTGGTATACAGTCAGGTTCAGTGAATTACGAAAAACGGCAGAAAGGAGTACGAGGAGAAGTCTCAAGAAGTCAGTCCGAACTCTCTCGATTTTAGAATCCCTGGCTTTATATAGGGAGCTGTTTTGTAGCAGCAAGGACACAACCCGACCTCGAGCTAAAGGGCAGAGTCTGTCCTCAAACTGAGGACAAAGTCTGGCCTCCGCTCGGGGTCAGTCGGAGGCCGCACGCGACTGAGTATCTGTCCTTGCCGTTACGTAAGACGAGGACAGATTCTCTAGACGAGCGTGGCCCTGGGCTTACGCAATCGAACTGCAAGAATTACTCGAGGACGAAAAACAACGTCGTAAATCTACCGAAGGACAAGTTTGACTTGCACAGCAAGCAATAATATTATAGCGAAATAATAATGGACTATGCACATGATACAGACATATATCTAAATTCGTAACAGTATTTTAAGGTCTTTAACCTACCGTAGTTTGCACATACATGATTGATACACATTTACACCCCTTTTGCAAACTTGTTTTGAAGATGTGCACCAAGCATTGAATAGGTTTGTGTACATTATAAAACTCCACCAAATCGAATGGGTGTGTGGGACTGGGATTTAAAAAATAAATACTTGATGTATGGCAAGAAAGTAAGAAACCCACAAAACGTTTTTTCTTCTATCTATGGTAATATTTACCGGTAGGCCAATGAGAGATGAAATTTGGGTTTCATCTTCGGATGTCAAGTTTGGCCTTTTAGATTTTGTCTCCAGTCAAAGATTAGATTCTCTCATCATTGTGACACTTTCAATCACTTTACAACCTTTCACCTTACACTTTCTCCAGAATACTTGAGAAGGCATAAGTATTTGACAGTCACCCTTTCCACACCTCTCTCCCTCTCTTTCCTTTTTTCTCCCTCTCCTTCCCCCTCCCTTCTCATCTATCTTCCTCTCTCTACCCCCTCTCTCCATCTCCCTCCTTATCTATGTCTTTCCATCTTTCTCTCCTGCCCCCCCCTCTCTTTCTCCATTTACTACATGGCATGCCATGATTGTTGATATGGAGTGTGGCAAATGTAGATGAAAGTCTTGCGAAAGGATGCTAGAGCTGTGGCATGGATTTTCTAAATATCTCTCATCTGCAGTTTTACATAGCCCAACCTTGCTATGTAATTTTGCTGACGTCTTTCTTATAGACCTATCCTTTCTTTCTTTCTCTCTCTCTCTCTCCCCATCTGTGTACAGATTACTAAATGGTGTAATCTGTCGTGATGGTTGATGTCTTTATTACATTACATTACATGGTGCAACCTGTGCTGTCATAGTTGTTGATGTGTTTCTCACTCTCTCACTGATATGTTCACACGGGAGTGACGGGACTGTTGTAGTTTTTAACTTTTAAGTTTGCAAAACCTCAAAGTTTTAAACAACTATTCATTGACAATGGCTGGGGTTCACACTGGACCAAAACAGAGTATACAGAGTTTTAAACTACAATCTTGCCAAGCAGTCATTTTACTTACAAGTTGGTGTAACTGCAAAAGTAATTGCGTCCGTACGGCATGCAACCTGGAGTGAGATCCCCCTTGCTGCTCATAATTTTCGCGCTTACCATAGGCCTGCCCTCATCAGACCGAAGTTGCAAAATAATACGCTATTTTAACTAGCCTGATCTCAAATATGCCAGCTAATTTGCGTCTCCATCAGCCTTCAGTTGCAATTAGCGGCTATTTGGTCAAGAAAATATCCCGAGAGATCTTGGTCTTGTTTCCAAAATAGCCCGCTATTTCGCGCCGGTTCGAGCTCATTTGTGATGAGCGTATCGGTCTGGTGACGACGCATTTTCGCGCTTGGGGAAAATATCCCGAGTCTGAAAATAGTGTTTTTTTTTCTTCCAACTTCAGTCTGATGATGACAGGCCTCATAAGATCACTTGCGGTTGATAGCATTGAGTAAACTTCAAGTGTCATAACCATGACCTCAACTTTAACTTTACGGTCTGCCGTGTAAACCTTACCATTCATGATACAATCTCTTTCTCTCCATCTGTCTACAGAATACTACATGGCGCAACCTTTGCCCTCCTCCGGTGTCATACCTGTCATGCAGGTCTTCTGTCCTACAGCAGTCAGGGACCCCTTTGGTCTCCCGGACCACCCAAATTCAGAGTAAGTATCTGTCCTTCAAATTGACAATACAACCATTTCCTAAAGATTTAAAATGTGAAGAAAAAAACAACAACTGAGAACATAACAACAAAACAGCATAACAATTGTGTACCTCTTGGTTTTAATTCTTCTACTTTTATTTCCGCTAATAAGTTTATTTTAAACCTGCTGCTGCTCTTTTACGTACAAAAATTGTCAAAAAGGCTACAGTATAATATCGGGAGTGATTAAGGGCAATTCCAAACTCATAAATTATTTCAACATAAATGCCAGACTACATCTAAAATTTCTGTTTATCTGGTGCCTGTATCAAGCTGATACCCCTACTATAGAACTTGAACTATAGAACTTGAAGCTGTCAAAACATAAAATCATGTCTTTTCATGTTTACGATTCCATAATTCATTTCAAGAATATCTAGTAATGTACACATACTTACACCTTGGACTTAAATAAATGTGGATAATATAGACATTTCAAGATCAAAAACAAATAGGAAATCATCAATTGATCATTCGTTCGTGTCTCCTTAGATCAAGATTCAAAATGTTGATGTTGTCACTGGGATAGTTAGGCCATTATATTAACAAAAGTTGATCTTTAACATGTATTGTGTTCTATATTCACTTCCTACCTTTTGATGGATCAAAGGCAAGCAGTACATGTATATCAAAATTTGATAAAACATTTCCTGATTCTACAGTAAATAAAGGAACTAACCATTTTGAGCATTTACAACTTATAGGCCTACATTGCCCAGGACAACAATAGTTCTGACAACCCTCTTCCTAATCTTGTATCCTGTAATTTCCTGTCTTTCCTTCTCTGTCAGGGTTATATCTTAAATTAGAACGAACTTTTATTTGTATGTGTGTGTGTTTGTGTTTGTGTTTGTTTGTTGGGGTGGGGGAGGGGGGGGGGGGGTCTGGTCCCCTACCAATTCTTGTTGTGACAGTAATGTGCACTTATGAAATATTACGTTTATCCCCAAATGATGTACGTTTTTTAAACTGAAGATGAGAGAAAGAAGATAAAAAGAAAGTAAACAAAACCTTTTAGGCTCAAACTTTAAAGGTAAAGACCAGTTATGGTCATGCGATTGCATTGTGAAAGAAACGTTGTGGAATCGATCAGAAAAGGTTGATCATCTAGCATCTAGCATCTGCAAGGTTCTGGAATCATCAAAATGATAAGAAATTTGGCCCACTCTTCGTAAAGTTACAAGCACTATACACAGAAAGATGTATATGGGACTACCCTATATCTCTTACAGACCATGAGAGAAACAAATTTACCAAATATATGAATTAGTAGGCGGTTTCCCGGCAAATTTGTTATCATCATGTATTAGTCAAAACATATTCTTTCACATGATTGGTAATAAGAGCTTCCATTTCATTTTTTGAAATTGGGGCGTTTCCAATACTGGTCTTTACCTTTAAAGGACATGTAACATGTACCTGGTACATGGTTCATGGTTTGAGTCCTGCTGTGGCACGTATGTCCTTTGGCAAGACATTAATCTACATTTGCCACTCTCCACCCAGATGCAGTAAATAGGTACCCGGTAGGAATTTATTCCTTGAATGCTTTAAAGCACCTTAGAGCAGCTGGGCTAAAGCCAGCCCTGGCAATAAACTAATGATACTACTTTGTACTTTTGAAGGTTCCTTTTACATCCCAGGGGTTAATGGATACATGCGCAATATAAATGTAGCTATTATTACTAGTAGCTAAATGGCCATCAATTCACACTATCACAAACATCAAAGGGTAATTTCAATTTCATTTTGTATATCCGAGGACCGATAGAAGGTGTGCCATGGTCTTGTAATACATCCTTTGCGACATTGGTATATAATTCCAGTGCCGGACAAGGCTCTACATCGCTTTAGATTGATTTTTACCGATCAACTATCAACTATATGTACCTTCTGGCTTTCAACAAATAATATAGTATTAATGACTGCTTTGAGAGAAATAGTTGTTTTATTACGCTCAAGGGAAGGTTAGAATAGCCCAATTCTAACCTTCCCGAGAGCGTATGAAAACAACTATTTCTCGAATATTAAAGCAGTCATTAATACTTTTATGTGCCGAAAAAAAATAGACTAAAAAATGAAAAATTAAAAATATTTATCATTTTTGTCGAAGACGGGATTCGAACTCTTGCGTACAACAAGAGGTGTACCGAAAACCAACGCTTAGACCACTCGGCTATGGCCCGCCGTTAACATGCTTGGCAGTTTTCTCCAATATATACATTAAAATGGATTGAAACCGGCTTCGCGTGTGATGAATGCTTCGCAAAAGCTCCATATACGGACTCTTCTTTTACTTTTGCAATGCATATTGGCACGAACTTAGATCAAGATCTATCGGCAGATGTTGTTTTTAATACTAGCAGTCATTAATACTTTTATATGCCGAAAAAAATAGACTAAAAAATGAAAAATGAAAAATATTTATCATTTTTGTCGAAGACGGGATTCGAACTCTTGCGTACAACAAAAGGTGTACCGAAAACCAACGCTTAGACCACTCGGCTATGGCCCGCCGTTAACATGATTGGCAGTTTTCTCCAATATATACATTAAAATGGATTGAAACCGGCTTCGCGTGTGATGAATGCTTCGCAAAAGCTCCATATACGGACTCTTCTTTTACTTTTGCAATGCATATTGGCACGAACTTAGATCAAGATCTATCGGCAGATGTTGTTTTTTTGTTTTTGGAAGTTTATTTTCGTCTTCATGTCAACAATGCAAGATAAAATTGTCGGTAAGATCGATCGAGATTCAATTGTATTGAAATTACCGACCAATCCTTCGCACACATACGGCATCCTCCATCGCTCAAACCATTTTTTAACATGTAAACCTATGGGGTAACCATGGACGCTGACCAACTTTTTTTAATAACCATGGTTATTAAAAATATTGAAATGTTTTATGCATGGTTACCGAGAATTTTACAGGAACAGTTGAAGTTTATGAATGCAATTCGACCAATCAGATGGCTGGATTTCTTAAGTGAGGTATATAATATACGCTTGGACCCCTTAAAGGGAAAGTCCACCCCCAAAATAAGTTTGTTTCGATAGAGGCAGAATAATAAGAAAATCAGGTGAGTGAAAGTTTGAGCAAATTCTGAATGAAAATAAGAAAGTTATGAATTATTGAAGTTGTGATCAATCAAATACAAATTGGCAACTCTGTGACTTATCATACGAGCTCTCCTTCATTTGCTTTGTGCATAATATTCCATAAAATCATGTTTTCTTCGCTATTGATGATGGAATATATATTTGTTCCTTGCAGGGGGAGTATAGAAACATATTTGCAATTATTATATTTAGGGTGCATGTATGGTTGAAATTTTTCTTGAGGGAAAATGAAAATTTGAGATTTTTTTAGTACTGAGCAAATGGAAGTTGAGCTCGCATGATACATCATAGTGTTGCCAATTTGTGTTTGATTGATCACAACTTCAAAAATCCTAACTTCCTTATTTTTAATCGGAATTTGCTCAAACTTTCACTGACTTGTTTCTCTCATTTTTCTACTCCTATTAAAACTAACTTAATTTCAGGGTGGACTTCCCCTTTAACAATGAAGGTGCAGTAATGTACAGGGATAAACATAACAAAGGCACAGGAAGTTGTCAGTTTTCAGAGGATGCATTTAACATGTTGTGTACATTGGAACTTCCACCCTCTCTGCCATCTAAAGATGTGAAAGGGGGAGTGTTACAGTACATTCATGTATGGATTTAGTTTTCTTGGTGTTAGATGTGCTTTGGTTTTGGTAAAATTTAGGTTGTGACAACATACATGTACCATGACCATGGCCTATATGTAATATTGGATGCATCCTGTATGGTTTGTCGAAAAGATAATTGGTGGTTAATAATTAATCAATGAAAGTATGAGATAGTGCATAGAAACTTTTACAACACAATGCAATAATTTCATTTATGTAATCCCCTTGCAAACTTCACTGTAACAGAATGTTTCACAGCACTATACATGTATATGAATACAAATGTTTGTATAGCAAAAGTACTTGGTCCATTGAAACTGTCTCTCTGATATTTATGGCTTTTCGCATGTTTTTAATTGATGTTACCTTTATAATTATGTGTTTAGGCAGTGTTTGGAGATTATTAACACAACTAGGGTTAGAACATGAATGTATATTTAGATGCCTATTAATGTTTGGTTGTGTTTTTATAATTAGGTTATGAAAACATACATGTACTTTCTTAGCAGTCAGGTACTAAAATAACCACCACTATATTGCTCTTACAAACTTGACTGCTGTTGCACAGTGCTTTCTGATAGTAATAAACTGCTTGTGTGTATATCGTTAAATACCTGTATTTGTAATTATGTGTTCAGCATTCCAAGAACAAGGAAACAACTAGGGTTACAGTACATAGACGTACATGTAAAGGATACATGAAAATGAAAGAACAGAATTCGGTTGGATTTGACATTTTGTTTTCATATTGGGCATCATTAGCGAAACATACATGTACATGTACCAGTAGTACAATAAATGTAATTATCATGCTTGCGGCATCTATTGATTGATGGGAAAGTTTGTATGATGTAGATTGTGATGTGATTTGAAGATACATGTATACAAATAAAATGATTACAATAATTATAAAAAGATTCATCAGTGTCACTTCAAATGGCTATAATGATTGCCTCTTGTGGTATACATGTACATGTATGTTGGTTATATATTTCCTTCTATAACTTACAGTATCTTAGTGGTTACCAATAAAATGATTACAATAATTATAAAAAGATTCATCAGTGTCACTTCAAATGGCTATAATGATTGCCTCTTGTGGTATACATGTATGTTGGTTATATATTTCCTTCTACAGTATAACTTACAGTATCTTAGTGGTTACCAATAAAATGATTACAATAATTATTAAAAGATTCATCAGTGTCACTTCAAATGGCTATAATGATTGCCTCTTGTGGTATACATGTATGTTGGTTATATATTTCCTTCTACAGTATAACTTACAGTATCTTAGTGGTTACCAATAAAATGATTACAATAATTATTAAAAGATTCATCAGTGTCACTTCAAATGGCTATAATGATTGCCTCTTGTGGTATACATGTATGTTGGTTATATATTTCCTTCTACAGTATAACTTACAGTATCTTAGTGGTTACCAATAAAATGATTACAATAATTATTAAAAGATTCATCAGTGTCACTTCAAATGGCTATAATGATTGCCTCTTGTGGTATACATGTATGTTGGTTATATATTTCCTTCTATAACTTACAGTATCTTACAGGTAACAAATCAAATAATTACAATAATAATGAAAAGATACATCAGTGTTACTTCAAATGGCTATATTTATTGCCTCTTAATTGTGGTATATTTAGGTTATATATTTCCTCATATAACTTACAGTAAATTAGAGGTTACGAATCAAATACAATGATAATGAAAAGATACACCAGTGTTACTTCAAATGGCTATAATGATTTCCTCTTGTGGTATATTTAGGTTATATTTCCTTCCATCCATAAGTTCGCTCTACATATAGAATCTGGAATATAGGAATAATTGATGAGGCAGTGCTTTCCTCTTTCTGTCACAAAAGCTATCATCATTATCATAATTGAAGCTATGTAGCATCGTCTAATGTTTCTTGGGGTGATCCGGTGTGCATACCAATTTATTCTTGTATAGATCATGCAGGCAATTATTACAGGCTGAATGTCATCCCGTTGGTTGCCTATTTGCAGATCTGTATTTCAATTATACGGACTTGCTGGTTCATTTCTTCCCCATGTTTATTGACCTTAATTCAGGCCGACAAGATTTCACTTTGCATGGTTACGTTTGGATCGAACCTTCATTACTATCTTTTAGTTTTTCTTACTGAGGGTTTATTATCTGTGCATGGCTAAGTTTTAGCCGTTCCTGTTTATAATTTTTCAAATGAGCTTGCCAAGGGATTTTTTTTCTCGTGGGGGCAGGGGTGGTGGATATTCTGAACATCCAATATCCATGTGATAGTTTGAAGGCAGGACTTTAAAAAAATGCATTCTGTATCAACAAGAGCATAACACTGTAGTTTCTTCAAAGGAATGGAGTTATCAAGAGTGTCCAATTTCATGATCAGCCAAGGCATTCAACACTCTGTAAATACAATTATACTTGTGCAAGCCAAGTTGCATATGAATTTCTGAAGAAGAAAAATGTAACACAAAATAAACATAATAATAATAACATAATGCGCTTTTATATAGCACTTGATACATCTACGATGTCCCTAAGCGCTTTGCAGATATACTATTACCCGGTCATTGGATTCAATACTTGTGTGCACAATCTCCACTCCCTGGGGAGCATTCCAGCCAGGCGTGACTTGACACTCAAAAACTGTTTGACCAACAATGACGGTCGCATCCTACCGGGTACCCATTTAACACCTGGGTGGAGAGTAGGAAGTGCAGGTTAATATCTTGCCAAAGGATATTAGGGATTTGAACCCTCGACCTTCGCATCTCCATCCAGTCAAGCGCCTTAACCACTCGGCAACGACACTCCTACATAACAAGTAGCAATCCAAATTGAAAACCAATTTTATCCTGCTTTGATCTTTTCCATCTTCAGGGTGACCATGTTTTTGGAGCAACTTGACCAGCTTGTGAACACCAACACCATCTTCACTCGCAAGTTTTCCATCAGTGATATCAGTCTTCTACCGGATGTCTTCCAGGACATCCTTAGGAACCAAGACTCGGTGGAGTACAAGTTTGCTTCAGCTGCAGGTGTGTATAGTCTTTTCTCTTTTTAATTTATATGTTTGTAAGAAAATAGTAAGAAAATGCCAGGGAGAGAGCTCTCTGTTGACAATTGAGTTACTATCAAAACTGGATGACAGTCCTGGAAATCATCAAAGACAAAGAATCTCAAAGATTAGGAAATCAAGACTCGGTGGAATACAAGTTTGCTTCAGCTGCAGGTGTGTGTATAGTCTTTTTCTCTTTTTTAAATTTCTATGTTTGTTAGAAAATAGCTTTGTTACAGATGGCTACTGTCTAGTATGCCCCCCCCCCCCCCAGCCCCAATAAAGGGGGAAAAGGGGAAAATAAGAAAAAGAAGAAGAAAAAGAAAAAGAAAGAAAACAAAAACACTTAAAAGGAATATAAGTATCAAATAGAGAAAACACACAAAAAGGGTATATTTGTATCAAATCAAGAAAATTTGACATTTAATTGACATTAAAATGCATAAGCAAAGAATATACAGGGCAGCTTGGAGCAATGTCTAAAAAAATAAAACAAATTACCTCAGAATTTTTTTCTTCCTTTCATAAATAGAATCTAAAAAAACATCGGAACAAGGTATCATTGTCTGACATTCTAAGAAACCACTGCTTTCAAAAGGATTTCATGTTTGGATAGACCTTCAGATATGTCAACATGTATATAGTCTGCATGGTAGGATACTGTTGCGTCTGCGAATAGTGTGTTTGCCTAAACTCTGTTCCCACTGATGGTAGATTTATCCAAATCTGTCTATCAGATATGTATCGCTATAAATTTGTGTGTAGTATCTGGGTAGAGATTCACATTTTGTGGGAGTGGGTACACACTCGTCTGCTGCTAGCAATAGAATTACATATTAGGCCTGTCTTCACTAGCTTGAGATTGCCAAATATCCCGATCGCAAACTATCTAGCTAATTTGCGTCTTCATCAGACCGAAGTAGCAATTAGAAGGATATTTGGTCAGGATTGTCATCCCAAGATATCTTGGGATAATTTGCAAAATATCCAGCTATTTGTCCCGTTCGTCTTCACTAGACCGAAGATTCGCAATACGCGCTAACGCTGAGCAAAATATCTCGAGCTAATTTCTCAAGGTTGAGTTTCAAGTTTCGATGTCGAATCTCGAGATAGTGAAGACGCGATTTGTTACTTCGGGATTATTTCCCAAATCAGAAATAGCGGGCTATTTGGCAATCTCGAGATTATGAGGACGCGCCTATTGGAAGTTGTCTGGGTTTCTTATTCAACCATACATTAATGCATAGATAATGCAATGAATAACTAGAAATGTGCTCCAATGAATTGAAATGACCATGTGTTGTGGTTGATTGATTGATTGGAGAAATACTAGTCGTTATGTTAGTTAATTTATTGTAAAATAACCTTCATGAGAAGAAAATTGCTCCATTTTGTCAAGAAGTATATAGCCAATTGTTGACTGAAATGGGGAAGGAACTGTATTGATGATGCTTCACTGAGTTGGGAGCTGTTGTTTGAAGATTGTTTTGATGCTTTCAATTTATTTCCATCGGAGTTCCAAACAGAAGTTACTTAAAAATACTCAATTTTTTTTCGTGTTTTTGCCCTTCGATTCTACTGAACCATTTTGTTTACTGCCTGTTTAATCAGATCTCTTTAGGCCTGTTTTCATCAGCTCCAGATTGCCAAAAAGCCCGCTTTTTCTGATTTGGGAAATAATCCAGAAATTACAAATCGCTTGAGATTTGACCTCGAAACTTGAAACTCGAGCTCGAGAAATTAGCTTGAGATATTTTGCTGAGCGTTCGTGCACAGTGCGAGTCTTCGGGGCTGGTGAGGACGCACCAAACAAATAGCGGGATATTTTGCAAACTAGCCCAAGATATCTTGGGATGATTATCTCAACCAAATATCCCGCTATAGCTGGTGAAGTCGCAAATTAACTGGATAATTTGCGATCGGGATAGTTCAAATAGCGGGATATTTGGCAATCTCGAGCTGATGAAGCCAGGCCTTTTGTGTAGCAACTAGCTAGTGATAAAGATTCTAACGCATGGATGGTATAATAAAAAGGTCAAATATTGATAGGACACAAACAGAAAAAGAAGAAGAAGAAAAATAAAGAGATATTCTGCTTCCATATGAACAGTAACAGATACTGTACTCTTCACCCTTTGTGAAACTGGAGGACTTTTATTACATCATGTGACTGTCTACATCCATTTTGCATTGATATAAATTCTTGCAATATGTTGTTTCATGTTCAAATGTACTTGTTTGCATGGAAAAAATGTTGCATCAATTATTTGATTAAAATGTGGATGTACATGAACCACTTATAGTTATACAGAAACAATATCTCAATCCAACACTCTAAAATATTTTAATTCAATTTGGAATGTTTTCAGGAAAAAAGGCAAAATGGAATGCATTGTATGGTTCTTGCAGATACTGTATGAATATATACACGTATGTGCCTGGAAAATGCAGAACATCATGAAATGTAAAGTCTAGGTATCATTTACAGAATTGATATCAGAATCCAATCCTCCCAAGAAACTTCAATCCACTTTCAGCCTCGACAAAAGTGTACAGTATCGAATTATGTTTTGCCGTTTCCATTTCAATTTAGGGATTGCTGATTGTGTGTTTGTCAGGAACTTCTCTGTGTTTCTCTATGATTGATATCCAGGGACCCATTTCACAAGCCTTTTTTCAATGACAAATGACATAAATCAATGACAAATCTGCTGATAGCCAATCAGAAGCAAGGATTTTCAGTAGCTTATAACAAAACTCTGTCATTTGTCACTAACAACCAGTTTGTGAAATGCCCCCCCCCCCCCTGATGCATGCATGTACATGTACAGTATGGGAACAGAGCGAAGACACACTTGATGCATTTTCCAATGGAATTATGAAGCCTTTTGTGCAGACATTTGTATTGTTTGATCCATTGTTTGCAGTGTAAGCACTAATAAAAAAGATATTATTTACATGTACATGTACCGGTATCATGAAAATAATTGCTCCTTTGTGACATTTCCTAGGTTGATAAATGAATGCTTTGCCTTTGAATAGATTGCTCAAATATGAACAATTCATTTTTTTGTGGAGAGCTTACTGATACAATAATTGTTACTTTGTTCCCAAATGTAGCATCATCAACCATGAATTGTAAAATGATGCGTATAGAAAAACATGATCTGTAGGAACAGTAAATTCAGACAAATTCTTGACATATACAGTTAACAATTGAATTATTATTCATATCCCTTATTAATTTTGTGTTCTTGTTTTTCATAACTCAAGTTGAATTAAGGCCTTTGTTGAATACTTTAAGATGAAAGCTTTAATATGTCACATTCTCAAGAAACATCAGCTGGGACACGTCAATATTTCCAATACTTAAGAAACGACAAATCTTGGTAATGGCATGGATAAATTAAATTGCTAAATTTATGTAATTATTATTATTATTTTCACATCTTTTATTCGTGAACAATGGAAATGTGAACAGGCGTATTGATACCAGGGGATAAAATTATGTCCTTTTTTTCTCCCTTCAACTTTTTAAATAGCTATCCACCATGATCTGATATAACTACAGGGGGGTGTTTCACAAAGATCCTAAGTTGAACTTATCTCTAAGTTGGACTTAAAAATTATGGAAGGCCTTTAGTTTCTTTGAAAATATTTTGTAAAAGTTATTTTGAAAGGCATTAATTGTTTATTCAAATCATTCATATTGTCTATCATCAAGGAGATTTCATGTTCTGGATGTGGAATTCATAAAAAGTCTAAAATACTTGAATTTCTGCTTTTGAATATATTTCATTTTAAGACTCCAATGGCTGTCCATAATTTTTAAGTCCAACTTAGAGTTAAGTTCTACTTAGGATCTTTGTGAAACTCCCCCCTGGTATTCGTCCTCTTGTTGATACAACCCTGTACCTGTATTGTACGAAAGAATATTTGTATACAAAAGTCATGGTATGGTGGTTTATTCACTCGGCTCTCAATCCTAGGGTTTAGGGTTCGAATCCCAGCCTGGCACCAATGTTCTTTGGCAAGACAGTAATCCACATTTGCCACCCTCCATCCGGGTTTCAATGAGTACCTGGCAATTGCTGGGGTAATAATAATTGCAGGGCTGTCAGGAAGAACAGCATCGATGCTGATGAGGCTTCTCGGGTAAAACAAAATTATTATTATCATTATTATTATTATGATTATGTTTATTTTCCCTATTTCTCTCTTTCCTCTCAGATTTTCCTCTGTCATCTGTACTGAAGGACGATGAAGGTTTCAGGGATTTCTTGGTTCAGAATCTGAGCTTGAGCAATCACGACGCCGATCAGATAGTGAATCGTAACATAAGTACAAGTCAGGTATTAGACGATTCTTCAATTAATTATCTTGTTGTTGACACCAGAATGTTTTTGAAGGGTGATATGTCATTGTTCACAGATGCTATTTTTGGGATTTGTTGAACTCAGCACACCATTTCTAATTTTCCAGGGCTTTCTTTGCGCTTAGCTGAGTCGAGTTGATTTTATTTTATTTATACACAGTAAAAAACCCGAAACAGTCCAAAGACTGGTGTAAATCAGGGCCTTGTTAATGGAAAGCAACAAAATCATGACAAAATTTAAAAAAAAGTAATATAACACTGACAACTTTACAACCATAACACAACAATATACATAAAATAAAAAAAACACTTTAATTATAAAAACTATATTGATAGGCCTAAAAGATAAAAATTAAGATAAGTTATGAACATCAAAATCTGTTGGTTTATATAGTAGAAACAAAACAAAATAAATAAGTTAAGAACGTATATGTTTATGTGAAATATTGAATAAAAGTAAATATTGAGTAAAACATAAAACATAAAAATATACACATACAACCTGTACATGTAATAGTCACATACACATATTATACTTTAGGACAAATGTGTATTCCATATTGTGTAGAAGAAAAATGAAGTATTGTTAAGTAATAAATAGTCAAGATCATATGAATATGGATGAGTTAAATATCACATAAATAAAACTTTTAAAAAAAAAGACAGAAACTGATACCGTATTGCGTAGACGAAAATCCAGCTAAACAGCTAAATTGCTTCCGGCTCCTATGCCTTTTTCCACTGCTTCGACTTTTAAATATACTTGTGTAACAGAAACATGTTCCATAACATGGTTGTATGTTTGTAGAATGATTAAGAAATTTTAACTTTGGGTTTCATGTAATACTTTCTAAAATAAGATTGTAGAAGTGGGAACATGGTTTATTCAGTACAAGAGTGACGCTTCCTCATTTCACATGAATTTTAATTGTTTATCCATTCTATTTTACTTTCACTTTCATCTTTTCCCCACCTCAACCTTAATAATACCACTAAAGGCACTAAGTAAGGTTGCAAAGTTGCCTCACAAATTACATTTAATCAGGCATATCATTTAAGGTTCCTTTTACTGAACACAATTCTGAACAGTGTTTTATGATTTTAAGCTTCATAAATAATTTCATATTTTGATATGAAAAAGAGTAAAAGCATCTTTTATGTCAGAAATGTAAGATGAAATGTTGAAGTTTGAGTGGTTGAAACCATCTATGGCAGTGAAAAAGTTCATATATTACTACCTTTTGATCATTCTGGTATGGGCCTACATGTAGGTACCTTGACAGAGTAGATATTGATTGGAATAAATATATTAGGTACATAATTTATACACTGCAGAAAACTGTGTTCATGCTGAGAAACAGTAAGGGGCTGATGGTACCCTTGAATAAAAATCACTTCAAAATAAAAGGCCATTTTGATAAGAACTCACAATCCATTACACATCTTTCGGATGGTGACGCTAAAGGTCGGTCCACAGAATAATCATATCTGATTGATACATGTCCGTAAAAACCCAATTACACACACACACACACACACACATTGTATAGATGGGAGGGGGGGGGGGGAGGGCAGATATTTTGTTGCTCCCTAAATCTCCCCCCCCCCCCCTCCACCTGTCTCTGTGTCATTTGGTGATCACTCCTTCTTTCTCTTTGTCCCAAGCCCCTCACCCCCCAATTGGATGATGATTAAACAAAAATAGAAAGGAAAAGCAAGAAAAGAGGGAGAGGGAGTTGAGAAGGAGAGGGGGGGGGGGGGGGGCTGGGAAAATGAAAAATGATGAGATTGGAAGACTCCTGGACTACCCCCTGCACTCTCCCCTATTCAGTAGCCTTGTATTAAAATTAACATTTCATTTTCAGAGTAAAACCCCAACCCTTCCCCCTCATCCTTCTAGCGTCCCTTCAGTGAGTAGAACCATGCCACTGATCCCATCTGTAATTTCATTAAACATCAGACATTTAATGACCCACTGTCTAGGGAGATGCTTTTGCGTTTAATCATCTCCCCAATTTTCAAATCATACTCCCATGTTGCTTCCATCCCGAAACAATAGAGTATACCAAATATAATGATGGCTAGATTAGATTGATTGATTGATTATAGTGAGTGGTTGCTATTGATTAAAAGTAATTAAGGATATACAGTGTAGACAGAAAATGCACTTTAATAGTACAATGACATTTATGAAGTCACCGAGTAGAATTCTCTTGAAGTACATTGCTCTTGTTATTTTCAAAAGCATTTTTTTCAAAAGCATTTTTATAAAAGCATTTCTTTCAATGCCTTAATGTTTTCATGTTGATAGCGCCCAATGTGGAGGCGCAGTGCCGCGGTGGTAGAACAGTGGTCTGAAAACGGGAGGTTCCGATTAAAATACCATGCTTTCTTTAATAGCAGTCAGGGAAAACGAACACACCAACTATCAAAACACAGAATACTTTGTATTCCAAGCATTTTGCAGGGGTTCTTAGATCTCTAAGCTATTTATTGAATTATAGAAATCTATTGTGGGGTTGAGAAAAATCAATGACAGTCTTCTCTAAAACGCTGGGAACACCCATGAACACCCGTTACACTTGAAAGGGCACAAGCAAAGGCTGCAAAGCCTCCCTCAAAAATTGTTTCCTTACTGAGCACTTGTTGTGATGTTACAGACAATTGTTTATAAAGTTGAAAAAATGTGAGGACAAGGCCAAATATTGATTTACATGTCTTAAGATGATAAGAACATCTATCTGTGTATACAATGTACAATGTACCCGGGGTGGATCATTATTCATTTTAACACTAGGTTACACTTGGATGGGCATGAAAATAGGGTCCCGCAAAACTTGTGTCCCTAATGAGCACTTGTTGTGATGTTACAGAGAATTGTTATAAATTTTAAACAAGCCAGAGGAAAAGGCCAAATATGAATTTATTTAGACGAAAAGAATATCTACATGTATCTGTCTATAAAATGTGTCCCTGGGAGGAATATTATTCAGTTTAACACTACGTTACACTTGGATGGGCATGAAAAAAGCGTCCCGCAAAAAATTGTGTCCCTACTGAGCACTTGTTGTGATGTTACAGATAATTGTTTATAAAGTTGAACAAATGTGAGGACAAGGCCAAATATTAATTTATTTAGATGATACCAATATCTATCTGTGTATACATACAATGTACATGTACCACTGGGAGGGTCATTATACAGTTTTACACATTGTTGCACTTGAATGGGCATGAACATACAATGTAGCCTCCCACAAAACTTGTGTCCCTAATGAGCACTTGTTCTGACGGTACAGAGGATTGTTTATGAAGTCAAACAAGTGTAAAGATAAGGTAAAAAAATGAAGGGTGATTATGATAATAGAATCTGTTAGTAGTTAAACCTATATTATACAATTTGTCAGTTTGGCATGCACACCAAATTACACATATAAAAGCCTAATTGCATTTTAGTGTAAACAGTGGGTATCCTGTTTAACTATACAGTGCATAGATCATAGGGGTTGACGTTCTTAAGGCTAATTGCCCTTTTTTAAACCCCACATTCCCATAAAATTTTGTTTGCTCCTTCCCTTTGTATGTTTCTTGTAATCAATCTTTTATCTGTATATCATGTTTGTATGTTTTTTTATGAAGAATGAAATAAATGAAATGAAAAGTAGACTATTAGACTTCTCTAGTTAGTGATCAAATTAAATCTAGAGAAGAATTACTCACATGATTTTCATTCAGACTCTTCCTTTAAAGGTAAAAACAAAATCACAGATAGAGATACAGACTTTCTTTCTTCAGGAAAAGAAATACAACACCCACGTGACATCAATTGGCCATATGATCTCCTGCATATCATATACATATACTGCATACCAGCAGAAAGCCTCTATTTAAGCTTTCAGTTTTCCTACACTAAGTAGCAAAGCTAGTATTTCAGGGACCTAAAGCTCACTGCCACACTATACAATTTGACTAAGATCTGATTTTGAAAGAATTTGCAATAGCAGATATATGAACATTCAAACATCTCAATGACCGAGGATCTGAATAGTCATTTGGTAAAGGATATCTAGATTTCAAGGAATTTCAAGCTTCCTTCCCAGGTCTAAATTCACATAGAAACAAGTAGAAACCAGTAGAAACCAGTAGAAACCAGTAGAAACCAGTAGAGATACATGTATTCTACTGGTCTTCTTCTGGTTCCGATATCATTTTTTCTACTGGTTTTTACTGGAAAAAGTTCCACTTTCCATATTGAAACCAGTAGAGAAGGCTAGGAGCCAAGGGTTGTGGAACAGCATGATCGCCAAAGTCAAACGATATGGCACTTAGAGAGAGAGAGAGAGAGAGAGAGAGAGAGAGAGAATTGACCAGTAGAAACCAGTTGAAATTATACTGGTTTTCTCTACTAGTTTATATGGGAATTTCGACCTGGGTTGGAGAAGAAAAAGCTAATCAGCTCAAAACTCACACCAGTCGAGGGATTGTCTATGATTTGAATCCGATTTGGCCTTTATACTTGACTAGAAGAGATAAATGCACTCAAATTTCAGTTTTGGGTTTTCTTATCATGTACAATTTAGAAATCTTATATCATTGTTGTCAAGGAATGAGGATGGTAGAAATGTCCTGCTGTGAATATAAATGTTATCCAATAATTTGATTTTTCAAGGGAATATTTATTTCATTTTTTTTCACGGACTGTCCTCTAGATGCTTTAACTGGAATAAATATCAGTGAAATGTTATAACCAATAAAACATGGCTACATGTACACTGTATGTTCGTTGCCCAACCCCTACGAACTTCAGAAAATTATGTTAAAGTTAGTTATATTTATGCAGAAGTCCTTGACAGTATTTTGATCTCAATTATTGCAGTTGTATGATCTACATGCTCAGTTTATTTTCGTTTTGTGTAATATCTTAAAGGAAACTTGGAAGCTATAAACATTCTTTTTCCTTTCCATTTACCATATTTTCAGTTGTTCAAAGTCTTATATGGCAGTGAACCCCGTAATGCCAGCGATCCCTACTCCCCCGACAATGCCACCGACTTCAGCGACTTCCTGGACCGACGCTTTGGTCATGTAAAGAGTGGCGCCCTCTACAGGACTGCGGACCCCAGTGATATGTACAGCATGGAAGGGTTGGTGGATATTCTGAGCCAGGCACCGGGTGTGTCTGATTCTCCTGGAGGGACAGATGAGTCCGGAGGGAACAAGTCTGCTTCCACGCAGCTAGCACAGTACTTTGAGGTAAGTTGGACATTAGACCAAGACCTTAGGTCAGGACTTTAGTCCAAGACCTCAGGGCAGGACCTTAGACCAATACATTAAACCAAGACCTTAAACAAGCAGCGTGTCCCCACACAAAACAATTTATCCCGAAACTCTATAACGAAACATCGTATAAAGAATCATAGTATAAATTTCAAAGTGTCCACACACAAGAAACGTCATATAAATAATCATCGTATAAATTCAAGGATGTCCATAAACAGAAGAAAGTAATCCTGTAACTCTACAGTCTGGTCTCCTTTCGCTCGAGGTCACGTTAAGCCCCGCCCAGTTAGTTACACTAGTTACACTCCCCCTGTCCACACACAACATTTACATGATTAGGCGTGATTCTTTATTGAGTTTCAGTTCGAAACGATGCCCAAACCTGTGTTTCGTTAGACTAGTTTCGTTATACGACGTATCGTTAGTGAGCGTCCACACACACGGTTTAGCTAATCACGGAAAATGTTGTGTGTGGACAGGGGGAAGGACTTTAGAACAAGACCTTGGTTAAAGACCTTAGGCTAGGACCTAATACCAAGACCTTGAGACTTTTACCATAAGCCAAGACCTTAGGCTAAGACAGTAGACCAAGACCTACATGTATGACAAAGAATGTGAAATAGAACAAGGAGGTGACCACTTTGTGTTATGCAAATACCTCTATGAAGTGAGTTTTCAGAAAAGAAGTGAGTTGGTCTTATAATTTATTGCACTTTTCCCTGGAAATGATTTAGCTCATTATATCTCAGCAATAAACTTAATTAACATGTACTTCAATCTTCAACTTATTGCACTGGATTCAGCATTCAATTTCTTATTGTGATTGTATTTTCTGTTAATGTCCACAGGATCGGCTTTTAGATCCCGATGAGCTCCAAGACCTTACCTGCAACAATGGTCTAGGAACTTCTCTCTATGATGACACAGCCTCTTCCGATCAAGGCCAAAACACTAACACTACGGTAAGTTCTTCCTGGTGTGAAATTTCCATAGATATTACCTCGACATCGGAAAGTGTTATACAAAAGGATAATTGTTTAAAATAGATCTTTGTTTCTGCTATCTATGTTACATGTAGTTGTGTAATTGCATAGCTCTAGATGAAAATGACCATAATGCTCTACAATTGTGATACTTTGGAGAGATATTTTGTGCATTGTGCAGTATGGTTTCTCTTAAAAACATTTTAGTTTGATTTTGCACCAAAGCCTCCAAAATGATCTATCAATCAATCAATAATTGGAAGTTTCCTACAGTGATATATACTTGATGGAAATGTGACCCTTCACATGGAGTACCCAAGGACTGTGCATTTCTCAGTTTACATACATACAGTTGTACATGTCATTTGCTCTGAGGCAACAGGCATGGACACTGCCTTTCGTGACTACCATGCCACATTTCGTGGTTTGGCTCAATAACTTGTGAACAAATATGCCAGGGGGGTGTTTCACAAAGATCCTAAGTAGAACTTAACTCTAAGTTGGACTTAAAAATTATGGACAGCCATTGGAGTCTTAAAATGAAATATATTCAAAAGCAGAAATTCAAGTATTTTATACTTTTTTATAAATTCCAAATCCAGAACATGAAATCTCCTTGATGATAGAAAATATGAATGATTAGAATACACAATTAATGCCTTTCAAAATAACTTTTACAAAATATTTTCAAAGATGCTAATGGCTTTCCATAATTTTTAGGCACAACTTAGAGATAAGTTCAACTTAGGATCTTTGTGAAACACTCCCCAGATCTGCATATGGCATATTTGTTAGGGCTCTGAATCACAAGTTATTGAGAAAATAATGAGAAAATGTCTGTACGCACACACTGCATCCATTTTTGTTTCATGACTGTATTGCATTTGATCCCAGGACTTTTAAAGAGGAAATAAGCTTTAAAATCTTTAAATTGGCAACATGTTCAGAGATTAAAACAACTCCGCCTGGTACGTCACATTTTCAAGAACATGGCTATACCAATGTCATGCTAAAAGACATTGCATCATGCCAAGAAATCTTCATTTATGTATCTCTTGTACATGTTTGCAAGATTTATTGTACATCGAAAGGCAGGAATTCATCTTGTTTTTCAGAATGCCTACACTTGTTCTCTGGGGTTAGTTCTCCTTTAACTTTATGCCATTAGTCCATTACCATCAAGAAACATTCTATCCTCGTTAAGAACATATTGCCTCGTAAATGACATTATACTTTGGACTTTTTCCATATGATAATACAGCATGTTTATTACATTTTGACAAATCATAGAGCTTGTTTATATTTGTTTAAAACATTTTTTACAGGGCGGTTTTAGAGAGCGAGTGTGCAACCACGAGGAGAGCTATCCATTATTTGTCAGTCTCTCCCAAGAGCTACATGACCAGATTGATCTGGACAGACTGGTTGACAAGGTAGGTTTCATGCAATCCAGTTCAATCTGGTTTAATCCTGTCTTATCCGAAAAGTCGCTCGGTGGGGGGGGGGGGTAAGCGGCACTTTTTTTTCTTTTTTTTTGGAGTCCAAAAAAAAAATCGCAACGACTCAACCAGCCGAAAAGTCGCTCAGTGGAGGGGGGGGGGGGTAGTGAGCACATTTTTTTTTTTTTTGGTCCTCGAAAATTTTAAAATTTGCACCCCCCCCCCTTGAGCGCCAGGGGGGGGGGGCCCAACCCCCCAAAAAGGTAAAAATCGCGTGATTTTACATGATTTTTTTCTCAAGGGGGGGGGGGGGGGGGCCCGGGCCCCCCGGGCCCCCCCCTGGATCCGCCACTGCAGTTAAGTACAAGCCAGTTCAATGCGATAGAGTTCAGTTAACCTTGGTACAACCCATCGTATGCACATACTTTTAATTTCAACTAGTTCGTTTAATTCCTGTTGACAATTATTTTAATCCATCAAAATCCAATTCTATCCAGTTCGATCCGTGTGGTTTAGTGTTACAATCCATTTAATGCTGTTCTACTCAAATAGTATAGGGTCGGGCCCATTTCAGGGTGTTTGGAAAAATTATCCGTCAATGCCTGAACGGTGGCAAATGCTTTCAGTTTGAGGTCAGGTGCTATACCCAGAGTGAAAGAAATTTCACAACTGCTCTTAAAGGCTGGCTGTAGTAGTTCAGCCAGAAGGGATTAGACCACACAGTGAGGTCACTGACAGGTGGCTATCTCATTAACTCAGCTCTCAATTAACATAAGAAAACAGAGGATCATGGGGGACCAACAGGCACCGATTGGGGAAGTTTTTTATATAGAGGGAGTAAGTAGCTACAAGTAGTACAGTGTGGCTTTAAGGTACCCTGTGAGAAGCAGACATATCAGACTTTGCCCAGTAGTAGTGACTTGCATAGATTAGTTAAAGACGGACATATGTGTAGCAAGGCAAAACTTCAAAATAGCATGGAAAATGGGAAATCAGTGCCAATATGCTCAGCCAAGTATGTCATGATGTTGCACTTGTAAATGTTTCATTTAAGAATTGTTATGATTGATGCACTGCTTCTTTCTTTATGTTATAAACCATTTTGAAAGAAGTCCTTTAAAACAGTTCCTTTACTAGTTTTAGTTTTCCTTTCTCTAACTTGTGTATTTTCTCCCTTTGACTTCATGTTCTAATAATATACTCCCCTCTTTTTTATCTCGTATCTTTTCCCTCGCCTTATTCTCACCCAAACTTGTTCTCTGTTTTATTGACTAAAGATCATTATTGCACGTAGGTTACAAAAACTTGTAAGTAGAAATGTTCAGACTTCAGACCTTTGATTGGACATCTTAGTTCAAATTCAAGTTCATTTTATTCAAAACCTCACAAAACATGATATAATCTTTTAGGTACAGGGAACCCTTTTCAGGTAAATTTTCCTACTTGAAATGCGTGAAGGGAATCTTTGGTTGCAAGACCAAATTTTTTATTAACTTTTATTAAATTTCTTATCCTCCATATTTTAACTTTGGTTCATTATATTTATTCTTCACATGATTTGTTAAAACATATTGATTCGATATACTGGTAATGGATTGATTATGATATTCAGTTTAACTCAATCTAATTGATTATTTATTCTTCTGCATTATGCATTCACTTTGTTTTGTTTTCTTTTTTGTTGATCTGTCTGTTTTTAAGTATGAGTTTTAATGAGATATTAACAAATATTTTTAAGTATTCTTTAGATTGTATATTATTTCAATACAAATCACATCAAAGAATCGTATTGATATGGATCCTGGCCTACATGTATGTACCAGTAACTATAGAAACCTAATGAAATTCTGAAAACAGTAAAGAAGTGATTTAGATCCCAGTTTCAATGTTATCAAAGTTTTTATCACACACATAATGCTTTTGTAATGAATAAGCTTGGGTTTAAAACAACATGTAAAATCATACATATACATTGTTTATATGCCACATATACTTAACATTGTTATTATAATTATCATTTCTTCTTGTGCCTATATTCTTTATTTAAATTTTATTCTGAAAAGATGGATTGCTGTATACTTCTAAGAACTTATATCAAAATAATGGGCAAAATGAAGTGTGTAAAACATTAACTAATTTTTTATAGAGGTAAAGTTAAATTTCATAAACTTTTAGCATTGCAGGTAAGTGACTATAGAGGGATTAAAAGGTTAATTTCCATGTGAAAGATACATATGATAATCACAAGAATAAACCAAAAGATTATGACTAGCTGTTAGTTCAAGTTCAAGTTTTATCTCCACATCTGATTATAAAAAAAACAAAATTCATATGAATATATACAATAATAAACCTTAAGATAAAACATCTTCAATTAAAATCCTAATGTTGTGGGAAAAACAGAGGCCAATGGCCTATCAAGGTTATTCCCAAAGAATTTTTTTTTTTACATCAAATGTTTCTTAAATATTATATACTAAAAACAACATAAAAATACAAAGATTAAAATGACACATAAAAATACTCTGGCTGTTTGACCATTGTTTTTCCTTCTCAATTTTGTGTGTACTTAGGTGACACACGCTTGATTTACAGGTCTTTGTTGATATAAATTGGTATCAAGGTGCAATGTTGATGTGATTATTCACCCCAGTTCCTGATACAGTAATTTGATGGGAGTATGTTATAGGGCATGGTGCAACAGGACTCGTGCAAGGCGCTCCCATGCACGATTATGTGACAGTTTATCATCTAGGGTTTAAAGAGAAGGTTGAGTTCTGGGAAGAGGTGAAAAATAATTTGTAAGCGTTATCATTGTTATGATGCAAGTGTGGAGGAACATCAGATTAAACATGTTCCCTGAAAGGATACAGCCCTTCAAATGCCTTAATATTTTAAATATGGCATGTAACATAACAATCGGGACAGATTTTTATGCCACATATTTGTGTAGTCCCATGTACATCTTTCTGTGTACAGTGCTTGTAACTTTACCAAGACTGGGCCAAATTTCTTATCATTTTGATGATTCCAGAACCTTGCAGTACATACCAATACTCATAAGCTAAAAGATCAACCTTTTATGATTGATTCCCCAACGTTTCTTTCACAATGCAATCGCATGACCAGAACCCAACTTTATCTTTAAGTACATCATAATATTTGAAAATGAATAAGATTACGAGATTGACTCCTTATATTCCTGTACCCTTTCAATGATGTGTGAAATGTTTTTTGGTATTTTATATACACCTGTACATGTACCTCTGTTTAATTTTAGGTTGTATAATATTTGTGTTTATTTTTCAACAGCTAAACTTGACTGATAATGACCTGATTAACAGCAGAATAAGAGCAGTGCTTGCTTCAAAAGAGGTGAGTGTGTAACCATCGGGATGAACATGACTCTACTAAAACGATTACCTATTCAACAAAATACACGGGGGCGGAGGGCGAATCCGCCCCCGAAATGCCCAAAAGAGCCCCGAGAGTCATAAAAGAGCCCCAAAAATTTGCATAGAGTTCAATGCAAAACAAATTAAAGAGTGTTATTTTCATGCAAGCGAGCTTGAAAAGTAACCCCCAAAATTTTTTAAATATTTTTTTCCCTGCCTATTATATATTTCTATGATACAAGTATAACTTCATTTCATAGGGATTATCATATTTTTGATACTTTTACAACTTGTGAATTAGGCGATGGATTACCATTAGTGAAATCATGTGCTGATTTAGGATGTTGTTTAAGTTGCGAAATAAAGGGGCATTTCTAGGCCATTTTGAGTTGAAGGGGTGGTTGATCATATTTGCCTACAAGAAATAAGGGTAAAAAGGGGTAACAGACTTTTAAATTGGCTGATAGAGTTTTTGTAAATTTCCAGGGATAAAGTAAAATATCTTGATATATGTGATGTACCGGCGATGCTGTAGTAATTACAGATTGTATGGGGTGTCTTTGTGTAAAGCCCCTTTTACTATTTGATACAATAAATTTACAATACTTGTGTTTGAAATTTTTCAGGTTCAAAAGTTTGCTCAATTCCAGCAGACTCTTCAGGATGTCTACATGTTTGCACAGAAGCTTCCTGGAGACGCCTGCCCCGCCCCTACCACCCCTCCCCCTCCCACCGAATCTCCATCCACCTCTGAGGCCCCTTCCTACTCCCCCTCCTCATCCCCTTCCTCCTCCTCCTCCCCCTCCTCCTCCCCTTCCCAGACTCCCATCATCACACCGCAGTCCCCCTCCGTCACCCCTCCCGCTCCCAGCGAGGACCACACCCTAGTGGAAGGTCTCGGCACTGAGGTCCCTCTCACCACCTTCCCGGACGAGTTCATCTCAAACTTCACCACCAACCTCTCCACCAATTGGAACGGGTCGTCGTGGATCAACCTGACTGCATCCCCGATGTCCAAGACCACGCCCACCCCAGTGTTCACCACGCCCACCCCCAAGGCAACCAAGAAACCGAGCCCTCCGCCCACTCCCAAGACTAAGCAAGAGGAACAGAAAGAGAAAATAGCTCTTCTTTATAAGCTCTGGGCTAAGATACAATATAGGTAATTACATGTGTGAGTTTGTATATTTGTGTGTGTGTGAGTTAGGAGGGAGGGAGGTGAAAGCTGACAAGTGGGAGGGGCCAGGGGAGGGGAGTAGTAGTAGTTTACTGGATTAGGGAAAGTCCCCATAACCACATCGTGTCAGATTCTCATGTAATCTGCTTTTTTACTTCACTGACAGTGTCTGTGGCGTAGAACTGAAAGTGAATCAACGCCTCCTGGACAAGGGGGATGTGAGGGGGTTAAAACTCACCCACAATCAGAAGAAAAGTCTCAGTCTTCTGCTTCACGTCCTCTTCAGCCGACCCACAATCCTCTATTCCCCCGACACGCCCGATGTCAAGGACGTCATCGATAAGGTAAAAATAAATCTTCAGTTTTTGCGATATGTTTGTTTGTCTAGCTTATGTGATTGATGGCTTGGAAACTGCAGCGAATGTTTGAAGAAAAATAAATGAATGAACATTTTGAAGAAAAAACCCCAAATAAAAATGAATAAATAAATGGAAATTTGGGATAAAAAAGGAGCTGCATGCAACAAAGATCTGATGCATAATCAGTGCATTTTACTTACATCCATAAAAAATACTGCAGTGTACCGCACAGTATGCTAATGAGCCTTGACCCATTTCCTGTCATGGGCTACAAATCCCATCAGAAAATTTAAATGGTGGTTTTTATGTTTCGACTGAGATCTTTATGAAATAGTATTATTTTTTCCTTATGAGATGAAAAAAAAGGTGTATGATTTGCGATTCCATTTCATGTGTTTTATGTCAATTTTCATAGCATAACACAAAAACCACAATTCCAGCTCTTGAAGTTTATTTATGGTAATCATTTTTAAACTAAGTCAAACTTAATGATAATTGAAATCATACATTCACTCAAATTCATAAAAAAAGTGATTGATATGAATCTTCCATCTTTTTTTTTTTTACAGGCAAGTGACTTTATCTACCTGGCAAAGAACATCTCGCACAGTGCAGAAATGTGGCTGAATATCTCCAAGACCATCCGGCAGTACCTAGATCTGAACACAACTCAACTTGCCTTGCAGTATCTTGGAAAGGTAAGGTCATATTCTAGCAGCAAAACAGATAATAAAGCCTTTTTATTTTAATATCTTACAGTGAAATGATGTGTTTTATACCTACAAAAATATATAATTGAAGTATCTAGGAAAGGTATGGTCATATTCTGACAGGAAAACTGATAATAAAGTCAATGTTATTGTTATATCTCACAGTGAAATAATGTGTTATATACATGTAGCTACAAAAATATTACCAAATCTTTAGAAAATGTTTACACCTAACGTGCAGTGAATTGCATATTCAGTCACATGTAATTCTGTCAGGTTTTGTCCTAGCAATATACAGAATGGTCTGTATTATTTATGTGTTGTCCTTATTATTTCTTATTGTTATTTCGTTATGATTAATGAACAGTATGAACTGGGCCCGCTGCACAAAACTTACCATTGATGGTAACTTTGCCATCAATGGTAACTACCATGGAAACCTTGATTTTTAATGAGCTGTTGAGCCCTGTTACCATGGTAGTTGCCATTGATGGCAAAGTTACCATCAATGGTAAGTTTTATGCAACAAGCCCATTATTTCTTTGTCTCACCAGTACCCGTGATGTGGTAACTAGGTATTGGAGCTCTACAGTTCCTAGATGGGATAAGACAAAGACAAGATTTAATGAAATTAGATAAGTTGGCAAATAGTTGAATGAAACCGATTGCGACACCGCACTAATATTCTTTTGCAAGATATTAACCGACACTTGCTACTCTCCACCCAGGTGCTAAATGGTACCCTGTAGAATGCGACCGTCATTGTTGGTCAAAAAGTTTTTGAGCGTCAAGTAACGCCCGACTGGAATAATCCCCAGGGAGTGGAGATTGTGCACACATCGGGGTAATAGTATATCTGTAAAGCGCTTAGAGACATTGTATTAAAGTAGATATTCATTGATTTTAAATCTAGCTTTATTTTCATTATTGCAAAGTTGAAACTTTGATTCGACAAGGTTATCAAAATTCAATGCTTGGAAACATTCGAAGTAATGATTATTATAAATTACAAAACGCTTAAATACAGCCCCGGCATAGCACCTGAAAAGCTCTCCGAACGCTGCTGAGATGTGTGAGATCACAGCAGGGACATGATTTGCACAAGCAGACGATGTCCCATAACATCTCACACATTTTCAGTGCCTGTGTTTTCATCTTCTATTGAGTTATTTCTCTTACTTCACTACCGTCAGGCTAAATGTATAATCTATTGCCTCACTCTAAACCCCGCGCATGTTTTTATTTTGATGACAAATGCAGCGATACAAAAATAAAGGAATCTGTCGCTTGTAAACAAAATAAGACGCCATTGTATATTCAGCTGCAGACACCGCGGTATGTTCGGCGTTTTAAGAGGGAACAAATGCCGTCCTTAATATCAATCTGGGGGCTTTTCAATTTGAAAGTCTGGTTTCTTTGATTGTTAATTAACCCTTATCCTGTGTATTTACAAGCAAAAGATTTTAGTTATCAGAATCGGGTCATGTCCCCTTTTGATCGGTTTGACGTGCCAGTACATTTATATACACTAAACTCATTATAATTTGACAAATAATAGCTTTGCAATTATGTTCATTCTTTATGGGATGTCGTCTGCTTGGGCAGTATTGGTCCCTGTTGTGACGTCATTAAAACATCGTTATTTTTCTGGCGAATCTCTCGTATATCCCAGCTGCTATGGAGGTGGTTGTATTTGTATTTTTATAAATCACCCGATATGTAGCTGACCTCAATCTTGTACGATGGCCATCTGTTAGCTTACCAGTTTTTAGTGATACATTAGTTGACATATTTGTGATTTTCTTTGAATTTCACCTTTAAGCACTATATAAGCGGAATATTATAATTCTTATTATGTTTGGGTTTTTCAGATGGAAGAACAGCTGAGTGAGCATCCAGAGTTCTTGAGCAACTCCAGCCTGAGTCCCGACCTGCAGGTCTTCATCACCAACAGCTCCCTGGTGTCCGTGCCTTACATCAGGAACCACCTGGACGTCATAGACAATGCTGCCTGCGCTTGGTTGGAACTCACCAGACCCATCAAGTGGGATCTCTTTGTGGGCTTCCCGGACGAGGCGTCCATGGTGCAGTACGCCCTGGAGGAGTCTCATGCCGATGGAAGGACCGTCTTTGCCAGTGAGTAGTGTTTCCTGTGGTACAGTCAGAACTGTTGTAGTGGCCATCTCTAAAGAAAGTACCGGTAGCCACATTTTACAGTCCCTTAGTAGACTATACATTGAGTGATTTCAAGTTGGGTTTTTGTATTTAGAGCCCTCAGTTGCTGGATAGCTCTAGGAAACATTAGGGGGGCGTTTCACAAAACTTGTCATCAGTGACAAATGACAGTTTTTGTTATAAGCTACTGAAATCCTTGCTTCTGATTAGTTATCAGCAGATTTGACACTGATTTTTGTCATTTGTCATTGAAAAAAGGCTTTGTGAAACACCCTCCAGGTTATACACTTTCTTTTCTCTTCTTTTCCAGGTGTGGCCTTCGAGACCAACAAAGATGGCACCCTTCCGTCCCACACGGTCTACAAGATCCGCCAGAACTCCTCCTTCACCGACCGCACTGACCTGGTACGACGTCGGTTCTGGCGACCGGGCTCCAACCACCACCAGGTCCTGGGCTACTACACGTACGGCTTTGTCTGGGTGCAGGACATCATCGATAGGGCTATCATTGATAAGAGAGTGGGTAGGACGGTCATCGAGCCAGGGAGCTACGCCCAGGAGTTCCCCTACCCGTGCTACGTCTCAGATACGTGAGTACATACACTTTAGATGAAGGATAGCAAGCTCTTAGAATCTGAACAAATTATAGCTACTTGCTCTCTCTATATAGAAAACAATGCCTAAGTAGTGCCTGTTGGTCCCCCATGATCCTTTTTTTCTAATGTTATGTGAGAGCGGAGTTGATGAGATAACCACCTGTCAGTGACCTTGCAGGGTGGTCTAATCCCTCCTGGCCTAACTAGTGCAGACGGGCTTTAATAGATGAAGGATAGCAAGCTCATAGAATCATTTTCTCTAAATGTAAATCCTTTCGTTCGTACAGGGGCCTTTTTGTATAATATAATAGTGACATTTAATCGCAACTTGATTTTATACCTCTTAGAAATACGTATTCAGGACTTCTGTTTTATTCTTATGCAAGACCTCCACCTGATTTTTTTAATGTTATACGTTTCTCATGAGAGGTTATGTACTAAACATTTGCATTTTAGTAAAATAACGCGGATGACCATTATGTTAAACACCATTTTATGATACAATTTTTTAGTGTGTGATAGTTCTTTTCATTGGTCTTCTGACTGTCTTACGACATGAATAAATCAATATGGAATATAAAAAATGATAGAGTTTCACATAAGATAGAACTTGATGTTTAAGGGTCAGTTCTAGGTCAGAGGTTGGCAATAAGCCTAATTTACTGTTACCTTAGACAGCCAATCAGAGCTAGTTATATTCGTGCCTTGTTCCTTTAAGTTCCCGTTTATATTGTTCGATTTTGGCTTTCTGTTTCATTCTTGCATTTTACTTTGATAAGTGTAAGACGAGAAGCATAAGTATGGCTCTTTTCAACGCTATTTTCTGATTTTGTAGTACCAATCATCTTTTCAGAGGTATAATTATTATATTGTAATAGATGACAATGTTTGGCAAATAGATATTGAAATGTTTCTCCTTGTTTTCATGTTATCAGGTTTCCGTTCACCATAGAACAAGTGATGCCTATGGTGATGGTCATCTCGTGGGTGTACTCAGTAGCCATGCTCACTCAGAGCATCGTCTATGAGAAGGAACTACGACTCAAAGAGGTGGGTCTTTTACTTGTATGGTCGTGTTATTTTTGTTGTGAGAAATTAGAGGTGTGATATTGTCATTTAAGGTCTTAAGGAACGATCTAGGTGGTTTGGCAGTTGGCACACAATCAATTCAAAGTGATATGGACAGAAACATTGCCACAGATATTTTAGGTAAGATTGTTAGACAGTATAGTATTAATGACTGCTTTGAGAGAAATAGTTGTTTTATTACGCTCAAGGGAAGGTTAGAATTGTGCTATTCCCCGAGGCTTGCCGAGGGGAATAGCCCAATTGTAACCTTACCGAGAGCGTATGAAAACAACTATTTCTCGAATATTAAAGCAGTCATTAATACTTTTATATGCCGAAAAAAAATAGACTAAAAAATAAAAAATAAAAAATAATTTTTTTTTTTGTCGAAGGTGAGAGTCGAACTCTCGCGTACAATGAGTGATGAATCTTACACCAACGCCTTACACCACTCGGCCATCGCGCGCTGTTCACGAGCTTGGCAGTTTTGTACAATATATACATTAAAGTGGATTGAAACCGGCTTCGGCGTGATGAATGCTTCGCAAAAGCACCCTTCTTTTACTTTTGCAATGCATATTGGCACGAACTTAGATCAAGATCTATCGGCAGATGTTGTTTTTTTGTTTTTGGAAGTTTATTTTCGTCTTCATGTCAACAATGCAAGATAAAATTGTCGGTAAGATCGATCGAGATTCAATTGTATTGAAATTACCGACCAATCCTTCGCACACATACGGAATCCTCGATCGCTCAAACCATTTTTTAACATGTAAACCTATGGGGTAACCATGTAGGCTGACCTATTTTTTTAATAACCATGGTTATTAAAAATAGTAAATGTTTTATGCATGGTTACCGGGAATTTTACAGGAACAGTTGAAGTTTATGAATGCAATTCGACCAATCAGATGGCTGGATTTCTTAAGTGAGGTATATAATTGGTTTTGGTTTGATTTGATGGTTTGTTTTACCTGACTGCTAAGAAAGCATGTTATGCTTGTAAGTAAAGCAACCAGGGGACCAATGGCTTTAAGTCCTCTCGGAGGGACTTGGTAATGAGGAATAATGCCTTACTAAAGAGCACTAGCACATTGACTTGGTTTTGAACCCGGGACCTCTTGGTTACTAGACCACTGCTCCACCAGTGAGCCATCTCGCTGCAAAAAACAATGAACAAAAAGTACATTTCTCCTCTCAACAGAGTACTAAACAATCTTGTGCCTGAAACTTCTATGTGTGTTCTGCCAAGCAATTGAAAACAGATTAATGCATTTTCAGTCACTTTACCCCCATGTAAATCATACCTTTTTTCTTCCATGCTCATGTTAATAAAAAAGAATTATTGAATGTTGAATCAAATATTTGACCTGCCAAATATGTCATTAATAAAGATTCAACTAAAAAGTGGAAATAGAATTGGCAAAAATGCCTTTAATAATAAATGAGACCAAAGAAAGTGAAATCCTCTTTCCTTCTCCTCCTACAGGTGATGAAGATGATGGGTCTAAGCAATGCTGTTCACTGGGTAGCGTGGTTCATCACCAGCTTCCTCCAGCTGTCCGTGACTACGGGAGCACTAACGGCCATGCTGATTGCAGGCAAGGTGTTGGCTAACAGCAATCCTGTCATTGTATGGCTCTTCCTCACTGTCTATTCTGTCAGCGTTATCAGCTTCAGGTACAGAATATACTTTTTAAATTTTGCAAGCCTGATAATTACTCGAATTAAATCGGTTTCCCGATTTAAACCAAAAAAAATCCTGATTTTTTTTTCTTCCTGATTTTTTTCTTCTTTTTTTTCCCCCATTTTTTTTTTTCGTCCTGATTTTATCCTGATTTGCCTGATTTTTCCCTTATTTTCTCTTTTTTCCCCCTATTTTTCCCTATTTTTTCGTTATTTTCTTACTCAAAAGGCTGGGAATGTTGTTAGATGCCATCCCCCCCCCCCCCCAGAATCCTCTTTTCTTTTTTTTTTTTACTTATGGGGGGCTTGGTTGAGGAAAAAAAAACCCTGATTTTGGATTTTGGGTGAGAAATAGCAGAAGATTGAAGTGATTGTGCATAGTGCGCCTTGGAAGCATATCTTACTAGTTTCTAGTGTGTTTAATATGATACCACTAAAGGTGTGCATGTGTATGTGATGATCTCAAAGCCTAGCTTATAATCCTTACTGGATTGGTAATTATAACAGCCATTCCTATATCTCGTTTTCATTAATATTGCTGTCAGTGGCACTAGTGTACTACCTATCGTTATGCCTCCATCATCAAAGGTAGTGCCAGAGACATTATTTTCAGGAATATGTTCAAGAATATTTCACTTTTTATCTGAAATTCTGTGCATACAGTACATGTACCTTATCACCATACTGAACTATGAATAGAACAGAAGGAACAACTTTCTAAAAGACAACACCCCAAAACAAGCAAAAAAACAAATTAAACATGCAGACAAGACATTCTATCGAGTTGCACACAAGGAACCACGTTGAAGCAGTAATTAAAATCCAATCCAATCCAACCTATAAGGTATCGGATATACTGCCTTTTCCTTGTATTTACATAGTGCTGCACACACACTCATTGCTCTCCATGTTTAAGGCACTTCGAGCCACTTCCCCAAATCCACCCCAACTGCTGAATGTGTTTTCAAAGAATGTTCTTGTAGGATATGTGACATTATACTCCTCTGGGTGTGAATCGTGTCATTCAAAATTATTCTGTGGATCTTCAAATTATCCAGCAATCTGCTTACAATGACAGTCCTTTTTCCGCAAATAATTTTATAATGGTTTATAATGTTTGTGGAAATTTAGTAATTATGACAGTTTATCATTTCGTTTTTGAAAATAACAATTAATATATATATATATATATATATATATATTTGCTTATTTATGATTCATTGTCAGAAAAATACTTATTGTACTTTATATCATTATTGTTATCAAAAACTGTATACTTATATGAAATCAGGAACAATTCATTCATTTGCCAATGCTTTTTTTATATACTTTATAAAAAAGTTTCCTGGTGAGTTCTCTGTGCTCCTTGGCTAAGATAGCTTTACCGTGTGCAGGAATCATATATTTCACCAGCTCTGGGTGTGAAGAATGTTATTAAAATGATTTTTGTCGATTTTCAAATCAAGAACGATTCATTAATTTGTCAATGCTTTTATTCCCATTTCTTAAGTTTCCTGGTGAGTTCCCTGTGCTCCAAGGCTAAGATAGCTGCAGCATGTGCAGGGATCATATACTTCACCAGCTTTGTGCCGTGTATCTACATTCAAATCAGAGAAGAGACTTGGGCTTATACCACCATATCAGCTCTCATCAAGTCTGTGGCAGTGAGTATCTTTTCACTCAATTTCCTCCCATCAGGATTAAAAAAAAGTATTTAAAAGTTTATAGAACATTCTACACTTTTTGTGTATCTTTCTAACATCTTCTAAACAGGCAAATTCTGCTCCTATTGATAAGAGCATCTAAAGTTAACTTTTTAGACTAAATTTCACCTAAATAGTTAATATTGGTTGTCTGGATACGTTAAAATTCCAATCTTTAATTTCATATTAAGCAATTTTGGCAGATATAACAGATATAACATTGCTTTCATTTTATACACCTGTTTTTGCATCTACATGTACTATCATTGTTAAACAATTTCTAAGCTCATGTAGACATTAATACCTGAAAAACTTGAACTTGAAACTGTTCTCATGTTATTCTTCCTTGCAGTCTTTATCCTGCACCACAGCCTTTGGTCTAGGGGCGCGTTACTTCGCCCTCTACGAGATTGGTGGTGTAGGGGTGCAGTGGCACACCCTAAACCTGAGTCCGGTAGAGCATGACGACTTCAACCTGCAGAAGATCTTCCAGATGCTGATCATAGACATTGTGCTGTATCTCTTCCTAACCTGGTACATTGAAGGGGTTCACCCAGGTAAGTTAAAATAAGATTCATCTAGTGTTTGGCTGATCCGTATATAATAATCATATTTTTTTACCCAGGGGAAGCCTCTTAAAGAGAAGGTTGAGTTCTGGGGAGAGGTGAAAAATAATTTGTGAGCGTTATCATTGTAATTATGCAAGTGTGGAAGAACATCAGAGAAAAAATCTTCCCTGAAAAGCATGGCTCTTCAAATGCCTTCATATTCTAAATATGACAAGTAACAGCTTAAAAATGAGGCCAGATTTTTATGCCACATGTGTAGTCCCATATACATCTTTCTGTGTACAGTGCTTGTTACTCGACCAAGACTGGGCTAAATTTCTTGTCACTTTGCTGACTCCAAAACCTTGCAGTACACACCAATATTTATATGCTAGATGATCAACTTTTTCTGATTGATTCCACACTGTTTCTTTCACAATGAATCGCATGACCAGAACTCAACTTTATCTTAAAGCCTTAAATGCTGTTCTTCCTGATGGCCCTGCATATATCATTAACCTAGCAATGCCAGGTACCCATTGACACCTGGGTAGAGAGTGGCAAATGTGGATTAATGTCCTGCTAAAGGGCGTTAGTGCCATCTGTCTTCAGGAAAGAATGGACAGGTCATGAGAGCTACTAGAGGTCAAAACATCTTGCAATTGATTTTAAAACATCATTTTAACGATTAAAGAAGGTTTCAATGTTTCGAGTTTTGATTTTCTATGTAACGCATGCATTGGTCTGTATATAAACCCTTTCAAGAAAGTACATTGTTTAGAGTTTCTTTAAACTTCTTACCCGACTGTCTACTTTACACTAGGTGCATATGGTTTTCCTAGACCCTGATATTGTATGATATGTCCCATAAGGACATTTCATCATTACAATTTCTCTTTTTTTGCCAAACTGTAGGTATATATCAATTCAATATTGAATTCAGTTCTTTAAATTTCTCACCCGACTGTCTCCATTATTCCAGGTGCATATGGTCTCCCCAGACCCTGGTACTTCCCTGTCCAGCCTTCCTACTGGTTTGGCACTCATCGGTTCAAGGGAAGCATCATGTCAAAGAACTTCTGGAAACCCAAGCGTTACAGTCATCTGTCAGTCATAGAAGACGATCAGGCAATGGCCATGTCAAGCTCAGATGATGGTATGGATCCTCGATTATTATTGTTATTACAGTCAAACCTGTCTATAGCGACCGCCCAAGGGAAACACAAAAAGTGGTCTTTGGAGACAGGTTCCTTTAGGTCATGTTTCAATGAGAAACCATTTTCAAGGGAACAAAAAAATGTGGTCTTTGTAGACAGATGGTCACTAAAGCAGGTTCGACTGTGTTAAGTATTTGGCGTCACCTGTGCCTGGGAGGGGAAGAGTGACGCTCTTGTCTCTCCTCTTGGTATAATCGGTAGGGATGTGCAGGTTGACCGCTTTTCCGGGGTTTCTCCCTACTCTTATCAAAATTGTGCAGTGGGTTATCAACGTGCAAAGGTCCACTCACTTATATATTTATATTTGTTCTTTTAAAAATAATTAACAGAGCCAGGATTTGAGCCAGAACCTGTGGATCTGGAGCTGGGAGTAACCATTGAAAACCTGACCAAGGTAAGCTATCAAATCCATCTGAATTTACCATTGTCTCATGAATTATGTATAGTTTTGGTGCACCTGTGTAACCCTGATACCATAAGGTGGTATTCTTGAAAGCAGACTAACTTTAGTCCATGGTTTAAACTTCTGACTAAGTATGGAATGCCAAGTTTCCATATGGCACTGGTTTTTTTTAACTATGACCAAATACCTAAATGGCCCTTTGAGAGCCTGAAACTTTCCAAAGATAAAGAACTAGAAATCAGTAACAACTTTTTCTAGTAGCATGGACCTAGGTTAACCTCCCATAGCTTAACGAAAAATTTTCATCGTTGCTTTATGCGCATGAGGTATCCCTGAACAGCAAATTGTTTACGGAATTTTGTAACAAAATTGACATGCCATTTTGGTCGGAGCTGAAAAAAATATATAGCCACGAACAATATGTTTTTTTTCTATTGATGATTAATGAGCATGAGTGGATCTTAAAGAAACTTAACAGTAATCTGAATCAACTCCCCTATTTTAATGGAAAAGTGCAATTGAAAATGGCGTTTCGGACGTTACATTTTCCGTAAACAATGTAGACCCTCATTTAACACACTAGAACAACAAATTAATGAGATTGTATATGGTTTGAGTAAGTTTATTAGTTGCTCCAAGTGATTATATTAAAAGAAAATATAATTTAATTATAGTAGCGCTTATGTTAGAAATATACTTAAAATTTGAAAAAGTCGTCTCATTTTCCGTAAACAGTTTTGTAACGTCCGAAACAATTTTCAAGTTGAAGTAGCAGAAAATTGAAGTAGCAGAAAATATATGAACAGCAGGATATATCTATCATAACATTTTGTTAACTTCTCATGGCAGCTACCTACCAAAACAAAGAAATCTGCAATACATTACTACAATACTATTTTATAGTTAAAACCAATTTTCCGTTAACAGTTGTAATGTCCGAAACAAATGTAACGTCCGAAACAAAAAATACCAATAAAATGATAATAATCCATATTTTAAGGTTTCTAGAGTGAATAAATCATTATGAAATAAGTTATTATAAGTCTTAACACAAGTCAAAACACAAATCAGGTCTTTCAAATCCAATAATTTTGTGTAAACTCAAGAAGGTTGTTTCGGACGTTACACTATTTGATTGTTAACACATAGTTTGCAAATTTCAACTAATTTTCTATCATATGTGCAAGTTACGATTTCACAATGCACACTCCTGTTAAAAACACTATTTTGATAATTTCATTTAGATCTAAATATAAAAATATGAAGAAATATGATGCAAAAAATCAAATTTTCCGTAAAATATCTAATTTTTCTGCAAAATTGACTTTTAAAACATAAATATTGAAGCCACACTTTGTGGTGCAAGGCATTCCTGGCTGCCTTATTATATCCTTAATTGTAATTTATCAGAAACAATCTCAATAAAAGTGACTCATTAACATTATTCAGCCTTTTTAACAGCACTTTCTGTTATGCTGTAGCACGTTTCGGATGTTACATTAAACTGTTAACAGACACTTTCATACTTTAACTAGTTCAAATGAGGGGCAAAGATAGATGTGAGAATAGCAAATTTTATTTGTTCAACCTCTCCTTTTGCTATTTACATTGCTGTGTCTTTGCAAATCATCACGTTTTCATTTTTACAGAGGTTGTTCCAAATTATGTCATATAACCAAAGATTGTATGGTCAATCTAAACTATCTGGTAGGTTACAAAAATCAAAATCACCCACTTAAGCAATACCCAGTGTGCATGGTCATGACTTGGATATGATACAGGTATATGAAGTTGATAAAATCAAGCAAATTAAAATGTTTTTCTAAAAAATTATGGGAAATATGGATTTTCATTTAAAAATACCTTTTAAAAAGGGCACTCAGTACACGTAACTAATCTGTGTAGAAAGTACATACATGTAAAAAAGAAAAGGGCATTACCAGTAATACCTTATTTAATGATCCTAAACATATACATGTAGTATCTTCCTCAAATGTATGCATACATACAAAATGTATAAGTAGTGTAGGGATTTATTTTGAACTTCTGAAACTCCCCTTCATATCCATGATTCATCCCTTTCATATTAATAGGTCATCCCTCATTCACATTCACCCTTTTCATCCACCATCCTTTCATCTGTCTATCTCTCTCTCTCATTGGTTTCAATGTTCACCTGATGCAGTCAAGCTTATGTAGTATAATTTACATATACTATGCATATTCAATATATACCCTTTGTTTATGTTTGAATATTCAGGAATACTTGGTGATGTTGATTTATATTTGTATGGAACTGTATGAATATTTATTGATTAATTCTACTTTGCATGGAATGTATGTGGAATGCTACATAAAATGCTGTAATGCTTTTACACATTAAAACCTGGTCAGTTAGCTAGTAGTTATCAATCCTATAACATGTCTGCTGGGCTGCCTCTGTGTTAAGAGTGCTAGTAATTATCTGTTAGAACCGCAACCCTACACTCGTGTGAAATATAAAATGGGCTGTCCGTTTTTTTTTTCCTCTACGAAATGTCAAAGTTGGGGGTGCGGCGCTGCGGCCTTATCGCCGGCAAATACGGTACATGTTTAACGTACACTGTATATTGTTTGTCACCTGTAATATAGGCACAGCAAGAGTTAAGATCTATCAACCAACCAACCGACCAACCAATCAATCCATCCATTCATCAATCGGTCGTCAATTAAATAAATAAATGAATACTTATTTAAGAGCATTAAAACATATTGTCGTTTGAAACAGCCTCCTAATACAAATAGTGGTAAAGGATGATTGTTACTACAGTAGTATTATAACCTAAAACATACACAATTTTAAAATACATCAAAAATGTCTCATTCTCGAGATGTACATACATTAGGATTCACTTATTTCGTATTACCGTAAAAAAATACCGTACATGACTGGGGGTACTTTTTTATAGTTTTATTTTTTTAAAGATTTGTCAATTTTTCAGTGCTTACATACATGTATGTGTTAGTGATATTATTGAATGACACACTATATAGTTGAAGGCAAAGAACATTAGCAAGCTGATTAAACATCTATATTGTAGAGTTTGTAGAAATTGATGATCTCATTGAAATGTTAACATCGTGTAACATCCGAAACAAACCATAGTATATATTTCACACTGTTGTTCATAACATGCAATAAAGAGTATGTTTCTAAGTGAATTTTCTAAGGAGTTTTGATGACTACAATTGCTATTAGCTTCATATTTCACTCTGTTAGATCACATAAGCATTTTTAACTACCGGTACACATTCTTGAAATGAATAATATACCTTACATAAATTGAGTGGTCGATGAAGACAAACTTGGTATACATGTACATGTATGTGCTAAACTAATTAAAACTGCACAATTTTTTTTCCATAAATGTTACAGAAGTATTTTTCTGCAAACAATTAATGTAACTGAGGTCAATAATACCTAAAGAAAAGCAATTAACTTGAATAAAGTTATAATGTTAACAGTGTGTAACGTCCGAAACATCAGTGGTGTGCCATATGAAAATTATTAGGCAATGCACTGGTTCCCAATTTTTTTGCATGTATTTACCTTATATCATCAGTTGTTATAATAAAATAAGTTTGACCTAAGAAAAAAACATTTTACCTATTGAAATAAAAACTTGTTATTGTCAAAACCCTAATTTAGAGCTATTTTTCACTTTCAAGGGATACAAAATCTGTATTTTTCAAGATAGAAACTCAACAATTTGCATGAATAATCTCTGAAACATATTCTTAAAGACCCAACATATTTAAAGGTGTAGTTAATAGCAAATGAGTTTTATATCACAGTTATTAGATATGCTATAGTTCACAATAAAATTGTAAAAACTCAAAGTATTCATATCTGGTGAATAAATAAGGAGATAGATTAAGGTCCAGAATTTGCATTTCTCAAAAATATGATTAGTCCTGATCCTAAAAATACAAGTTTGAAGTGAGTAAACATAATTTCATTTTGGACCCATTTGTGGACACATTTGGTATAAGTTAAAAAAACCAGTGCCATATGAATATCTTTTTGAATAATTTAATCTGTCACTCAATCAAAATAAAAATGTTTTCATTAAAGAAATATTTTGTAAAAACATAGTTAATTACAATTGGTAATTTAGGGACAACAGATTATTCAAAAATATATTCATATAGACACTAGGCATTTCATACTTAGTCGGAGGGTTAAACTATGGACTAAAGTTAGTCCGCTTTTGAGAATACAACCCATAGTGATTGAAGCATACAATGTACATAAGCTTTGCTGGTCTCAACTAATCCTCATTTCTGTCTTTTCCCTTTTTGTATAGATTTATAGCACAGGAAAGAAGCTGGCAGTGAACAACCTTTGTCTTAACCTCTACGAGGGACAGATCACTTCATTCTTAGGGCACAACGGAGCAGGCAAAACAACCACAATGTAAGTGTTTTCGAGATATATCCCAGAGAAATATAACTTATTTGTTTGTTTGTTTCTTTGTGTTATCTGACTGCTAAGAAAGCATGTTTATGCTTGTACCTAAGCAACCAGGGGACTGACGGCTTCAGGTACTCTCCATGGGACTTTGGAAGGAGGATTAATGCCTTACCAAAGGGCACTAGCGCATCAACTTGGTTTCGAACACAGGATCTCACTGTTACGAGACCACTGCTCTACCACTAAGTCATCACTCCTCCTGCTATATGTAGATGTATCAGTGAGAGTGGTTGCTAATGGGGGAAGGATGGTTGTGTGTCCAAGAGGGGCTGATATAAACACATGATTTTGGAGGGGAAAAAAGATGTTTTATTTGCAAAATGTAAATGATGGTCACTTGTCTTCAAAATATTAGTTTGCATAAAGCTTCAAAATAATTGAATATATGCAGTGAAAGTTTGGAATGAAAAATACAGTCCAACCTGCTTTAGTGACCACCTGTTTAGAAAGACCACAATTTTTGTTTCCCTTGAAAATGGTTTCTCATTGAAACATCTACTACTGAAGGAACCTGTACATAAAGACCACCTGCCTATAAAGACCACATCTCTTGCCTCCCTTGGGTGGTCTTTATAGACGGGTTTCACTGTATTTGCATGTTGACTGCTTCCTTGTCCTCTTCATTATACTTCCATTGCATTTCTCTATTTTCCTTTCAATTCAATTCAATTCAAATTGATTGTCCAATTTGTTTTGTTTGCATGTCAATACAAAATTACAGATTATAAACATCAAAAGGTACAGATGGATACAGAATAATACATTTGATTTGAAAAAAGATAACACAAAATGCGATTCAGACTAAGTAATTAAATCAAATTAAATTAAATTTCTATAACATTATCTCTTTGTTTCTCTTTCTCACTGTCTGTCATATACTCTTTCTATAATCATATCTTCTGTATTTTTCTTCCTCTCCCATCCCTTTACAGGTCAGTTTTGACTGGGTTGTTCCCACCGACATCCGGGACTGCAAAGATTTACGGTCAGGACATCCGAACGGACATGACCGCCATCAGGAAGAGCCTCGGGATGTGCCCACAACACAACGCCCTCTTTGACAAGTAAATTATAATTTTTAGAAATTGGTATCAAGCTTCATTCAATATGACCAAAGGATCAGAGAGAGAGAGGGAGAGGGAGGGAGGGAGGGAGGGAGGGAGGGAGGGAGGGAGGGAGGGAGGGAGGGAGGGAGGGAGGGAGGGAGGGAGGGAGGGAGGGAGGGAGGGAGGGAGGGAGGGAGGGAGGGAGGCAGGCAGGGAGGGAGGGAGGGAGGGAGGGAGGGAGGGAGGGAGGGAGGGAGGGAGGGAGGGAGGGAGGGAGGGGGGAGAGGGAGAGGGAGAGGGAGAGAGAGAGAGAGGGAAAGAGAGAGGGAAAGAGAGAGGGGGAGGGAGGGAGGGAGGGAGGGAGGGAGGGAGGGAGGGAGGGAGGGAGGGAGGGAGGGAGGGAGGGAGGGAGGGAGGGAGAGAGAGAGAGAGGGACGGAGGGACGGAGGGAGAATATTGCGCAATGAACTATTTCTGATACAAAATGATGTTGAATCGCTCCATGAATCCTTAGCATGCACAAATTCAAATGAATCTTCTTGAACATTAGTCGCCATAACGATTTTGCCATTGTACGATGTACATCAATCATTAGACCTGTAGAATGAGATGAATAAATTTCCAAGGTCCAAGATTCTACGTTCTTGTTTGCCTTTTTTCCCTACAGGTTGACAGTTGAAGACCACGTCTGGTTTTATGCTCAGCTGAAAGGAAAACCCACATGGCAGATCAAAGAAGAAACTGACAAGTAAGAGCAAGATATGAATAATTACATTTGGAGCAAGATAAATTTTGTGGATATTCATGATTATTATGATGATAATGATGATGATGAAAGTGGTATTGGTGGTGTATAATCACGATTATGATAAAAACAACACATTTGAAATATACAGGTAACCATCCCTTAAAGGTACTATGTCCCATTTGCAGGCCAAAAAAATAAAAAGGTTATATTCCAACGGCATTTGAAAGAAAATACTAATTTAGAACTTCCCTAAAAAAAGAGGGGCTTGAAAATGTCTTTAAGTGGGAAAATAACGACTATTAGTTGTCAAATCGACTTAGGAGCTATAGAGCCAATAAGTAATAGTCTTGATTTTCAGACCATTGTACCGAATGGTCGTACGATTTATGCTGTGCAAAGATTCAATCAGTTTAATTTTGGCCATCACAAGAAGTGGGTTATTGATGTTGACAAATGCGCATGTACCCTTTACAGCTCATTTTATGTATGTTATTACCAATGGAAAAAAAAGCCAGTCAGTCACTCAATAGTGTCTGACAGTGAAGTCTTGCAAGTAAACATGTTTCCTTGCATAATTTGAATATTAGGACACTGCTAATGTTTAAATTTCACAGATAGGACATACATGACATATTCATAATTCCTGCAAAGTTCTACAGAATTTAAGGATGGCTGCAAAGGGGACATAGTACCTTTAAGACTATGAAAATGTGTATTTATTTGCTCATTGCCTTTGACATGGCTTCTGTTGTTACATTTAATTATAATGTCTGTTACTAATGTAAACTGACCTACATCAATATTATGTTGGAAATACAGCCTGCCTGAAAAAAAATTTGAACTGCTTTAGAGAGAAAACCTTTTTTCATTTACTTGAGCAGTGTTTCTCATCTGTATTGAGGGAACTTGTCTATAATGACCACTTCTATAATTTCCCTTGAACAGTTTCACCTACAGATGTGACAGCAACAAACATTGGAGGAGATGATAAATACATAACTATTTCATTCTCTTCTAGACTAATCAGTGACATTGGTCTTACACACAAGAGGAAGACGGCCGTCCATCGTTTATCAGGAGGAATGAAACGTCGCCTGTCCGTAGCCATCGCCTTCGTAGGAGGCTCTCGTACCGTCATCTTGGACGAGCCGACAGCTGGGGTTGATCCTTGTGCAAGGAGAGCTATCTGGGACCTGCTTCTCAAGTATAAACATGGTAATTATGATTTTGATATGTTACACGATGTGAACATTCTTTCCCATTTTGTCGTTCAGTGCTCTTGTGTGTCTCTTTCCTCTAAACTTTATCCTCTCTTCATGAGCTTACCCTTTCCAGAGTCTAATTTAAAGTTACTTTAAAGCAGAACTGCACTACTCGTAGCTACTTGCGCCCTCTATGTAGCAAACAATGCATAAGCGGTACCCATTGGTCCCCAATGATCCCCTTTTTCTTATGCTAATTGAGAGCTGATGAGATGAGATAACCATCTGTCAGTGACCTTGCATGGAGGTCTCCTGGCTAAACTAGTGCAGACAGGCTTTAAATGCCCCTTATAATTGCTTTTTCATTGTATTGACACCATTGACCTTTGACATTCCATCTTCTGCTCTTTCTCTCCTAGGTCCTACCATCCTCCTATCCACCCATCACATCTTTTCCTCTTTGATTGCCCATCTTGTATTCCTTCTTTCATACCCTCCACCCATCACCTCTACCTCATCTAATTGATTGTTCATCTTGTATTCCTTCTTTTAGGTCGTACCATCCTGCTATCCACCCATCACATGGACGAGGCAGACTTCCTTGGAGATCGTATAGCCATCATCTCCCACGGTCAGGTCAAGTGCGCCGGGTCATCCATGTTCCTCAAGACCACGTATGGAGATGGCTATCACCTCACGGTGGTCAAGAAACCTGCTGGACAACCGAACCAGGGCAATAGTGAATCAGGTAAACACTAGTGATTTAGACAAATAGCATTTGCTAGCTGTTTTAGGAACATATTTGAATTTGATTGCTATCATGTTTGAATGCTGCATTTAGTCTTTTACTAACAGCACTCTACAACCACAATTTTGTTATTTGATAAAATGCTCATATTTCATCAAAGACATGGATGCTTTAAGTACTGTAAAAATTAGAGTTTACTTTCAAAATTTGCAGCACTGACTTTTTACTATTCATACAATCTTTTTTTCAAAAAATGAGTATAAACTTGTTTACAATTACTACTACAATATTATTGAAATTACATAATGTACATTTTGTAAATCCCCCCCCCCTTGGAAGAACATGGATACATAATGTTAAAATCGTTACAAAATGAATGAATAGCCATATTGCATATTATAGGAAGTTTGATTTGATGCTCATACCTTGAGACATCTGAAGAAAAAACAGATACAGTGAAATCTGCTATAGCATCCACCTGTACAGAAGGACCTTCTGTCCATGAAGACCTTAACAATTGTTTCCCTTGATTAGTGGTTCTTCTTGAAACCTTTATCTAAGTACATGTACAACAAGACCACCTTCCTATAAAGATAGCTTTACTTATCCCTCATAAGATGTGAGTTGGTCTAGCGGCACGTTCACTTGGTCAGCTCTCTGTCTACGCCTACAAACTGGCTCAGCTAGGTGACCCCGGTTCGAAACTGAGTCATGTCTTTCGGATGGTAACGTTAAAGGTCGGTCCCCAGACGTAAATAATCATATCTGATTGATAAAACGTCTGTAAAAACCCAATACACACACACCTCATTCCATACAGATTTGACTGTATATATCATTCTTAAATCTAACTCTATTGACTTGATAGAAGACACCCTTGGTACGTCCTTCTGCACCCTTTGTACCGAGAGCACCGTCACCAAGTTCATCCAGGACCTGAAAACATCTTTGTAATGCATCATTTAAAAAAACGATTCTGTTTTATTCTGATATTTGAAAAATGTTTTAATACCCTGCTTTTACCAGATCTTTGCTCATTACCTGAGCTAGTTTGGATCATTAAAGTGATGTTTGATTTTTTTCCTCCAAATTCAGAGGATACCCTTGGTACATCCTTCCGCACCCTCTGTACCGAGAGCACCGTCACCAAGTTCATCCAGGATCTGATCCCCGGCGCCTGCCTCACCAGCACGAACCTCAGGGAGTTGTCCTACACCCTTCCCTTCGACAGCGTGGCCTGCGGGCACTTCCCCAAGCTCTTCACGGCGCTGGAGCAGAAGAAGGATAAACTGTACGTCTCAAGCTACGGTCTGATGGACACCACCTTGGAGGAGGTGTTCCTCAAGGTGGCGGAGAAGACAGGCGCCAATAGGCAAGGTGGGTTTGAATCGCTGTTTGCCAGGCAAGGCGTTAATCTGCATTTGCCACACTCAACCCGGATGAGGTAAACAGAAACCTGGCAGGAATTAATTCCTTGAAATGCTAGAGGGCTGTAATGGCAGCTAGGCTAAAGCCGGGGTAATAATTAATTTTTGCGCCTCGGATTAGAATTGTCTAGATAGACGGCGCTATATAAATGCCTATTATTATTATTTTCTAGCACTCAGTAACAACAAACTTGCATTTGTTATTGATAACAAGTTTTATGATGTTGGTCTTGAGCTGTGGAATTAAATTCCTACTCATGTAGGCCTAAACATCTTCATCATCAGTGGAACATTTTAAAGAGCATCTGAGACCTCACCTATTAAAAATCTTAATTACAGATCTGCGTAGAAGTTGACAGCTTAGACTCCATTGCTGCGAGAGGGCTGTCATCTCAGAGCACTCTCTATCCATAAGTTGCAGTGATATTAAAATTTTCAGAATCCATAAGTGCTTCTCAGCTTTTGCAGTGATATTAAAATTTTCAGAATCCATAAGTGCTTCTCAGCTTTTATTTTGAATATATGCTAAAAAGTTACATTAGTGTCTATTGTATTTATTTATCTGCACCTTTCTAACAGCAAATTGATATTTCTAATTCACATAAGTAAATCAATACTTGATACAGTCAAACCTGTCTATAGCGACTGCCCAAGGGAAACACAAAAAGTGGTCTTTGTAGACAGGTTCCTTTAGTACATATTTCAATTTTCAAGGGAAACAAAAAACGTGGTCTTTGTAGACAGGTGGTCACTAAAGCAGGTTTTACTGTACATTGTTAAGGACAAAATGTACTAATTGTGATTTAAGTAAAATTAAATGTATTTACATGGAAGACCAATCATTTCATTCCCTTGCAGATGTACCGTCAACATCAAGGAGTAGCTCATCCTCAGGGTTTGAAAGCTCGGCCGAATCTCAGGATACCCATAGCAGCTCAGGATCTAACACATTCAGGTTAGTACCAAAAACAAGGAGGTAGTGTCAAACCCAGAGCGATCTATACACAGAGTTTGGCCAACCCGGTTCGAGTTGGACACAATATGACAACTTCTGCTTTGTTGGGCAACCACAAAACAAAAGACTATATGCCATGCTGTGACCCAGTGAAACCAAGTTGGCCAAACTCTGTGTATAGATGGCTCTGGTCAAATCCATTATGGTTCTCTAGGAGGGGATGTCCCCCAAATGTTTTCAAGCACATCCTTAATAATTATAATAGCACATGTCCATCCAAGGGGATGCTCAAGGTGCCTAAAAAGTACTAAAGTTACCCTTCCTTTAGCCCAGCTGCTGCGATAAAGCACTCAAGGCATTTAGGGAATAAAGTCCTACCAGGTACCTGGAAGTGTGTCATGGTGTAGTTGTTCTGTTTTTCGCTTTCTATCATAAGGTCGTGAGATTGAATCCCACTCCAGGACATTAATTTCCTTCAGCAAGAAATACATTCAAATGGTAAATGGGGACCTGGTAGGAATTTATTCCTTGAAATAAGAGCACATGACAGCTGCTCTGCTAAAGCCAGGGTAATTATGCCGCATTGTTGTAGAGCGCTTATAGACTTCTGATAAATTAAATGTTAGGCACTATATAAGTACATATAATTATTACCCATTTTCTACACCTGGGTGCAGAGTGGCAAATGTAGATTAATGTCTTACCAAAGGCCTTTAACAATGCAGTGCAACTCAAACCACAAACCATGTGATCCACAGTCCGATAATGTATGCACTAGGCCTCGACACCTCTATATTAAACAATGACATTTTAAATGTTAGTAATATTGCGTTCAAAACATGTTCCTTTTCTTGGTACCGAATTATTTGGGGAGCTCAGCAAGAGCAAGATCTAAATGTTTAAATATTGCATGGAGATGGACAAGGATGTATGCTAGTAAAAACCCAACTACTGTATTATCACCAGGATTACTCTTTCAATTCTTAAAGTATTTGCTATTGCCTCATCTTTAACAACAGATCCTACCAGTATTTATAAGCAGGGTATCAGTGTGTACATTACTTATTTGGAAACAGTTCCTTCGATCGTTCGTTCATACAAAGAATATCAGGGAGTACATCATCTAGATAGGGAGATCCTTATTAAGCCAACTGATTGTCTCATCATCAAGCTCTCGAAGTCCAGAAGCACTGTGAGGGGATTTGTAGATAGGACAATCATCAATGACATGATCCATAGTTTGGAAACGTAAGGAAAAGAGGAAATGGGGATTTCAACTATGACATTTTATTTGAAGACTACGATTCCTTTATTTTCAGAACCCAATCATCATCATCAGACCAGTACCCATCATCATCACCAGCTGAGATGGAGAATGATGAAACTGAGGCTGGAGACGGAGAAGAAGGAGGGGGATCAGGAGGGGGTAGCTTCGCCAAGCTGTGGAGGAGGAGGAGAGGAAAAGGAGATGGAGCAAGGAGGAGCAGTACCGCCGGAGATGTACCTCTGATCAGCGTCAATGAGGAGACGAGTAACCATGGAAACGCTTCTGCACAAGACGGTACTCCAAAGTTTTATCACGTTGAAAAGATAAATGACTGCGAATTGATTACATTTGCACAATTTTCATTATGGATATGTGTCAACTCAGTATGTACATATAAAGGCTGGTCTAATGTTTTAGCACTTAAATTCTTTAATGATTGTTGTTCTGAATGCTATACAAGAGAAGACAGCTGGTGTGTATTACTTTCATGCTATGTCGTGTGAAATAGAGACTTTCAAAAATCTCATTTTGGATGATAGGTCGATTTCCATCTCCAGAGCCATTGGTTCAGATTAAAGCAGATAAATACCAGAATCTATCTTTATGATGGACAACATAAATGTACATTTACTTCAATTCATGTGTAATCTTACATGCATCAAGAGTATGATACAGTTAAACCTGCTTTAGTGACCACCTGTCTGCAAAGACACCTGCCTACAAAGGCCACATTGTTGTTTTCCTTGAAAATGGTTTATCATGTAACAAAGGAACCTGTCTATAAAGACCACCTGTCCACAAAGGCCACTTTTTGTGTTTCCCTTGGGTGGTCGCTGTAGACAGGTTTGACTGTACTTGTATGTAGACTCACATCTCCTCCATCCTCTTACCTCATTTGCATAGATGCTGCCCAGTTGGGTAACAACATCACCTTCACCAGGCACACCGGTATCCTCCACCACCTGATTGTCTTCATCGCGCTCATGAAGAAGAGGCTTCATCACGTCAAGAGGAACCCCAAGGGGCTCTTCTCCCAGCTGCTTCTCCCGGCATTCTTTGTTACCATAGCGATGACAGTGGCGCTCTCGGCTCCCCATATCGGCGATCTTCCTTCCCTCACCCTGTCTCCATCTCAGTATCTTCCCTTTCAGTATCCAGAAGGTGAGTTTGGGTTATGCCATTGGGAAAAGTGTGGAATATCATTTGAATTAATTCAAACAGATCAAGATGAACTTTTATTATGACATTGTACATGGATCACTATCACACGATCAAGGTTTAAGAGTTGATTATAAAAAACTTGGTGCATCTTAATCACAGGTACTTTTTTTCTTTTTGTTTTTCTTTTTTGGGTGCAAATCCAGCTTCAAGTGTGGAATATCATTTGAAATCATTCAAAAAGACCAAGATGAATTTTTATTATGACATCATAGATGAATCACTATCGCACGATTTTATCAAGGTTTTAGAGTTGATTATAAACAACAGAAGATGTTTTAACTTTGTGCATCTGAATCACAATTTTGTTTGTTTTTGTTTCTGTTTTTGGGGTGCAAATCCAGCTTCAAGTGTGGAATATCATTAAAATCATTCAAAAAGATCAAGATAAATTTTCATTATGACATTAATGATGATTCACTATCAGACGATTGATCAAGGTTTCAGAGATGATTATAAAAAAAAGATGTTTTAACGTGGTGAATCTTAATCGTAAGTATATATTTTTAAATTTTGTTATTGCAAATCCAGCCCAGGGTCTTCAAGTTGTAAAGATATCTGGAGGGTCGGATTTACTGTTCTTACTGACATATATGAAAATGAGATGGAGTACTCTACATATGTTTCTACTCATTGAAAACATATATCAATTTTAGTATGGATCTGCATATATAAGTACATGTATACGTTTATCAAAGATTTGGTTACAAAGAAGAAATAGAAAATATTAAACCTAATACGCTGTCATGGAAGATAAAGAAAATGCAATGTATGGGTTTATTATGCAGGATTCAAGTTTTCAGGCTATTGCCTGATTTCAGCCGTTTTGCATCTGTTTCAGGATTTTTCTGACACTATACTGACTAACATGTCTTTGTTTCTCTTAAGACTAAATCAGCAAACTTCCCGGGTCCCGTTTCACAAAGCCTTTTTTCAATAACAATTGACAAAAATCAGTGACAAATCTGCTGATAACCAATCAGTAGCAAGGATTTCAGTATCTTATAACACAAGCTGTCATTTGTCACTGATGACAAGTTTTGTGAAACAGGGCCCTGATATCCATGTTTGTGAGACCTTGCTAATTACTTCACAAAATTACGATACACTTCATGTTCAGGTAACTTCATCCCGTACACCGATGAGGCCCTCAACGACCGACGCAGCTACCGGATCTACCACTCCAAGTGCGGCGACGCCGGGCCCCAGCAGCTCACCGAGACCTTCAAGTTCCCCGCCGGCATCGGGGCCAGCTGCATCCTCAAGACCCCCTTCAACGGAACCCTGGACCAGCTGGTGGAGTCTGCCAACTACTCCCACAGCGTCGGGCTGACTGGACAGTACTATGATCACATGTGTGAGGAATCCTTCACTAAGGGGAAACCCCTTTCCAACTACGTTCCCACCCCGCCCAGTTCCAACCCTCGTGATGATGAGGAAGAGATAGACGGTGAGAAAAAAAATCTCTTCATTTATTTATTTTGTTCTTGCATGATTCGTCTCAATATATTTGTATGGGGTATTATAAAAGGGGTATGGTAATGACAAAAAGCCGAAAGTTGATAACAAGATTCTGAATATATTTGTGTGGGTAAATGCACAAGAGGGCTCTAAATTGAAAGCTTGAAGATCTAAGTTTTGCTGCATTTTATTCAACAAATTACATTCAAGCATGAAACTAATCATCATGTTAATCCATAAATCCCAAACTAATCCCATGTTTAGAACTCTAATCCCTTCATAATGATTAATAATGATTCCTTATTGATAACATATTATGAAAAGATTTGCATGGTTTTCATGTGAATGCTTTGATATACATGTATTATAGCTGAGAGCCTTTGGTGGAAAACGCTTTATAAGCACTGTATTATTATTATTATTGAAAACAGGAATGTACTTATATTGAACCGTTATTGCGTAACCTCATAGCCTTGACTTGTACATGTATATATACATGCATGTATTAGCATGGCAGTTTGCTTAATTTTTGTTGGTAAATATCATAAAATCTTTCATTCTCCAGTTTTGATATGGTACATGTATGGGGACTGCATTTTGGTTAAGTTAATATTTAGCGTTGATGGACATGATTTTCGGGCTCATGCACGATATATGTTTTATTTTTTATATCCTCATGTTGCAAGAAATGGCAGTTTGGACAACTCCAGTTTAACATGTAGCATCCCACTGCCATATGACTCGTAACCTCTCCCCTCCCATCTTTCTCCCATTCTCCCTAGTTCCCTTCCCATCTCTACTGACCCCCTTCCCCCTCTTTCCTCTCTCTTCTTCCCCCTCTCCTTTCCCTTTTCCTTCTCCCCCTTGTCCCCCTTCCCCCTCTCCTTCCCCCTCTTCTTCCCCTTTTCCCCTTTTACTTGTCCCCCTTCCCTCTTCCCTGCCCCTCCCCATTCCCCCTCCCCTTTCCCCTCCCCTTTCCCCTCCCCTTTCCCCTCCCCTTCCCCCTCCCCTTTCCCTTCCCCCTCCCCTTCCCCCTCCCCCTCCCCTTTCCCCTCCCCTTCCGCTTCCTCTTCCCCCTCCCCTTCTCCTTCCCCTCCCCCTCTCCTTCCCCTACCCCTTTGCCCCCTTTTCCTTCTCCTCCCCTCGATCCCCCTCCCCCTCCCAGTTTCCACCTCCTCCCCTTCCCCTCCATTCCCTCTGACCCCACCCCCATTACTTTATGAGTTGTGTTTATGTCCTGACAGGCCTTAGCAAGAATGCGAGTAATCACTATTAGACTTTTTATTTTGATTTTGCATCTCCTTTGCTTTGTCCACATTTAGATGACGAGAGTAAGTATAGTTTGATTGATGTCTTTATTTCACAGACAGTGACTGTGTGACCTCTGCAATCTACCTATCTCTTGAATGCTGCAATATACATTCAGTGCACTGTTTTACTTGAGCAATCATTACAAACAAATTAGCTCTTCTTCAGAAGGCACAGATTTTAGTCTTATTTTGTTTATTTGTAAGGTTCATAACAAATTTTTTGGGTTTCAAAAAGATGTGAATCATTTCCTTTGAATTGTGACAAAATTTTGCAACGTTGAAAATAAATCTGTGTTTTTGGAGTGATTCTTAAAAAACAATGAGTATCAACTCTTGGTTAATTGCTCTTTGACATAATTTTCTTCTTTGCTTTTTCAACATTTGAAATTTATGGTATTTATCCAAGTTTGATAACCAATTCTTTTAAAGTCAGTATAGGGATGTAGTGCAAACTGAGTCTTTACTATGATAAACTAGTATTTCTGTACTAAAAATAGACAAACTCTTCAAACATTCTTCTATGAATTAAAAAGTACATTTGGTGCAAATGCAAAATTTACATGTATGTATAACAATAGATAAACAGTACATTTATGAATTACACCTCTACAGTATGTCTTATTCTCAGCACCCAGAATCTTTTAATTCTTGCAAATATGGCACATAGCATGCGAATTAGGACAAAACATTGTCCTTTTCAGTATATTTCCAGTATAAATCTGCTTCTTCATGTAGCATAATAGAGGTTCCATCTTGGATTGAATAATATGATTTGAGAGCTCAGTGTGAGACGCAATGTACTTTAATTTACAGTCAAACCTGTCTTTAATAGTGATCACCTCTATATAAAGGCCACCTGTCTAAAGTGGTGACCTGTATTGCCTCCTCTAGAAGGGAACATGTTTTGAAGAACCTGTCTATAATGGCCACTCTTGTCTACAGTGGCCATTTTGTGTGTGTTTCCCTGGGTGGCCTTAAAGCTTATCTGCCGTAGTTTACAGGAGGGATTAGACCGCTCTGCAAGGTCACTGGACAGGTGGTTATCTCATCAACTCAGCTCTCAGTTAACATAAGAAAAAGAGGATCATGGGGGACCAATGGTCACCGGTTGGGAATTGTTTGTTATATAGAGGGCGCAAGTAGCTACCAGTAGTGCAGTGGGCCTTTAATATACATTTTAGACAGGTTTGACTGTATTTTTCTTTTTGCACTGTGTGGTTTGCTTTAACCTTTGTTCATTTGAAGTGCTGCACAAATGCTTAAACTATCATGGGATGAAATGTTCAAGGCAATGTAATCTGCACATGTACAGTACATGCAGGCTCAGAATCGTACTGACTTCAGATCATTATTGCGATTGTCTACGATTTGTAGCCAGCTCAGCTCTTATTCTGACAAGAAGATTTAAATGCACTACAATTCTGGTTGTTAATATTGTTATTCTCATTTAGAACCTAGATCTGGAGGGCAGTGTGTTGTATAAATGCCCTGCCGTCAAAGATTGGATTGCAGGAAAATCATGTAATGTGCGGCGGAATTTAGTTAGATTCCTATATCACCAGGTCTTTTGTCTTTTCACAATAACGCAAAGATCATAGTAGTGCTACACAAAATTTCTTCCACACTTGGCCAACTTGCCATTGGGTCAGTAATTCGATACACTTTCCAAAACGCCAAATCACTTGCCCGAGTATTTGAAAGTAATACAAACACTAGGCCCATTTACACAGCCCAAACTCCATTTTGAAAAATTATTAATTTTTGGTTGCAGTCTGAATGCAGCTGCTGATTGGAATACTTTCCTTACTATTGATTTTAAGTGCCATTCAGCTTATTCTGGCTGCCATGGGAAACCAGTGGAGCGTTTCACAAAGACTAAGATCGACTTTAAGTTGGACTTAACTATGGCAGGCCGTTCATGCCACTGTTTGCTCTCACCATGATGAACTTTAGATAATACCTTTTCCTTCAATAGTGAATTATACATAAATACAAATTTGTTAGATTTGTGACCATGATTTGTATGCTCCTTGAGAGACCAAGGTCAGTAAATGGTGAGAGAAAATTGTGGCATAAATGGCCTGCCATAGTTAAAGGTTAAGACCAGTATTGGAAATGCCCCAATTTCAAAAAATGAAATGGAAGCTCTTATTACCAATCATGTGAAAGAATATGTTTTGATTAATACATGATGATAAAAAACTTGCCAGGAAACCGCCTACTAATTCATATATTTGGTAAATTTTTTTCTCTCATGGACTGTGAGAGATATAGGGTAGTCCCATATACATCTTTCTGTGTATAGTGCTTGTAACTCTACGAAGAATGGGTCAAATTTCTTATCATTTTGATGATTCCAGAACCTTGCAGATGCTAGATGCTAGATGATCAACCTTTTCTGATCGATTCCACAACGTTTCTTTCACAATGCAATCGCATGACCATAACTGGTCTTTACCTTTAAGTCCAACCTAAAGTCGATCTTAGTCTTTGTGAAACACTCCCCTGACCGTTTTAGCACGATGACTCCCTTGTATCACAATGTGAAGACCCAAGCATACCGGTGTTCAATTGAAATATCCCATAATTCTCAACAATAATTGGATTTCTTTGTTCAACTTTCAAAGATGCCTCTGACAATTCTTTCATACATGACATTATTAATGGTGATACCCTGTTATTTGTGTTCATGGTGATCTATTTTCACAATAAAATATAAGAGTAGTTAAATTCTTTAGTTTTTGCAGCACTTTGCAATTCACACACCACACCATCTTCTCTCAAAATCTTTGATTCATTTAAAAGTTTCCTATTTAGATCTGCAATTTTCACATCAAATTAATAGATACCGGTAGTTAAGATATTCTGTGTTTGCGTTTAGCAAAAGAAAATATAGTTTCCGTCATTCTCCTGTATAAAGTTAAATTTTGGTGTTTTTGTGTTCTAATAAGTATTTGCCTTCAGCGTATTACCAAATTACAAAATCATTTTTGACTCCTGTAATTCTATGCTTCTTATTTAAGATTTGTCAGATTTCAGATATTCCCTGAGAGGAACTTCCAGGGCTTTTTAAAGAAAGAGTTTGAATACTGAGAGAGTTACCTTTTTGAATAAATAAATAAATCAATAAATAAATAAATATATAAATACATGAATAAATTAAATTGAAAGTCCTTTCTGATACCCATGTACCTAATTTTGTAACACTACTTAACAACAATCAAAATTTAATGCCCACCAAATGACCCTAACCCTAACCTGAAGTTAAAACACGATTACAACCCAAATTGTAACCCTGTATCTTTGACAAAAATAAGCCTGGAACAAAAGTGCAAATATCAGATGACCATGTACGGTAAATAAAATGATTTACTTCCAATTAACTGTGCCTAATGTAATATATTTCATAATAATTCAGAAGCCCATGGTGGAACCCACATCAAGGAGGTAAAGTGCTCATGTTCCGAGGATCGCAAGAACTTCCAGTGTCCCAAGAACGTCGGCACCCCTGACCCCGCGGTCCTGGAGGTCATCACAAGTGACCAGCTGCAAGACGTCAGCGGGAGAAATCTGTCTGAATATCTGCTCTATACGACAAACAAGTTCAGACTTCACAGGTAAGCTACATGTAATTTGAAGGACATTTCGTAATTATGTAAGTGTCGTATTAAAGAACATTGACACCCGTGACCCTTAGAGTCTAGAGTTTGAGGGTTCAAGCAATGGTGATCAGCTACTGGAACTTAGTTGGGGAAATCTGTCACAGTGTATGCTCTTGTCAACAAACAGGTTCAGGCTTCACAGGTAAGCTACATGTAATTTGTAGAACATTCTGTAATCACTAAGTGCCTTTAGAATGTTGTGACCCTAGTCTAGAGTCTGGAGTTTAGGGTTCAAGCAATGGTGATCTGCTACTGGAACTTAGTTGGGGAGATCTGTCAGAGTATCTGCTCTAAATGACAAACAGGTTCAGACTTCAAATGTAAGCTAAATAGAAAGCTAAATATAATACAATTATATAAATACAGTAAGAAATTCAGTGGAAAAAAACAAAAATCAGTAACAGGAATATTTCTGCACATCTTTTTGATACAACAAAAAAGTTCAAACTTTACATGTGAAATACATGTAGGGTATCCCAATGGCAAGAATACCATTTTGCAAGAAAATGTTTAATTGATTAGATTATATGTAAGCCAGTGTGACAATAAATAATGTATTCCTGTGCTCATCAAAGCATACTACTGGTAGATATATTTCAATTGAATTTGATCAATGTTGGAAAAGGGAAATGACCCCTCAATATTATTTGTATATCTACAGGTATGGAGCTCTGTCATTTGGCAATGTTAGAAACTTTGTTCCTCCAAAATTCAATGATGAAGTGCCTGCCATCTACAAGAAGATCGCTGTGCGCAATGCTGCAATGGTAAGTCCTCAAATTGGCAACTATTTAGATTCACCATATGTTCTAACAGGTGCACGTGGTTTAGTTCAAATGAGCTGTCAATGAAACTAGGTTTTTGTACTGGTTTGTAAAGCTTCAATTACACATTACATGATAATCGTCTGAAGAAAACAAAATGCTTTTGCAAATATGAATATTTTATATGAAAGAGAAGGGTGGATGGAAATGCTAAAGAGGACCTTCATTCAATAAAGATTTCTTAGTCTACTTACTTATCTACAGTATGTGTTTTAAGATACAGCAATTTGAAGTGCACTTTTCATATGTCATTATATTTTAGAACTTTGTTATAGGTGATTTACCTAGGCGAACAAGGCTTCAGTCATGTAATAACTTGTAATGCTGCTCTGAACATGTGATCCTCATCATTAAAAAAATGCATGATCTCATCCTTTATACCATTTTGTTTGAATGATGTGGTCACACATTAATGCGGATATGCCCAGAAGCATGCTTAAAACCTGCTGTATCTCGGGATCGAACCCATTATCAATCCATGCTTCATGAAAATTGAGTCATCTTTAATGGGCTATAAATTGAAAGTGAAATGAGTCTGCATTTTTCATTGCTTATCTTCCTTTCAGACATGGCACAACCACAAAGGTTTCCACAGCCTGCCGACCTATCTGAGCGTGATGAACAATGCTATATTGAGAGCTAACCTAGACCCTAGTATCCATGGTAACCCCTCCGCATATGGCATCTCAGTCATCAACCAGCCGATGAACAAGACCAGCTCCACCATGCTAGATGATTATTCGTAAGTCTTATCTAACACCGGTGTCAAGCCTTATCTAACAGCAATGTCAAATCTCATCTGACACCGGTGTGAAGCCTTATGCAACAACGGCGTGAAGCCTTATCTAACAACTGTGTGAATCCTTCTCTAACACCAATCTTAAGCCTTATCTAACACCAGTGTCAAGGCTTATGTAACACCAGTGTCAAATCTTATCTAACACTGGTGTCAAGCCTTATTTAACACCGGTGTTTGGCCTTATGTAACACTGGTGTCAAGCCTTATATCACACCGACGTCAAGCCTCATCTAACACTGGTATCAAAATATTGGATTGAGTAACTCTCTTGAGCATCCTTTATATCTGATTCTACTTACACTTTTTTTGATTGGTTTGTCTGATTTTTCTGCTTCTATTGAAAATAAATTATTTTTGGAGTGGACTTGGCCTTTAACCCTTACTGTACTGGGCTATTTTGAGCACCCACTGACTGGGGGGGGGGGGGGGGGGGGGGGCCTGGGAGGCCCCCCCCCTATGATCTCGGCCGTCGATTGTCCGATGAACACGAAAATTTGCACGTTTGTAGATATTTACGTAAGGAACAAGATGGTACAATTAGTTTTTTCCGAATATGCAAATTTTTGTCGTTAGCCTAATTAATTATGCAAAATGCGCTAATTTTATGCATTTTACAGAAAACGTGTCAAACTCCACTTTTTGAATGTTGAAACTCATTATTCATATGAAATTTCTTTTCTAACACAAAAAAGTTATTTTAATGTAATTAATAATGATAATTAATGCAAATTTTGATGGATTTTTAATTTTTTTTGTTGTTTTTTTGATGACATGCGCATACTAATTGTTATGTAACGCCTTACAGGTATATCCGATTTTGACGAAAATGGTATCAAAATGTGCGTAAGACTTCAGGGAAAAAAGTCATGAAACGACAATTCAAAATTCCGAGCGGTTGCGGCGCAATCTCCGAAAATGTCGAGGGGGGGGGCCTCCCAGGCCCCCCCCCCAGTACAGTAAGGGTTAACAGCTAGAGCCATGAAAAAACATGTCCAAAACACTTCGGAAATATGTAGAGAGACATTAACCGGTAGTGGCTATGTTCTTTCCTAATTGGAATATAATGCATATTACTTGTTTTTCAACTTTTCTTACATTCTTTACTACCTTTCAATTCTGCAGTCTCCAAGAAACATCTCAGGTCCTGATTGCCATGTTCATCATCGTGGCCATGTCCTTTGTACCGGCCAGCTTCGTGGTCTTTGTGGTAGCGGAGAGGGCCTCCAAGGCCAAGCATCTCCAGTTTGTGAGTGGGGTCAGCCCTCTGGTCTACTGGTTGTCAAACTTCTTCTGGGACATGGTAAGTTTCACAGAAATAATATTAATTATACATGTAGCTAACATTTATAATGCGCCTAATACTTTGTTTCTAGGCGCAGCACATATTATTACCCTGGTCATCGATTCACGCTTACCTGTAACACAATGTATGCACCTTTTCCACTCCCTGGGGAGCATTCCCCTTTCTGCTTCTCATGCCTTTGGTGTAGGCACTACTGGTAGATGTCAATCAGTTGGACAAACAAACCAATTTAGAAGTTGAGGTATTAACTAAAGGATTGTTACCTAATTTCCCATGGTCAAGTCGTATCTTATTTTCTCTATATCTAACCTGATTCACTGATCTCATTATCTGTCAATCTATATGTATCTACATTATCTATCTATCTATCTATCTATTTATCTATCTCTCTATTGATCAATCTATAGATCTTTCAATGTATCAGTCTATCTGTCTCTTTATTTATCTATCTATCTATCTATTTATCTATCTCTCTATCTGTCTTTTTATCTATCTATCTATCTATTTTCTATGTATAAGTCTATCTGTCTTTTTATCTATCTATATATCTATCTTTCCATGTATCAGTCTATCTGTCTTTTTATCTATCTATATATCTATCTTTCCATGTATCAGTCTATCTGTCTTTTTATTTATCTATCTATCTATCTCTCTCTCTCTATCGATCTACTTATCTACCTTTCTGCCTTTCTACTTATCTCTCTATCCACTCATTTAATAAATCATCGAACTACACTTTTTCTTTAGATTTGCTTTCATCTATGTTGGTCGATTCAGTGTGTGTGATGTCATTTGCATACAATTACAGTCAAACCTGTCTATAGCGACCGCCCAAGGGAAACACAAAGTGGTCTTTGTAGACAGGTTTCTTTAGTACATGTTTCAATGAGAAAGCATTTTCAAGGGGAACAAAAAATGTGGTCTTTGTAGACAGGTGGTCACTAAGGCAGGTTTGACTGTATAAGACTGAATAGTTCCTCCAAATGGGTAGACCTCTCACATCTCCCCTGGTTCACACAGTTTCTCTCTCTCCTTATAATTTCTGTAGTGTGCAGCTTTGTTTTTTGTCTTGTTTTTCCTGTTTTGTCATGTCCTGTGTTATCTTATTATGTCAGTTTCCTGTCCTTTGTGTCCCGTTTTGTAATTCTTTTTTGTTGTTGTATATTACAATTATTTAGACACTTTTAAAGGGTTTATGAAAATATGTTATTATATTATATTTATTTTACTATGATTATTAAGACACTTCAAAATGATTTATGAAAATAATGTTCATATTATATTTATTCTTGGGAACCTACAAAAATAAGCTATGCTTTCCAGTAGGTTCCTGTTTCATTCAATTATTTTGAACTTATTTTGTCAACTATGTTTTTTCTTGTGCAAACAATTGATATATGAAATGAAATAAATTCCAATCAATCAATCAATCAATGATCTCAAAGATGACTGAATCATTCTCTTGTTATACTACTCTTAGACAAACTACTTGATACCAGCGGCTTGTTGCGTGACGATACTCAAGGCATTTGATATCCCAGCTTATTCATCAGCTACCAATCTCCCAGCTGTTATCATCCTATTCTTGCTATACGGGTAAGCATCGATGTCACTTGTGTTCATTTTAATATTTTGTACAGATGTGAATTTATTTTATAGGATTATGATGTCTCAGACCTTCTAAAGATAAACTCCAGTTCTGGTAAAAAAAAAAAGGAAATTAATTCTCACAGAATCAAACGAAACTTACACTGAATGTTCAAGATTACAAATAAATGACATGTGCCAAACAATTTTGGAAGAAAATGTATACTGGCTGAGTAATGAGCATAGAAAGACAAGGAAATCAAGGTAGTACTAGCCCCGACACCATGTGTGTTGTCCCATATATAGCTTTCTGTGTACAGTGCTTGTTACTTTACTAAGAAAAATCCGCGACAAATACGAGCCACAAACGTTCTATGTTCGTTATCATCCGTTAAACGTCCGCTGTATCCTCTCTGCATCCTCTTGGGCATCCTCGCAACTCACATCCGCTGCAGCTGAAAACGGAAAGAGGGAGGAAAGATAAGGTACATGGAACGTCTATAAATCGTTAGTAGCACGGAAATAGAAAGGATGTAAGCGTATGCATCTCGTATATGAAGTATTCAAAGCTGTCATTCACTTCCATCCTATTTCATCCGCTAGGCTTCCGATGAACATCCGTTTAACATCCCCGCTACATACTAACCACGTCCGTTATTTTCTGTTCTGTTTTCGCAAATTTTGTCCATTTCTGGAGCGGATGAAAACGGATGGAACCACCCCCGAGATTTTGCTCGTCCGCTGTGTCCTTTATGCATATGTTTTGTGTCCATCGGCCAGTGGGACGGGCCATAAGCTTGCAAAGAAAGGCAATTTTATTGGTAAAATTATGTTTTAATGATATTTTCATTTTGTCTTTGTCTTTTGTATTCCTTCACTTAGTTTCTCCATCACACCGATGATGTATCCAGCCTCATTTGTCTTCAAGGAGTCCAGTCTCGCTTACGTGTGTCTCATTGTCATCAATCTCTTCATCGGTATCACTACCATCTGTGGAAGCTTCCTGGTGGAACTCTTCAATCTCGACGATGAGGTACCTGAATTTGATACATATTTCAAGTGTTAAAGCCACACTGCACTACTTATAGCTACTTGCGCCCTCTATAGGGCAAACAATGCATTATCGGTGCCTGTTAGTCCCCCATGACCCCCTTTTCCCCCCTTTTTTCTTATGTTAATTGAGAGCTGATTTGATTTGATAACCACCTGTCAGTGACCATGCAGGGAGGTCTAATCCCTCCTGGCCAAACTAGTGCAGATGGGCTTTAAGTTATTTGATGTGTTATGAAAATCCTAAAGTCCTATCTAAAAACGTGATTTGGTAAGGAGATAGATGATTAATCGGCTGAATTGTAATGGCAGCCTATGTTTTTCTGAGCCTGTATCATCTTGTGCAACTTCTGTACTGGTCTTGGTCTAAGTAATGGTTCATTATGATGATAATATGGTGATGACTTTATATTCTGTATTGATTCATTTAACAATCTTTAGAAAGGTTTGTATGACACACTGTACTCTTGTGTATCTCATTTATAACTTGCAGCTTCTCAAAAAGGTGTATGACACAATGTACACAGTCTTCCTCATCTTTCCAAACTACTGTCTTGGCCGGGGTCTCATGGACCTAGCTTACAACGACTACATGAATGAATATTACACCAAAATTGGTAAGAACAAAGAATGTGTTGCTTTAAGTTGTTTGTATTAAGGAAGAGCTATTTCATTCCCCAACTTTAGTTTATGATAATTATTACAAAATAAATGGAGGAGAATAAAGTCTTTCATAGGATTTTTTAAAATATTTTTTGATTTCTTTTATACCCTGTGTTCAAAATAATGTTGCAGATGTTATAAGCTAGCTAACTGATGCTTTTAGATAAGTTTAATATAACACTACCTACTTTCACAGAAAGCAGGTTGAATGAAATCCTACTTGAAGCATGGCCGATGCTCAATTTCACGTTGGAATAAAGTTGATGAATGTTCAATTATTTTGATATACTTGCATCAAGTTAAATAAAATAAAGTGGTCTTTATAGGCAGGTGGTCTTTTTGTACATGTTCCTTTAGTATCATATTCAATTAGAAACCATATTTAAGGGAAATGAAAAATGTAGTCTTTACAGACAGGTGGTCTTTCTATACAGGTGATCACTGAAGCAGGTTCAACTGTATACCAGGGGAAGTCATTTTTTAAATTCACTCCAACTTGAAGCAGGTGAAATTCACATTTGAATGAAGTTGATGAATGTTCAATTATTGTGATATATCAAGTTAAATAAATAAATACCGGCTCCTTTAGTACCATATTCAATTAGATACTAAATTTATGGGAAATGAAAAACGTGGTCTTTATAGGCAGGTAGTCTTTATATGTTATTCCGTTTGTCCTCATTTGTCTCACACAGGTGCTGTTGATGAGGTGCAGTCACCATTCAGATGGGATATGCTGAACCGGATGTTCTTTGTTATGGTCCTAGAGGGCGTTCTTGCGTTTGCGTTTACCGTCCTGTGTGAATATGGATATATCCTCAGAGCCATGTAAGAAATACCGCCCTCTTTGAAAACAATTTTTATGCCTCCGCCACCGAAGGTGGTGCCGGAGGCATCATGTTTTCGGGTTGTCCGTCCGTACGTCCGTACGTCCGTCCCGTTTGACCGTTATCACAATATCTCAAGAACCATTTAAGATTTAAACTTAAGACTCAGGAATAGTATTTATCACCATAGGAAGACGATCTGATTAGATTTTGGAGTACGTAGGTCAAAGGTCACAGGTCACAGAGGTCAACCTATGAAATTCCTTGTATTGAGTTTGTTAGCGCGATATCTCAAGAACCATTTGAGATTTAAACTTCAAACTTAAGGATAGTATGTATCACCATAGGAAGACGATCTGATTAGATTTTAGAGCACGTATGTCAAAGGTCAAGGGTCACAGAGGTCAACTTATGAAATTCCATACATTCGAGATTGTTATCATGATATCTCAAGAACCACTGGAGATTTAAACTTCAAACTTAGTGATAGTGTGTGTCACTATAGGAAAACAATCTGATTACATTTTGGAGCACGTAGGTCAAAGGTCAAGGGTCACAGAGGTCAACTTATGAAATTCTATACATTGAGATCGTTATCGCGATATCTCAAGAACCACTGGAGAATTTTCACTTCAAACTTAATGATAGTATGTATCACCATATCATAATATCTCAAGAACCACTGGAGATTTAAACTTCAAACTTAATGAGATTGTGTATCACCATAGGAAGACAATCTGATTAGATTTTGGAGCACGTAGGTCAAAGGTCAAGGGTCACAGAGGTCAACTTATGAAATTCCATACATTGAGATTGTTATCATGATATCTCAAGAACCACTGGAGATTTAAACTCCAAACTTGATGATAGTTCATGTATGTATCACCATAGGAAGACAATCTGATTAGATTTTGGAGCACGTAGGTCACAGGTCAAGGGTCACAGAGGTCAACTTATGAAATTCCATACATTGAGATCGTTATCGCGATATCTCAAGAACCACTGGAGAATTTTCACTTCAAACTTAATGATAGTATGTATCACCATAGGAAGACGATCTGTTTAGATTTTGGAGCACGTAGGTCAAGGGTCACAGAGGTCAACTTGTGAAATTCCATGTCTTCAGCTCGTTAATGCGATATCTCAAGAACCATTTGAGATTTTAAACTTCAAACTTAAGGATAGTATATATATCACCATAGGAAAACGATCAGATTAGATTTTGGAGTACATGTATGTCAAAGGTCATAGAGGTCAACTTGAAAAATTCAGACTACATGTATAGGACTTGTCATGATATGTCAAGAACCACTTGAAATATGTTCCGTTACTTAACCCGTACTTAACTGGGCTATTTTGAGCACCTCCCTGACTGGGGGGGGGGGGGGGAGGGGCCGATTGCCTCAAAATTTGGCACGCGTCTTGAGAAATTGCGCAAAGGAAGAGACCTCACTATTATTTTGTTGAAAATTGCTTATTTTATCAATTATGCTAATTTATGCAATTGCATAAAGGAAAAGACCTCACTATAATTTTGCTGAAAATTACTTATTTTATCAATTATGCTAATTTATGCAAATCAAATTCATGAATAATGATTTTTATTAACAATTACATAAATAAAGCTTTTACAGAGTTGATTTTGTGGCAAAAAGTTTCTAAAAAGCCTATCGGGCATTATCACATAAAAAAATTGTCCATGTCTATTTCAATTCTTATGTATTTCATTGTTTTATGAACTTCTTTTGTATTCTATTGTTATTAATTCTTAATCTTATGTATTGTATTGTTTTAGGACTTCTGATACTTGAGGTTGTTACGTATCAATATTTTGCTTGAATAAATGATAACTAAACTCTAAAGAGTAAAATTATGCTGATTTATAGACCAAACTAGAAACTTCACTTTGCCATTCATTTTGTACACAAAATGATTTTCGGCTTGACCTTAGGTCACAATAGGTCAAGTAACTCTCTAGTTTAAATTGCTCTATGGCGGAGGCATCATTTTCGACTGCGCGCAGTCAAAATTCCATCTAGTTTTGTAAGAACATTCTATGAAATAAAAGTTTTTGGTGTAGTGTGTAAATTTTGAAATTCATAAGCTTTGTATTTTTGTAATTTAAATGTAAAAAAGAAAAAGGGAAAGAGATGCTTCTTGCATTTGCGTTTACCCTCCTTTGTGAATATGGATATATCCTCAGAGCCATGTAAGAAATACTGCCCTCTTTGAAAACAATTTCTTTGTAAAAACATTTTATGAAGTATTTGGTGTAGTGTTAAAGATGTTCATGCGTGGGTATATAGTCGTTCGTGAAGTAGGCAACTTGGTGATCACTACATAACACTGAGCCAATGGGTATTACCCTCCCGTGCGTACGTTCGTGTGCTGCCCTGGATTATCCATGCATGAGCAAATTTAAAGTGTGGTATGATGATTTTCCTTCAAATTTGATTGAAATTTTGAAATTCGTATGCTTTGTATTTTTGTAATTAATATGTAAAAGAAAAAGGGAAAAGGATGCTACTTTTATTGCCCTGATTTGTCATGTTATGATTGCAAAAAACTTGAATAATGTTTTGTCTTACATTTCATTTCCTGTTTATTTCATGATCCTATGTTTCTCTGTTTCTATAACTTGATAAGAAGGACAAATGTTTCAATGGATCACATTTTTCTTAAATCGGTTGGCACAAGAAGATGTCCAGTATGGCTTGTAGTGAACTTTTTGTGTTGACTTTTGGTACATGTACATGTAGCTGTATTACTATTATGACATAACACTTTTTTATTTGTTTTAAAGAAATGTTTGGCTTGCACCCAGTTGACAAAGATTGTGTAATTGAAAACAAGTCAGAAAAAAGCTAGGAACTAGCAAGATTTTTTCCTAGATTTTGTCTGACTTGTTTACTAATACAAGATTAAGCATGTGATCTTATCTTCTAGGTGCAAGCCAAAAATTTCTTAAGAACTCTTGTAACGTCTCCCAGGTATCCTAACATTCACAACTTTTCTGATTGTCTTTCTCTTTTCATTCCAGAGAGATATTACCTTGTTTTAGAAGAAAGAAAGTCGACAAGAGTCTTCTATTCAGTGAAGATGGAGATGAAGATGAAGCCTAACATTCAAAACTTTTCTGATTGTCTTTCTATTTTTCTATTCAGAGAGATACCTTGTTTTAGAAGAAAGAAGGTTGATAAGAGTCTTCTATTCAGTGAAGATGAGGATGTATTGAGGGAGAGGCAGAGAGTGCTAGTCGGAGAAGCTTCACAAGATTTACTCAGGATTGAAAACCTCACAAAGGTGAGCATGACTATTGATCGGAATACTGTTGGTTATTTGTTAAATACTAGAACTCTTGTGACTTGCAGTTTTCACAAATTGTTTAAATCTGACATTTTTGTTGCGTAAAATTTTCATAAATCCTGGACCATTCTTGAAATGTGCAAAAGTTTCATGTACATGTATGCCCAAGTTTTTTAGTATTTTAGGAGTCGTTCTTCTCTCAACTTTCATTCAAGAGGTTTGGGTTAGAATTGTTTATTTTGTATGGTTTACATAAGGCCGTCTCTTCAGTACATGGAAACAGCTTTAGGAGAGAGAGCCCTTTATTGCATTATCCAACAAAAAGCATGTAAAAGAATTAAGAAGTGAAAGAATGCTATAATAGTAACATGGAAACTAAACAATTTGCATCATATAACAAATTCCTATCGTTATTATTTTATTACAGTTCATTGTTTCTAGTTCAATTGTTCATTGAAAATAATGAACACTGTTTTAGATTTTCAAGACCAATTGTAAAAGAGTTGGTTTTATAGTGCTCATGTTTCAAATGGGGTAATCATCCTCTCTTTTGCCTCAGAGTAATCTGACAAGAAAGATGTCAGATTACAAAATGCTTTGATTATGATTATCACTATTCATATCATACATGTACATGTACACTGTAGGTATGCATCATTTGTCATAAGTTGATGTGGTAAGATGAGCAAGTGTGGGCTTAAATGACGCCTGGTCGTAATGCTCCCCAGGGAGTGGAGAAATGTGCATACATTGTGTGTGGGCAAGCCTGAATCCGATGACCAGGGTAATCATATATCTGTAAAGCGCTTAGAAACAAACATCATTGATGTGTTAAGCGCTATATAAAAGCGGAATATTATTATTATAATAAGCGATGTATTTATTTAATAATTGAGTCTGTTTCATTTGTTTTTGCTGCAGATTTATAAAACTAGAAGATTAGGGAGACATCTAGCGGTGGATGGTCTGTGTTTAGGAGTGCCAGAAGGAGAGGTAAGAATCATTCATATAATTAGGATTCCTACATTATGAATTGGAGTTTCAACAAATTTTATTCTTAATAACTATAATCATTTTCCTCCTTTTCCTCTAAGAATTAGAATCATTAGAATCATGAATGAAGAGTATATAAGTGCGAGAATTCTCAACTCTAACATATATATATATATATATATATATATATATATATATATATACATACATACATACATACAGCTGAACTTTAACTTTAAGCTCCTGTGAAATTCAATATTAAACTCTGAAAAATATCATATTGTACTTATCTCATAAATCAGAAGAAGCACGTCAAGTCATCAAGTCCTCTAAATATTATCAATGTTTAATACTTTTCTTTATCTTGATTCGCCAGTGTTTTGGTCTATTAGGAGTGAATGGGGCAGGTAAGACCACCACATTTAAGATGCTCTGTGGTGATTTAGGCATCACAGGGGGAGATGCATATATCAATAGAGATAGGTAAGTCTTCTTTCCTTGTTTCCTTCAGTTACTTCATCTTATATCTGTGAATTATGGACATCTTTTATTATTTCAGCCTAACTTAGCTTAGACTGAAATGAAAATAGATTCACACAATTCACAGAGATAAGTGTTCACAATAAACCATGGTTGAAGGTAGAAATCATAGTAATACAAGTATATGGACATACATGTCTTTCCATTAATGTCTCATGATGATGTGATAACATTAATTCTCTTCAGGCCAATGACATTTTTGTATAGAGCAATTGCTTAAATGTATTGTATGCTGGTATTCATGATTATATGACCATATTGCTCTTCCTGGATGTAAACAGTCACAATAAAAAGTAATTTGAGTAAATCTTAAAAAGATTGTGTGGAAAGGAATAATATAAGTCCTGTTTTCTCCATTATCCCATATAAAAACCAATAATACAATCTAAAAACAATGCTAATATAAATTCAAACATTGTTTGACATGTTTGGCAATATGTTTAGCATTATTCAAGAGAGCAACAGAAGTCTTGTATGAAAAATGTATTTAACATATGGAATAGGCTTTTCCCTCCTGATAAAACATGAACTTTGTGTGAAGTCTGCTAGAAAACAATTGTGTTCCTGTTATTGTTATGACATTTGGTTCTGACTCTTTCATTTTTTTTAAATTTTTTTTGTCTACAGTATATTCAAGAAGAAGATGAAGGCATATAAATGTATAGGATACTGTCCCCAGTTTGATGCATTGTTTGATGAGCTCACTGCCAGAGAGCATCTATTATTCTATGCAAGGATCAAAGGGGTTCAACAAAAAGATGAAAAACAGGTATATTGATATGTTTTTTAAGTGTTTGTGTTTTTTATTTACAAATTATGATGATTATGATGGATAAGTATGGATTTGATGATCCCCTTCTCTTCTATGCAAATTCTAAAGGGTTCCAGCAGAAAGATGAAAATACATGTAGGAGAAATATTTATCTATAATTATGATCATGATAACATTAGGGTTTGTGTGTGTTGATAAGTATGGATTTGTTGAACTCACTGCCAAAGAGCATCTATTATTCTACGCAAGGATCAAGGGGGTTCAACAGAGAGACGAGAAACAGGTGACTTGAAATGATTCAATATGTAATGATGTGGACATCATCAGACAGGTTAGTGGATATGTGCCATACACAATGTGTAGGGGATACTCTACATGGTTGCTGATAAAGCATGTGATAAATGCGATCTTAAGTGGAGAAACATCATTTTGTCTGGTAAGAATCAGAAAGGTGTTTATTTAATATAAACTTAACATCCTTCTTGCTCTTAGCTGAGGGTGTATCTGTAGACCCTGAGATGTGTGATAAGAGAATATACAATTTTCTCAGACAAAAATTATGTGAAGTGTGATGTTAAGAAAGAATAATCTCGGGTCATGAAACAAAACCTATTAGATTGTCCATGTACCTTTAGAAGTCACAGTTTATTGTTGTATTGTCAAGATTTTCATAACGATACACATGTGTCCTTTACCGTGGTTGAATCTTGGGTGAAAGAATCATTTCTCATCATCTCTATTTTTGTCTCATCCTCTATTAATTTAGGTTGTAACTTGGGCATTACGTAAGATGGCATTGATGCAATATGCAGACCGACCGGTTGGGACATACAGCGGAGGCAATAAAAGAAAGCTGTCTACTGCCATCGCTCTCCTCGGCAATCCAAAGATTATATTCATGGTAAGATTCTTGAGTTATCCAGTGTTGTAGTAAAGTAGTAACCCGAAGAATCAAATGTGTTTTGAATTGATGCAAAATTCATATCATTGCAAAGGGGAAGCCTTACTGATCGAATACAACAACTTCCCTCTTCAAAATATGTTTGGGGCCCGCAGTAATCATCTCTCAAAAATGTTCATTTTGAGATCCAGATTTTCTGCCTTCAGCCATCCTCCGTAGAGCGTCAACATTTTTGCTGTCACATGCGAGACACAGCCAGCCAAAATATTGCATTTTACGCCTTTTCATGATATCTATATGATTTTTTAGCAAATTATTTGTGTTTTTCAAGAGAAAATCTTTCCATCCATTATGATTTGTCCATAATTATCAAGTTGTCATTTTTCTTTGGGTGACAACTTTAAAATTGAAATGGGGAAAGAAATCGGTATCAAGGACTTAAATTAGTGAGATAGTAAGTAGGAGTATAGACATGTTTAGTGTAATCTCCGTTTGTTGTCAGTAGATATAACAGATTCATGCATGCTCAACAAGAATTGAATATGTCCTCTTTCCATTCTCTACTCCTTCACATTTTTAACACAGCTTTTGCGAAGTATCACCTGTGTTATCCTTGCAGTGCTAGCCATTTGGCAATTGCTCAAAGCTGCTGGGGGGTGTTTCACAAAGACTAAGATTGACTTTAAGTTGGACTTAACTATGGCAGGCCGTTCATGCCACTGTTTGATCTCACCATTTACTGGCATTGGTCTCTCAAGGGACGTATAAATCGTGGTCACAAATCTACAGAATTTACATTTTTTAAAAGTTCATCATTGAAGGAAAAAATATTATCTAAAGATCAAATTGAGAGACAAATAGTGAGAGCAACCAGTGGCATGAATGGCCTGCCATAATTAAGTCGATCTTAGTCTTTGTGAAACATCCCCCCCCCCCCCCCCCCAGTTCTCCTATATTCATACATGTGAGTTTATCATTACTTTACATCATTGTCATGTATGATGCAGGATGAACCTACAACAGGGATGGACCCCCACTCACGGCGCTTCCTCTGGGACTGCCTCCTCTCCATCGTCAGAGAAGGTCAAAGGTCGGTCATCCTCACCTCGCACAGTATGGAGGAGTGCGAGGTCCTCTGCGGCCGTCTGGCCATCATGGTCAACGGTAAATTCAAGTGCCTTGGCTCCGCCCAGCATCTGAAGAATCGCTATGGCGACGGGTACACGGTGACGCTGAAGGTGGACGGGGAGAGGCCTTGTATTAAACCGGTTACAAGATGGTTCAGTCATACCTTCCCACATTCAGAACTCAAGGTATGCTTACTCTCTCTCTCTCTCTCTCTCCTTTCCTCCCTACCTCCCTCTCTACCCTCTTTCTCTCCCCTCTGTCTGTCTGCCTCTCTCTATTTATATCTCCATCTCTCTATCTCTCTCCCACTATTTGGAACAAACTACCCCCTAAACTTATAAAGTGTGCATCTTTAAACAGTTTTAAGCATCATCTAAAACTTCACCTGATACAGACAATTTGAATTTGACAAATGCAATTTTTATGTGTGTAGTTACCATTGTAGTATTGTATTTTCTTTACCCCTTTTTTGTTTTTTGTGTGTACATTTTTAGGATCATCTACCTATAAGTTTTTGTAACTTTTTTGATGATCCAACCACTTCGTAATTTCCTTTAGTGTATTTTCCATTTTAGTGGTTTATTGTATGTTTGCAAGAAACTATTGTATTATTTGCCTTTGTATGTTTTTATGAAAGTGGTGAATAAATTTAATTCAATCTATCTCTGTCCTTATATCTTGTGTTTCCTGAGTCTTTGCCTCTTTATATCTCTATGTGGATATCATATGTCTTTCTTTTCCTTCTCCCCTCTTCCGCTCCCTGCCAGTTCTCTTTATTTCTCTCAGTAATTATCAATACTAGAAGAAGACAAAAAATCACAAACTTGTAAGTCAATTTACCAAGGAATTTTCATGAATTCTTTTAGGCCCATGTATTGAGAGTTGACATATTTTTGTGCTTTTTGCTGTCTGTATTTTCCAGAATTTGCAGTTTTCTTGTTATGAATCAATGGTACATTTGTGTGTACTTTTATCCATGTACTACCAATTTTGTAAAGGGTAATTACCATAGATGGAAAATTATTATTTGCTCTTTTTGTAATTATTTGTTTTCAGGAGGAGCATTTTAATATGTTGCAATACAGTATAAAGCTAGAACACATTGATCTAGCTGCTATCTTCAGTCAGATCGAAGACGTGAGAGCCTTGCTGAACATCAAGGAGTACTCCGTTAGTCAAACAACGCTAGATGATGTAAGTATTCAGAGTAGATTTTACAAACAGTCTGACGAGATTTAATGAAGTGTGATGGAAAATATTTTTGTGGGACCCCCCCCCCCCCATCTCTCTCTCTCTCTCTATATATATATTTATATATATGTCGATTTAGAATTGGCTCACAGAACCTTCCAATAGAAACTGGAAGTCATAGATGTCCAGAAAAATTCCCTCACATCTACGAATTTGCAATGATTGAATACAGGAAAAGTTGGAGATGAATTTCACATCATAATGGACTGTACAAGATATAACACTGAAAGGAATGCATTTTTAAAATAAAATGATTGAAGCACCTGGGGAATTTAAAGATCAAAGGAAGAGAAATTTGTAAAAAATTATGAAATCATATGATGAAAATATAATCAATAATTTTTTTCAGTATTTCAAACCAATCATACCCAAGTCAACTGGCGTTCAATGGGTTAAGCATAGTGTCAATGGAATCTCAATTTCTATGTGTCTCGCAGGTGTTTGTGACGTTTGCCAAGCAGCAGGTCGGTCATGAAGACGATAAATCGTCAGGGAAGAAGGAGAGCAAGAAGTCCTCGAGGAAAACCAAACTGGAGATGAAATCTATGTTGCTTGATGAAAGTCACCTTGAATCGGACTCGGATGATGAGTTCCTTCTCAAATTCAGCAAAAATAGTGTAAGATTTCATCCTCTCTTGTTTGCCACTCTCTCGTTTCCCCCTCTCATTTTTATGCCTCTGTTACGAAGAAGCCGGAGGCATTATGTTTTCGGGTTGTCCGTCCAAACGTCCATCCATACGTACGTCCTTGCGTCCCTTACATCCATCTAGTTGTTTCTGTTCTCTGTCTTTTTCTATTTTGAAAGATCTTAGGCAGATTAGCCTTTTGCTGAATCAATTCATCCAATACGGTCTACATGCACCACCACTTTGTCTTCCACCTGTCAAACTCATACAAGTTCTGATTGTAATTTTTGAGTACTCATGCTTTCCACTCTTGATTCCTCTCCTTGTCTATCTTTTTTTTTAAAGCTCCTTTCAACTGCTTTCAACTCATCCCTTCATTGAGTTTCCCATTTATAAGTGGTGTAATGATCTTTTTTCTTTCTTCAAAATATTGTTACATGGGGTTAGCATCTTCCTTTTCATGTTCTTCTCTGTCTCATCCTCCGTCTTTCATTTGCACACTGTATGTCTCTCATTTGTCTACTTGTGATTTAGTGTATTGGAGATGTTGACTGCATTTCATTATATACATTTCTAAAATCTCTCTTTTTTTTTCTCTCTCTCTCTCTCTCTCTCTCTACAGCCTCATCTGACATTTGACATAGAAGTATGAAGCTCATGTCATCCCAGCGACCTCGACAGCCAGGACTATTAACCATAGCGACCACAATGACTTTGAATGTGGTAGCTGCATCATCAATCACCATCAGGAATGATGTGAACAAGAAGGAATTGAATGAAGCTATTGATAGAATAGCATCGAAGTAGCTGCTTTAGAAGCAATACTAGAATCAGTGTCCTGTGAGTCGTCGGTAGTCATAGCAACATAAATGAACATGAAGGATCAAGGATAATACTTCTGGGCGGTTAAGTCTACATGTACCTTGTGATAGTCGGTATATTGGGCATTTCAGCAGGTTTGAGAGTCCAATGAATCCAAAGGGAAAGCTACAAGTAGAACTTAATAGGGTTATGAAGTAGACCAGGTATAGAGAGACCTAGACCGTCAAGATTAGTCTTCATGGTAGAGGGAAAAATTTTGAAGGATGGACTTTGAGGGTCGTTTCTGAGATGTCCCGTGGCCAGGAACATCACATGTACGTACATGCTGGTATGCATGAAGCGGAACGGTGGGATGACAGAATACTCACTATCATGGAGAATTGAAGGAAACTGAAATCAACGCAAGAATTATCACGTCGCTAAAAGACCAAAGAGACCTGAGGACATCTTCTGGGATACAATGTACCTGTGTCAAGGATCCTGGTGTCCTGGAAGGCAATTCACAAAGCCTTTTTTCCAATGACAAATGACAAAAATGAGGGACAAATCTGCTGATAACCAATTGGAAACTAGGATTTCAGTAGCTATTAACAAAAATTGCCATTTGTCACTGATGACAAGTTTTGTGAAATAGGACCCAGATGTTTTTTTCCATCAGTCCCAACCGGAAGCTGTCATTTTTTCATCTCGACCCAACAGATTGGTAGCATGCAGAGAATGTGACCTGTGGCCTATGACATACAAAGTTAGAGGCTTGCAGCGTATTGCCTTTCTGACTTCTACTTCTGAAAGTTTCAGAAAGTGTTGAATGGCTGCATGAGCATGACAATAACTAGATTTGGAATATATTGTGAAGGTTTATCAAGTTGTGTGATAAAAAGAAGGGGCCTTTGAAGAGCTGCAGTTTTTCTGAAATAAGGAAATAACAACTAAGTGTCTATCAGTAGTTATATTAACGTACAGTAGTTTATGTATCAGTCTTGGTACGACATTCACAGTATATATTTTCCAAACTCATCCTAAACAAGATGCTGCGTATTTTTGTATCTCGTTTAACCCATTTTCATATTTTGTGGACTAGTGACATACTGATTATCGAACAAAATTTGATTTCATGTATACTTGTCTTGAGAAAAGGAACTCGTAAAACACTGCAGAAATATGAAATAGGATTTGATTCTTCCCAATACTCCATTTTTGATGTTGTGCATCTGTCGTTGTCTTCTCTGTGTGTCGTGTCGTGCAGACTTTTGCTATTCTTTCCTTCGCAGCATATATGTTAAGATTTTGACATGTTTGGCAATGTTTGTATGCCAAAGATCAGTTAGAAACAGAAAGTCGTAAGAGTTAGTATAAGCCAGGAGATCATGTCATGAGTATAGATATTTTATGGTGGTACATGTAGGTTACCAAAAAAACTTACTCAAAATCAAGGAATTTTATCCATGTCCTTGTAAACTTTCTCTAAACTTTAATAATGCAATATGTAGTTGGGGATTTTTGGGTTGATCTGTTATCACTCCTATCAATAGAACAGTGTTGAAATCGCTCTTACTACTAGTCTACATGCCATTTTTTCTTTCCTCTACAAGTATTAACAAATATGCATTATTAAATACATGATAAAGGATGTTATACCTTGTTCATACACATTACATAGTATTAAGAGCTATGTGTATGTTATTTAATGTATTTTGTATTTTTAATGTTACTTTCTGTAACTAAATGTCAATACTGGCATAGTTTATCTTCTACCATGGCTCTACTAGAGGTGATTGATCCTCTGTAATAGAAAAAGAATATTCAATCGACTTTTTTGAGAGCTAAAAGGTTGTCTATTCTATGAGAAAATCATGCCAAATTGTATGACATCATGTGTAATGCCCACTGACTGCCTTATTATTTAAAAAATATATAAAAAAGTAGCAAAGTAAATTATTATAAGTGTAAATGAAAGGCAAATTGGAGTGTAAAGAATTCTAGGTCCATACCAGATTGTACGGCAGCATTTGTAATGGAAACAAGTACAAGTATATGTAGTACATTTACACTTGAAAGGGTTATTCACACCTGGCGATGTAAACCGAAGTGCCAAAGTAAATCCATTCTGTATGAATGACAAGCGGGAGTGAAAAAGGATTTAAAAACAAAATAGCTGTAGGCAACCAAGGCTCCTAAATGCTCGTTCAGATAAAAGGCGATGAACCACAGCGTTTAAAAGAACGTAAGTGAATGGCAACTGCAATGGTCCTACGCATATTGACTGAACTCTGTGTTATAAGAAAATACAAAATATGAAGCTCATTACATTTACGTCATTGTTTAAAAGAAATGTGCAGTTTAACGAGTCATATCTGAGCAAGGCTTTGGCTTACTCACTAATGTGTGTTAACTCGTTGCTTACTGGAACCGGGTGGTCCCTGTGTTAAGTCTATGGGAATTAGAAAATTCGGTAGTCAACAGGTTAAAGAATACAGAAATGTGAAGTGCAGAATGATTATGGCATTTTATTTTGCTGCAGCTGCGTTTCCTTGGCAGTTTATTGGCCATGTGTGAATGGGCTTGATTATAGCACCAGACTACAGCACATTGCAATATAAGTATTTAAATTTTTTAGAATTTCAATTGGATGTGTAAATACAGTCTGTAATTTAGAGAGAGATTGATTGCACAGAAATGTGTAGTTCTGGTAGAGTTCTATATAGGGTAGTGCACACTGCATAATTTGTGTATGCAATTTCTTGCAATGCTCTGGGCATTCTGTTAATGTGTGTGTATGGAATATGTGCTATTGAAATTTAATTTTGATTATGAGCGCGATCACAGAAACTTACAAGAAATCAACACGGTGGCTATTTCTACATTCTATTATTGAATAGTTAATGTAATGATTATGTAATTGACTAATAGGTGATTAACAAGGTCATGAGTACCTCATATTCGCTCGTCATCCAGGTTGCTGGTGCTAAACAACAGAGCCTGCACACGAGGTTCACCTTGAAGTCATTCAAGCAATAGACTGCAACAGGAAAAATTCAGTGATTGGGGCTGGTGTGATCACCACACCGTTGTTTAGCACAAATTGTTTGGCACCAGTAACCTTGACAACTTTGCCAGTATGACGTCACACTTCGGTACTCTACTGAACCGCCCTTGTGTTGATTTTTGAAAGTCGTGTGATCGTGTTTATATCCTTGTGTTAATAAAGTATGTGCTTTTTTCAGTTCCTAAAGTGTGTGAGTGAAAAAGAGAGTTTTATTATTAAATACGTTTTACTAATTTGATTGCGGTTTCATTCATAACGTCTTCCTAATTTGAACTTCTTTAAATACGCAAGGGGCCTTTGCAATAGGAGGTGCAGAAGATAAGAAAACAGATAGATCTCCCATGAATCCCTTGTGTTTCTATGTATAAATCACTCTTACTAAAAGAGACATGAACAAAACAATCTTTCCTGTTATTTTAGCCAAATGTACGTATAAGTGCTCTGTTCAAAATTGCTTGTAGACTACATTAATGTACCTGTTCTGTTGTGTGTTGCTAAAACAAAGCTGATTCTAAAAATATATCAACACTCAATTCCTGTAGGAAGAATTATCTTAAGCAGAGTAAGCGATATAAAGGTGGTTTTGGAATTAATATTTTTTTCAAAACATTGATTGTAAGCCTGGAACATTTAGTGCATGTAACAAAATTTGTTGTATTGTTATCAAACAGTTTATGGAACACTATATAAGGGAGAAGTTTTCTGCTTAGGAAAATGTTTATTCTTATCACGATAATCCTTAATCCCATTTACTTGTAATGATGTAATGTACATGTAGGACTGTGCCTGGTTATACATGTATATTTAGTCCATAAATAGTAAAGATGATATTCTTATTGGTTTAACTTGTATGAATGGAATATCATCATGCTTATTCCTTCTAAATATGGAACCCTAACAACAATTTGACTGAGCATTAATCTCTTCTAGTACTTTTAGTGATCCTTCTATCGTACGTATCCTTCTCTTACGACACAAATGTGTCACCACTACTAAAGCTCATAAAGTGTGCCTCCTCTAACATATGTTTACACTGCCAGGTGGTTTCTATTCTGCACATACTATCGGTATGACTGAATGATTTAGTAGTTGACTGTATGTATCACTCTAAAAAGATATAATACCAAAGAGTGTAGAATTTGTCTGTTTGTCTGTAGTCCTTTCGTAATAGTTACGTTTTTTCTCTTCTATGGTACTGTACCTTGAGTTGCCTGCTGTTTGCTCTGAAAGCATCGAGGGTTTTATGTGCTTGTACCTTTTCAATTTCGGGGCCAAATTTTATAATTCAAATGCTAATGCCTTAACTGTAAATTTGTTGCATTGCTCATTAACCTGACATCATGTATGGTAGTAAATATAGTGTCTATGCCAAGCAGCATTTTGAAATAATCGTGTTCATGTACATGTAACCAAGTTCAGAAATGAAAATTAAAAAATGGTTGTACGACACATACGATGCCCCGTGTGTGGCGCAGCAGTCACTTTCCCACACTGTCCGATTTCTTTAATTCAACCATGGACCAAATGCTGACCCTAAATGTAACCTTTGACCGATTTTGCAACCCAAACCCTACAATATTTGAGAAACTAAAGAGGAAAGAATGCATCCGTGGTTTATGCTTTAAAGCACTATTTATTTTACATATTCTTTATTTGGAGTCACTAAAAAGGTGTTGACTTCAAATCTTTTAATAACAGAGAGCCAATGCCTTTATAGCTCTGAACGGGCAGAATACCTATAAATTGGTCTGTATGAACACGTATGTAGTTTATACGCACTCTCCTTTAATGTTGGATGTAATCTCTATACATGTGTAGCTATTTATGGTATCCTGTAAACACAAATTATTTGGATAAATTTTTCATTAACAGTTGATCTATTTTAATGTTTCAATTTATACAAATGGATGAATCTACTAAGATGTGGACAAAAATTATTTTCCTGTAATGGAGATAAATAAACTGATGTGGAATCTATGTCATGTTGTGCAAGTGTCTGTATTTAGTAGAGAATATTATATTTCCTATAGCTGAAAAAAAAAAGAGAAAAGAGAGAAAAGGAGAAGGGTAAAAGGATAAAAGAGAGAAAAGGAGAAGGGTAAAAGGATAAAAAGAGAAGATGCCTAGACCACTGTCTGCATCCGGATCCCCCCTCAATCAGTAGCCTTGTAAACTTGTTTCATTTCCAGAGTACGACCTTTGCCCCCACAAAAATTCAATTGCCTCCTTGACGTGTGGAATTGCACTATGCCGCGATTCATACATTTAGATTTGCTTCTCTTTGTTATGTGCATGATGTGACGCGCCAAAGTCCAGTATCGCAACATAGAAACTGAGAAAAAAAATTCATGAACAATCAACTAATTATCCACTGATGAATGAACCAATATATCAATCAGTCAATCATATTGATTTAGGAAATCAACAGCCATCCAATCAATCAATTCATACAATCGGTCTATCAATTAAAGCCCCACCGCACTAGTTTGGCCAGGGGGGAATAGACCTCTGCATGGTCACTGACGGTTGGTTATCTCGTCATATAATCATATATTAAGCTCTCAATTAACATAAGAAAAAGAAGATCATGGGGGGCCAAGGATCACCGATTAGGCATTGTTTGCTATATAGAGGGCGCAAGTAGCTATAAGTAGTGCAGTGGGGCTTTAAACCATCACTCCTGGAATCTATCAATAAATTTTGGCAATCAACAAGCAAAAAATGAATATAAAGAATAAAGCAGAAAATCTATTTTTTTTTAAGTCTGCTGTATAATATTTGAAATAGACAAATTATAATGACTAAGTAATAATACAAATATACACTATAATTTGCAAACAGTTTCAATAATCATGCAACAATGAGGTTCATATTGCCTACAGACAATAAGGCAACCTTATTGGGTATTCATCTTTGTCTACAATGTACATGTACATCATCATTATCATCATTGTCAAGGGTTTGAATCCCGACAAGGCACTAATATCCTTTGGCAAGATATTAACCTGCACTTGCAACTTTCCACCCAGGTGTCAAATGGATACCCGGTAGGATGCGGCCGTCAGTTTTTGAGCGTCAAGTAACGCCTGGCTGGAATGCTCCCCAGGGAGTGGAGATTGTGCACACAGTGTGTGCGGGCAAGCACTGAATCTAATGACCGGGATAATAGTATATTTTGTAAAGCGCTTGAGACATTTGTATTAAGTGCTATATACAAATTAAATATTATTATTATTATTATTGTCCTTGTAATTTTCATCATCTTCATTATCTCTATTGCAATATAGTGTTTATTTCCAGCAGTCAATTATCCCATGCGTAGTGAATCATCAGACATCTTGATTTGTTCAAATCTTTACTCCCTGATTAGTTTGATGACTCCACCTCACCCCATCATTCCTCCTAAAGAAGAAAACAAATTGATACAAAGAATAATCTTTCTTTTTTCTCAATGAAGTTTTTAGATACAACAAATTTCTTCAAATTATGCACTCATGCACTTTCTGTAAACATGTATATTCCTCCTTCTACTAGTTTTACATCATTTCCTTCCACAATGATTTAAATATATTTTGAAATCTTAAAACACTTTTTGCACCTTTTGACAAATCAAGACCACATGCAAATTAGCAACGTTGATTTGTCAAAGAGCAAAAAAAAAAGAAGGTTTACAATGATAATAATAATAAAAAATATATTACCTGATTATTTCAACAGATCATTTTGGGAAATGTAAAAGTTGTTCAAAGAAATATTGGACTCGGCAACTATTACAAATTAAACAAATTGGGTATAATCTTGTTTATTATTGTTTGTGTGTTTGTTAGTTTTTGCTTTTGTTAATTGTTTTTGTTTTTACGTACGATCAATCACATACATGTATGTTATTTCTATCTCGACATCTAGTAAAAAAGAGAGGATAGATAGTTTGGAAGTCACTTACCGTTGACATCTATGCTAGCTCCTGTGATGTATTTACTGGCGGGTGAGGCCAAGAAGAGACAAGTCTCTGCAATGTCCTCGGGTTGACCAAGAGTACCCAGAGGGATTAAGGATAACATCTGGTGAAAGAGAGGGTACAGATCTTTTGTTTTCAAGGGCTATTTTTAAGCTATATACATGTATATAATGAAGTGCTTAGTGGTAGAACATTAATCCTCATTACCTAGTCCCTTGGAGAAGACTTCAGGATAACATCTGGTGAAAGAGAGGGTACAGATCTTTCGTTTTCAAAGGCTATTTTTAAGCTTTATATATATATATATATAATGAAGTGCTTAGTGGTAGAACATTAACCCTCATTACCAAGTCCCTTGGAGAAGACTTCAAGCCATCGGTCCCCTGGTTGCTTACTTACAAGCATAGATCTACACATGCTTTCTTAGAAGTCAGGTAAAACAAACCAAACCAAACCAAACAATAAAAGGCCTCTTTTCAGAGTGTTTCCAAGAAATAAAACCTAGGCCCTGATGCTTTGTCTATACTGAGCTATCAAATATATGCACCTTTTTTTCTTCACTGTTTTCCTATAGAGGGCAAATAGAAACACAATGAGAAGCTATTGCGTTGGAAAGAGTGGACACAAGAAACATCAAACCAGCAGGTGGGAGATAGACAGAGACAGAGACAGATATCAAAGAGAGAAAGAGAAAGAGGGAGGGGGAGAGAGAGAAAGAGAGAGAATGAGAGGGAGAGAAAGAGAGGGGGGGGGGGGGTACTAGAGAACTGCAAGAAATGTCCAGAGGATGAAGATGAGATAAAGAGAAAGCAAGATGTAAATCCTGATCTAAACAGAAGAAATATTTGATAATCAAGGGTCTTGTACTTAACCATCGACTTATCAAGCTGGGGCAAGTTTCTTGAAACAGTCATAACTCTCAAGTTCACGGACATTCCATAGAAACACACATTTCAATGGGATCTCAAAGAAGTTACACTTCTGACGGTTTGGAGAAATGGCCCGAAGCTCTCACTTTATGAATACATACAACCATTAAATTAACATATTAATAAATACCACTTAGTCAATAGACAAAAAAACAAAAGGAAACAAAAAAACAAACAGAAGATGGGGGAAAAGGACAATTGCATTAAATTTATTGTATAGATTCAAATGATGTATGAATGCAGCCTGTACCTACCATTTTGATGACTTTTTCAGGAACCCTGTCAGTCATCGGTGTTGAGATAAAACCAGGTAAAACACTATTGCATCGGATATCAAATCTAAAGAAAGAAAAGAAAAAGATAAAAAATTATCAGAAATTACATTACCAAGATTGAAACAAGGCGATCAACAGACATGCAGCACTTGAATAAAAGAAAATCACTATTCTGGGGAAAAGTACATACCGGTAAGTAGATTGTATTTTACATAGAATCTTTTGCTTTATTTAAACAAAGTATTCATTTAGATATTTCATGCATCCACTTAGTAAAAGAAAAGCTCAACTTCTCTGACGAATGCAAAAAATTACACACTTTGCTTTTTGTAATTTGAGTCTTAATAAATTTGTGATCTAAGGTAAATTAGAGTCATTTAAAAAAGGTCTATGCAACATGTTGCATAGAGGAAGGGGGGGGGGGGGGTAGGGGTGTGGGCTGTAGCCCCATTTTTCAGTCAACAAGTGAAATAACATGTATCACAATATATTACTATGGTGGTGGGGGCTGGGTCACTACATGTACAGCCAGCCCGTCCTTGAGTTTGGGAAGACACATACAATACTATGGCATTACCACAAAAATAACATGCTCAGTTACAAGCCGAGCCCCAAACCCCCCCCCCCCCCCCTCCTCCCTCAACTTATAAAAATGCCCTATGGCTCGTGTGTTTATTTCTTACCTGCTAAGCTCCTTGGCCATTGTCATAGTCATTCCTAAGATACCTGCTTTAGATGCTGAATAGTTCGCCTGACCGATGTTGCCCATCTATATACATCAAACACACAGAGGAATGGGTGGTACATACAGTGAGACCTCGTTATGACAAAACTCATTACGGACCAAGGAAGTTACGTTGTAACAAAATAAAAAACTTGTCATATCAGGGGGTGTTTCACAAAGATCCTAAGTTGAACTTAAAAACTATGGAAAGCTGTTAGCATCTATGAAAATATTTTGTAAAAGTTATTTGAAAAGGCATAAATTGATGATTCAAATCACCCATATTTTCTATTATAATGGGAGATTTCATGTTCTTGATGTGGAATTTATAAAAAGTCTAAGATACTTGAATTTTCACTTTTTAATATATTGTATTTTAAGGCTACAAATGGCTTTCCATAATTTTTTAGTCCAACTTAGAGTTAAGTTCGACTAGGATCTTTGTGGAACACCCCTCAGGGCTAACAAATGCAAAGTGGGACAGGCAGAATTATGTTATTACTGTAAAAGTTTGTTATATCTGATAGCAGGGTTATTTATAATGAGATTCCACGGTACAAAACAGAACCAAAATCTTGAAAACAGGGTATATAGCCAAGATTCAAGATCAATCCAGAGTGCTAAATTCCCCACAGTAAGGCATTAATCATCATGCTGCCAAAGAGATTACTTTTCATGTCACAGACAACTTTTTGGGGTCATTCTACAGAAAAAAGATTTGTAATTGCAGATCAGTTCAAGTGTTTAGAAATAATCTTAACACATATTTGTTTAAAGATAAAGTTGAGTTCTGGTCAGGGTCATGCAATGACATTGTGAAAGAAAAGGTGTGGAATTGATCAGAAAAGGTCGAACATCTAGCATATTAGTATTGGTGTGTACTGCAAGGTTCTGGAATCATCAAAATGATAAGATATTTGGCCCATTATTCGTAAAATTAAATTACAAATCTCATATATTATCATTCGTATCATCAAAGTCATTACTCCTATTACAAGGAGGTAGTGAACATGACTGATAATGGTTTCGGCCTTTTTATTTTTCCCCATATCAATATAAGTGTACTCTCTTTTGTTTCTGAATCATTGGTTATGTATTTCAGAATCGAGAACATATAGAAAGCATACAAGGTATATTGCTGGATTAGAATGATGTTCTTTCATGAAAATATCTATTTGAAGATTAACTGAAGTAATTAAGCCCCCATTTTTATGGCAAATTGTATTACATGTGAAAGAATGATGAATCATAAATCAGCACCTGTTAACAGCTCTTTTTTTTGGGGGGGGGGGGGGGGAGGGGGGGGGGGGGGGGTACCAGTTTAATCTTTAGGGAATTTATGAATTATTATTAGCTTGTAATATAAATTTGTTCAACTCACCGTGGCTATGATACTGCTGATATTGATGAAGCTCCCTCCTGTAACTTTACTCTTCACCATAGCTTGGCTCACTGCCTGACACATCAGAAATGTGCCCTGTAGAAAAACAAGGGTCAAAGGTCATGCTTGAATCTGCAAATTAATCACTCTTTTTCCTATATCACAATAAAGCACAAGATATCATTTAAGAAATCGTTAAACTGAAAGCTAGAACTTGTTTAGGCCTAACTCCTGAAGTTAGCCAAAATTATACATACTCTCATTTAACCTTGGGGGGGGGGGGGGGGGGGGGGAGGGGGGTTGAGATGCCACCAATACAAATTTAGGATAAAGGTATAATTCCTTTTGTTTTTTTTAAGACAGAAGAAGAAACCCAACTGGACAGTAAATTCTTGTACCTCCATCATAGAGTAAGAAATAATACTGAGTTATGAGTAGCAACATTATCCACCAGCTGTTTTACACTTGATCTGTAGTAAAAGATTCTTCTTATAGCTACCTCTTAAAATTGAAGATGAATGATGACAGACATGTAGCGAGGTATTGTTTGCATAACTACTGAATAGACACATGTATATGAGTAGATGGGACTACATTATCATAATTCATTCTTTCTTATCATCATTTTTAAAGTCAGCATTTTCCCTCTCAAGAGGGGTTACTGACTTTCGCACCATGAGGGCACTCCCTCCCTCCACTTCTTCTTGTCATGAGCATCCTCCTCATTGCTTTTATTCTTCACCATACCTTTCCATGGAATCTGTGATCTTCCTTTCCCTCTTATGCCATCCACTTCCAGATTCCACTTTCTATTTACAGATTAATCATCTTCCCTTCTCAACACAAACACGACCCATCCATTTACAAAAAAATAGGCTTTTTACTTCACGAGGTATACCTGGCCATCACTCACTTTTGATCAAAATGTAGATTTTGAATAGGTGATCCAAAACTTTAGATACTACCGGTAGTAGCTGCATTTGCTGCTGGATTTATTTCATCAAGAAAATGAGGATTGGGCTTGGGTTGCTTTTGAATTTTGGGTCAGGTTTGGGATAATGGTTTAATTGTTTGAGTTAGAAATTTGGCAAGTGTAATAAATTGACCACAGAGAAATTGTTACCCTCCATTGTTTCAAATATTCCTCTTTTTTTGGAGATATTGTGACGCTCCATTGTTTCAAATATATTCCTCTTTTTTTTGAGATCAAGCTTTGATCGTTTACCTTAAGATTGACCTTGATGACCTCATCGAAATCCTCTTCAGACATTTTTAGCATCAGCTGATCTCTTGTGATACCTGCCGAATTCACCAAGATGGTAGCCGGCTTCTTGTAGGTATCCATTACCCCGGCAACAAGACCTCGCACAGCATCCCCATCACCGACATCCGCCACGAACGACTTGTGGATCTGCTCGTCTGTGTGTGAGGGCAGGCTTGCGATGGTTTCATCCGCACCGCCCTGGGTCCTATCCACCACGGCCACGCTTGCTCCATGCTTAGCGAAGAGCTGGCTGGTTGCGCGACCTATGCCGCTTCCTCCACCTGCAAAAGTGTTATTCTCAAAAATTAAGATTTTAATTCCAGACACCTGGAATGTTTGCTCACGTTATCTGATATGATATATATAGAGCCAAGAAATAAGAAATAATTTATGAATTTCGACGATTACCATTGATTTTAGACGCTGGATGTGGACCCCTATTCCTTTTTATTTTATAAGAGCCAATTCAAAATGTTAATGCTTTGTTAAACATGTTTGAAATAGATTAAAACTTTTTTTTTCAAAGATTGCTTTATGTAATAATACTCATCCATGAACAACTTTGCATTGCATATATATTATACACATTTTCATTTTTTGAAATAAAACTAGAATCTATTTGCATCAATCTTGATGATTACTTTACATTTCATCTCAGTTTTAGTTTTAATCTAATGAAAGTGTCTCCAATATCATATATGTCCAAGACAGTGCCAAGAGTTGTTCAGTTCTTACCAGTTATTACAGCAATTCTGCCAGCTAATACCTTGCTAGTTGCCATCTTCTTCTACCGCGTACCGTCCGACGGAAAAGATACTGCAAATAAAAAAGTTAAGCCTGAATTTAAAGTATAAAAAAAAAAGGGGAAAAAATGTTCAAAATTCTATTTTGAACTGCATGAAATGAAGCAAAATTCTTAATCTGTTAATTCTTACCGGTATAGTCTAGACCCTAGATCTAGATCTAGATCTACTTAGTAAAAAGGGAAGAAGAAGAAGAAGAAAAAAAGTATAGATCTAGACCTTATAGTCTACAGAGTCGAAATATGGACATGATCCTGACCAAAATTGTAGTAGGGGACTTGGGTCCGATCTTTAGAAAAAAGTCATACCGGTAACTGTCTAGTATGGGGAGTTTGTCAACTTTCTGTTCAACTCCAGAGAGCTCCGACCCGACGCTTACGGCGGCGGAGCTCCCTGGAGTTACCTTCTGTTTACAGGCGCAGGCGGCTAGTGGAGCCAGACGTAGATCTAGTCTCAGCGGAACCATCGTCGATATCAGAGGTTGTTTCTTCTTATTCTTCCTGATATCAGATAAATTGAAAATGCGAAATGCAGGGGGAATAATTGTGGTTATCAAAATGAGCTAGAGATCTCACCTTGAGTTTTGATCACAAAGCACGTAGCGCTGCACAACTCGCTATTGTCAGAAGATCGGAGAAGTTCCTATATATTGCGTCGCGTCGACGTCGGGGAGCTAAATGAGAGACACGTACACACGAGCAGTGGCCGCGCGCTAGCTCCTAGCGCGCCCATGGCATCAGGCAAAACAGGGGAACCCCCTCAATATATTATAGCCACACCCACTCACTTTCGTTGATGGGCTCCAAAGTTGTGATGTCTCTCTCTCTCTCTTCTTCTTCTAATTCAATCGACTTAAGATTCTGGCAAATTATGTGCATGTGTGTATTAACTGCAATTTACAGTTTACAGTTTATTTACAAGTATATTTACAAGCTCTTATTTTCTCTCTCTCTCTCTCTCTCTCTCAGCTATAGCTCTTTCATTCACTTATTCTCCGTTTCTTTTCTCTCAAGCTCATTCTCTAGCTGTCTTCTTTTATATTAAAAAGGATTTTCAAAATATCCATCCTTTTTCAATCTTTTTCTCAGCATACTAAAAATATATTGAGACACACTCGCATCAGCTCTTTGATCTTTGATCTCTATTCAATTCGAATTCCTTTAATTTTGCTATATAGATATTTTTTTAAAAGTCATTCACAGAACATGAATAAATGCTATTACAATAGAAAAATGGACAGGGATATTTCATTCATATTGCTGGGCAATGTTAGTGAAATCTTGAGGTCAGATGCTGTCGGCAATCTGCAAATTACTGTTTTTGTTTTCTTCTATGTTTTTCTATTTAGCTGATTGACAATTTTTAGGGGGCTAACTAGTCTGACACCTCAATAGGGCAGGGCCAAGCAGTTTCTCAAAAGCCCTCAAAAATGTGTGTGTTTTGTGTGTGTGTGTGTGGGGGGAGCACTTCGTGAGGGAGCTATTAAAGCAACCAAGTGGGGCACAGTTTGGCGGGGGCGCCCTAATGAGTGTTAAAATAGTAATTCCAATACATGGCTGGGTTATAGAATAGCAAAAATTATGTAATGTTAACTGTTGAACAACAACACAAATTATATAAAATGCATATGATTTAAAGATACTTTTCTTTAATAAAAAAATACCTATTTATACAATATATAACTAACATAAACTACTCATCTTTACAATATTGTCCAACCAAAACCACCTAAGTCTTAATTAGTTAAGAAAGTGTTAAAATTGAATTAATTACTGCAATTTTTTTATAATAAGTATGTCTGAAGAAAATAGTTAAGAATGAACTTAAATAGTCCCAGAAAACATAACAGAGTAAATAAATGTTAAAGAACAGACATTTACATGTACATTGAACCTTCAATACAGTGCAAATACAACATAAACCAATCCCCCAAATTAACTATTAACAGATGTCATGAGATACAAAAACAAATTGACACAAACCTACATACTAAACTAATACATATTCATATATAATATGAAGAGAAAATAAAAATGCACTAAGATCTTAATTGGTAACATATAAAAGGTTAAAAATCATCCTCTATTAAAATGTACATTGAATGTTGAGGTACTAGCTTCTAACTTATGAGTTGATTAATAGTTAAGGATTTAACTCTTTAAAAAAACTTTATGAATTACACAGATAGCACATATATCCAAGCATAATAGGTGGCAGCCTATGGTATACCGGTCTCCTATATATCTTGTGGCAAGCTTCAAACAAACATAAAAAAATGTTCCCAAAATGTTTTGGGGAATTTATTGAAAATGTCATATACACATGTGTAATGTTGTCGTTTTGGTTTGATAAAAGTGTTGTTGAAACAGCAATTAACATAAGATGCACATAAACACAGAGGTAAGTATTTTAATGTTCACCAACATTCATACATTTTCTGCAAGAGGATGTCATGAAATACATGTTCATAATTTTTTTGTCTTACTTGAAATTGATAATATTGAAGAGATGAAGAATTATGATAGCTCTTATTATCCTTTGAAATTGCTTCATGGTTATTTCAAAAAGTACACTGTTTGTGTCATAAACATTGTAATACATGTATCAAAGACATTTGAATTTCTTGAAAATTTTTCCTTTGGTCCCATTATATAAAAGATATCTTTCATAAGTATTCCTTACCTTTTAAAATAAAAAAAATCTGCAGAATATAAAACTTGGTCAGCAATGGATCGTATTTCGTGATTCACCAGAAGCATAATAAGAAATGGGAGTATACTACCTATACCAATCGTTTGTAATGTGTCGGTTGCCCGCATATGATACAAAGTCAACCAAAATCGAGAGAGCCTGATTCTTAAAGGGTTGAGATTTTGAATAGAGAGGGCGCTACACAAGATATTTCTTGTTGTGGGATAATGAAAAACTGAGTGTTAAATTTGAAAGAGCATACAATATAAATGACGAAATCATCTTTGATCGAAATCGGTTCAGAGACAGCTCATGTTTTCTTCAATTTCAAGTAGATTCTTTGTCCTCCTGAGGACGTTGATGGCTCTGTTAGAAATAAATAAAATGAAGACATGAACGCATAAGAATCATTCAAAATCACTAATAATCACCAACTAACCATTATCCTTTCCAGATTATGTCTACAATTACTATATACAGCTTAAAAAACATCAGTAGGAGCATTAGAAGGGATTATCAACACAAGGTAACTTGATTTGCCCGTTTCTAAAACCGAGTTTGGATTATTACACTTACATGTATAGGCCAAAACAGTATGGTGTGTCTGAAATGATGATTTGATCATCTGATAAACTCACCTTCATCTCTAACGGTGGTATTCTCGAAAGCGGACTAACTTTAGTCCATGGTTTAATCCTCCGACTAAGTATGGAATGCCAAGTGTCCATATGAATATATTTTTGAATAATTTAATATGTCCCTAAATTACCATGATAACATAATCATAGTTAAATTGTTGTTTATTAATGTTATTACATTTTATTTTGATTAAGTGACAGATTAAATTATTCAATAACATATTCATATGGACGCTTGGCATTCCATACTTAGTCGGTGGATTAAACCATAAACTAAAGTTAGTCCGCTTTCCAGATTACCACCCCAAATGTTTACACTCCAGTTATTTTCATTCATCCACTAACGATTTGATACAATATAAATTCCTTAAATCTGTATCTTAGATACAGTAGGTTTCAAAATGTATATAATTTCGCTTACTTTCATCACCAGTGGTTTCTGGGTCCGCAGTATTGGCCTCTACCTGCTCCTCTTCAGAAATAGGGGAAGTAACAGTTGATTTGCCAGCAGCAAGTCCTGAATGATATAAAAAACGAAAGAGAAATATGTATGAAAAGTCTTTTTATAGTCAATTAGGTGAAAGGCAAATTTAACATCTGTATAATCAGCAAGAGAGGTGAGTTGGGGGGGGGGGGGATGCAAAATTATTTACTACATTAACCATAATGCACTTATGTTAAAGATTCACATTTATGAAAATTTGTCACTAATATTGTCATTCTATTGTTCATAGAATCGTATCTATTCCAGCTAAACTACAAACAAATCAAACTCATTACATTTTCAATTCAATTCAATTTCGGTTTTATTAGAAATATACCAAATAAAAATAATAATAATAATAATATGGATATTTATATAGCGCCGGTATCCGCCAGGCTCTGACGCTCATGGCGCTGTACATACATGTATTACTATCACAAAAATATAACTTCTTAACTAAAATAAAGTAAACTAAAACAACACAAATTATAACGCTACATTGACATGATTAGATAGCACTGTTTAGAAAGAGATGGGTTTTTAGAGCAACTTTGAAGGCATGAAGGGTAGTTAAATTACGAATACTAACTGGCAGCTTATTCCAAAGGGACGGACCAGAATGAGAAAATGCTCTATCCCCCCATTGTATCATATAAAAATGCACTAAAAACAATTGATTACAAAATTCAGCAATTAGTTATAGTAGGAAAAAACATCACAAAAAATATAATTGTAAATTATAAAATGGTATATTAATCAATACTACTACAATATAATGATATCTATTAAAGTTGATAATTGATATATTTAATGTGAAGGATAAGCTTACTATATATTTGAAGAAAATCATGGTGATTATCACTTTGTCAGAAAATTGAGAAAGAGAGAAGATAGAGTGACATAATGGAAGAGGGGAGGGGGATAGGATAAAGAGAGATAAAATTTGAAAGAGAGAAGGGGAAAAAAGACAAGAGAAAGATGAGGAACGAGAGAAGAGAGAAAAAGTCAGAGAGTTCATTATGACAAAATAATGTAAGCAAATGAAGGAGAATTGAGTTGAATTAGCTTAAAGGGATAGTTGAGTTCTTGTTAAAGACCTTTAAAGTGCATGGTTATTGCTCTTATTTTATGTAGGACATTTCTGGTGCCCTCTTAGAACCTAAAGGTAATTTTAGACCTCAAAATGAGTGAATTTAGATTGAATACGATCATACCAATTCAGCTCCACTTTAAAAAAAATATGGTAACCGTTAATTAATGAATTAATTAATGAATTAATTAATAAGAACAATACACAGGATGGCTGGTTGTGTGTATGATAACCAACACATAAAAGCCAACAAAGGGTCAATATTGACGGCAGGTCAGTACCAGATGGTTTGGCATTGCCATCAATGCCAGCTGAAGCTCGTGAAGCTCGTGAAAGGCGAAGAATGTCCATCAACTTCACTTTTTCAACAGTTAGCACTCCCCCAGACAATCTCCTCATCGTCACCATGTTCTTCTTCACACGTCTTCTTTTCATCTGCAGTACAAAGAAAAATATGGTTATTTCTATGGCGTTTTATAATTCATTCTTTTCAACTTTTATAATTCTTTCACTTTTTTATCGAGTTGCATGTGCAATATGAAGAAAAATGAAAAGACAAAAATGGGTATTTTACATGAAATCAATTTATATGTTAAATGATCTTACCAACCAATAGCTTCTCTTCTTGTATGTATAACATGTATTGCTGTTGGTAAATATATCAAATTAAATCAAATCTTTTTTAGCTATTTTATTACATCTGCAATACAACATATTTAATTGAGGTTTGAAAGACAATTTCAATACCTTCATTATTCAAAAAATTAAAAATAAAGACCAATTAAGTTCAGGAAACTGTCAAGGAATCATTTATAAATGGAAGGCAGTCAACTCATGAGGCCAAGAAGATGAATAAAAATCTGACGCAGAAATTGGCAATTGCCCCTCTTACAATATAGTAAACTGAATTCATTTTCACCAATCACTTTTTCATTAAATTATTAGAGAAAGAAGACGATTCATTGTTTTGTGTCCTTGTCTGAATTCAGTTTTCCCCCTCCCGCGCGAAAGCTTTGTCATTTCATTTAACTATTACTCTTAATCCTTGTCTAAATTCATTTTCGCCGATCCCGCGCAAGGCCCGAAACTTTGCTCTGACGTTTCATTAAATTATTAGAGAAAGAAGACAATTTGTTGTACCGTTCTCGACTCTTTATCCTAGTCTGAATTTGGTTGCCCTCCCCCCTCCAGCGCGGAAGCTTTGACGTTTCATTAAATAATTACAGAAAGCCTGGAAGACGATTCGTTGTACTGTTTTTTGACTCATTTTATTCATAGTCTGAATTCAGTTTCCCCACTCCCGCGGGAAGCTTTGACGGTTCATTAAATCATTACTCTAATCCTTGTCTACATGATGCGAAGCACGGTGGCTTTCACGTTTCATTAAATTATCACTTTCATCTGTATCTTGTTCTGGTTCCTCATCAGCGCTAGCACTCACTTGTTTTGGCGGGCGCGACTGTGCTAGTATATAAGGTGTCTGAAGGAACGTTTCCTTTTCATCTTTGGTACAGTTGCGTGAGATTGTTTTCTTCCTTTCTGCCAACAAATCCCAGTTCCGCGCTATGGTCTGTATGTTAGGAACTGAAGTTCCAGGAAATAATTTTGGCCACCACACATCATGAACAGTTTTCCATGTGATGCCTTTCCTTTTACAGTATTGTTGAATTTCAACTATTACCTGGTTTGTAATAGTTTCAGTGCAAGTTTGAGTGTTCAAATTATTATTCAACCATTCTGGGGTGACACCAATCTTTGAGCATGCTGGTCCAATTTCATCTGCCTGACTTTTTGAAAGTTCTTTCATTTCCTGCATCAACAGCAGAAAGTCATTAGACTTCTCAGCTTTTGCAACATAACGCTCGACTTTCGCGATGACTCCAGTGAGAATCTGTGGTTGTTGGAGGCCAAGCGATTTGAGGATGGGAGGCAGTCCTTGTCTGTAGCTGTTTTCAGAAGCATCAACTGCACTCCGTATGACTTCAAGCAAAGCAAATGTTGGAATAGGCTTTGAAGTCCAGTGATCTGAAAAATACAATAAAAATATGTATAACAATTTATAAAATAAAATACATATTTCATTTTATTGATATCTTTATTTAATTTTCAGAAAAATAGGGTGCACATCATGCATTGTATGCAATCAATCATTACATACAATATTCTTAAAAACAAATTAACTTTGATTTATAGTTTAAATTTTTCAAGCCAACAAGCAAAAATCTTGTTATTTAATGTCTGTATACCGATAATAATATACTGAGAATTATTTAAAACAATCAACTACAAGTAGAAACAAAAAACTCTTTTTATTTAATTTTATTAATTTAAACAAGGGACTGCAAGCACTATATGGCACAGCCAATTTATGCCCTTATATGGTAGTCACTATTAACGCGCATGCGCAGACTTGAAAATAATCGAAGGGGACTGATGCATGAGAACAGTACACGATCCTTACAATGTACGTACATACTCCCCAAATGACTACGCTGTTTACAGTTTCCTTCTTCTTCCACTTTGAGTACACCTCTTTACAGAGTATTATCATACTAACCTGGGGTGTGCAGGTGCACCACTACACTGGGGTTTCCCCTATACGAATAGTGCAGTGGGTTCTTAATGTGCAAAGGTAGTGACTCGATCTTCTCTACACGGGCCTCCATTTAACGTCCTATCCGAGGGACGGAGTGTTTTCCACTTAACATAATACACTTTAATAAACATAAAAATAGATTCATAACTTACCAGGACAAATTCCTTCATTGATAAGAAGTGCAATTTCTTCTCTTGTCCAGCCAGCAAGCTGAAGTATCTTATCAGTGTTGTCAGCCATGACCCAAATTTGCAGTGGCGTGCAGCGGTGGCGATGGAACTTACTTGGATCACCGTCACAGCTATTTCCTCATGTGTTTCACAAATTATTCAGAAAAAAGATCACATAATAAGAATCTGCAGACTTTCAGCTAGTACATCACAGTATATTTGTATTTTTAAAAGATGTCACAGTTGAGGATTTATGACGATTTTCTGAGAAACCATTCAACACGCCATAATTTATTCCACATGGCCAGGGACTGAATTTCAGAGTTGCAAAAAGTTTGGTGCACCCAGTACAGTTGTGGCTACCTTGAGTGTAAACAACAAATTGATTTAACGAGTGAAACACATGAGGGTATTCCATTTTTTGTAGGGGAGTTTTATAAATTGAGGTGCATTTTCACCACGCAGAATAACAGTGCAAGTCAATGGGTGATCAGCGGGCCATGTGGCCCATATGTCACACATGGCTGAAAAGACAATATTCTAATTAAATAATTTAACATATTTCCCACATGCCTGTAACAATGAAACTACACAGAATTGTAGTTAAAGGTATGCTTGAAATATATGTGAAATAAAAAAATTAAATATTGTTATTTCTACCAACTGCTGTTGTGTGTGTGTGTGTGGGGGGGGGGGGTGTGCGTGTGTGTGTGTGTGTGTGTGTGCGTGGGGGCAGACTGTGTGCACAGGCAGTATGATCACCCTATTGTTATAACTAGTTTTGGGAATTCTTTAATAAGAAAAGGGGAATTTAAAGACTCTAGGGCGCGCAGAGGTTTAGTCTAGCCTAAAGCAATGCTCACGCAAGGCCATATGCCTGGCCAAGTCACAAACACATACAATTACACTTTTACCTAACTCCGGGAAGCTCCGACGCCGATGCCGAAGGTGCTGGTGTTGGAGGTTCCCGGAGTTAACTTTTACCATGTTTACAACAGTCTCTGCGAGAAAAGAGTTATCGAACAATGATTTTTAAGTAACTGATGTTTATTCAAAAGAAACATGAAGGACGTGGTATCCGATATATTAACTTGCCACAACCTAAGTACAGTTACATTTACTCACATTTATACTGGTTCTTGCCCTTTTGGTTTTAAAAACTCCCGAGCAACATCTTCCCAGCTCCTTCTAAGCACTTCCCCACTCACATCAAAACCACCTCGGCGGCGCGGCCTCGGCCTCAGCTCCAAAATTTTACACACTCCCAAAAACCTTGCCCAAATTAAAGCTAGTCTCCCAATTCAGACCTCCCTTTTTAAATCGTTCGAGCATCCAATTTCTGTAAGAAGACGATTCGTTGTACCGTTCTCGACTCTTAATCCTAGTCTGATTCAGTTGCCCCCCCCCCCTCCCGCGCGAAGCGTGGAAGCCTCGACTTTTTGTTAAATTATTTGCTTAGAGAAAGAAGACGATTCGTTGACGTTGTACCGACAATATCCTGACAGGTGGGGTATAACGCACCCCACAACCCCTTTAAAGTAGATTCATTGGTTTTTAAAACTAACTTTATTTTCATTATTGCAAAGTTGAAATTTTTATTCGACAAGGTTATCAAAATTCAATGCTTGGAAACATAATTCTAAGTAATGATTATCATAAATTACAAAACGCTTAAATACAACCCCGGCATACTGAGCACCCGTGAAGAGCTCTCGTATACGCTGCTGAGATGTGTGAGATAACATGGACATGATTTGCACAAGCAGACGTTGGGGCCGCAGACCTGGCCCGCCCCTATTTCCCGGTAAATAAACATTTTCTTATAACATCATCCCCTATCTTTTCTTTTCCCTTCTTTATTATCCTTTCCCCTTTTTCTCTTCTCTGTCATTCCCCCTTTCTTCCTTCTCCGCCTTTTTTTTTCTCCTCTCTCTCTCTCTCTTTCCCTTTCTTCCTTCCTCCCTCCTCTTTCTCCTCTCCCCTTTTCTTCTTCTTTTCCCCCCTTCCGGCCCTAATTTAAAACAAAAAACGGAATCCGACACTGTGTATATGGCGGGCAGGAGCTGGAAGAGTGGGGGGGGGGGGGGGGGGGGGGTGATCGAGATTCTTGAAACTTCAACTGCTGCTTTTAGTAATCTAGTCACGGTTAATTCAGTTATGTGTGTTTATGTATGTATGTATGCAGGCGCGTACGCAGGATTTTTTCAAGGGGGGGGGGGGGGTTTAACATTTATAAATCGGGCCGAAAATTTCGCAACGACTCAGCCAGCCGCTGAATAAGCGGGGGGGGGGGGGAGTTTGGTCTCGAAATTTGAAAATTTGACATTTTGCTCCGTTGGGGGGGGGGGGGGGTAAGGTCAGCTTTTTTAGGTCAACCATGGGAATATTTTTTTTTTTTTTAAATTAAAAAAATCCAAAAGGGGGAGGGTTTTAGAGAAATTTAGGGGGGGTTTACACACAAAAAATTACCAAAGGGGGGGGGGGGTTTAACCCCCAAACCCCCCCCCCTCCTGTGTACGCGCCTGTATGTATGTATTAAACGGGTACGTGCCAGTGCTAGTAAGTACAGAATCTCGTTTTGGGACCTTTTAATATCACACTTTCCCAATTATTTCCTAATATTTCAACCGCTGCCTTTAGTATATATGCACATATCCTTGTGTTAATTCAGTAAAGACAGGTGATGTCAATGCTAGGAAGTGAATTCATGCCAGAAAACTAAACATGTTTCAGAAGGCTTAAGATGCCTAAATTATAAGACTATTTCAGTTAGTCTTCTATTTGAGTACTCTTTGTTTACAAGGGCCATTTAATCATCTACAATCATCTATTAATAGTGAGGCATAGATCACAGACTATATCTACTACTAGTCTTCTTTTTGCAATCAGGGACATTCTATCATGGCCTCTGCTTTCATGTGTTTTTCTTTTTTTAGGAGGGGGGGGGGGGTGGTAATAAATGATGGTGACACCTGCCATAGACAGTGAACACCCCATGTGTTTAAAGGACACTCCCATACACGCTGGTTTTGTATTATAACCATTTGAAAATTTCAACTTCAGATGCTTAAAATTGTAATACATTTATTTTTATAAGTATACATATAAGCACAAAATATGACTTGATCACTAAAAATAAACCATATATATTCATCTTTTCTTTATAACTGTACGTGTTGACTAAAGTTATAGAGACTGATTCACAAGTATGTGTGAATAATTTTTATAAATGATTCATGGGTACAGGACACATTATTTCTTTTTTAGAGTACATATAAAATAATTGATATTATTATTTATTATTCTAACATTTCTTAAAGTACCCAGCACCTTATATCCCAGATAACAATACGGCGTTGGGCCAACGTCGGCCACGGTCGGCAGGGTCGCAGTCGGCAAGCCAACGTTGGCTAATCGTTGGGCCATCGTCGCCATTTTTTACTGATAAATGGTGGCTATTGGTTGGCTCATTCGACGTTGGGCCAATGTTGGCTGAACGTTGGTCCATTGTCGCCATTTTCACTGATAAATGGTGGCTATTGGTTGGCTATTCGACGTTGGACCAATGTTGGCTGAACGTTGGTCCATTGTCGCCATTTTCACTGATAAATGGTGGCTATTGGTTGGCTATTCGACGTTTGGCCAATGTTGGCTGAACGTTGGTCCATTGTCGCCATTTTCACTGATAAATGGTGGCTTTTGGTTGGCTATTCGACGTTGGGCTAATGTTGGTTTAATGTTGGTCCATTGTCACCATTTTCACTGATAAATGGTGGCTTTGGGTTGGCTATTCGACGTTGGGCCAATGTTGGCTGAACGTTGGTCCATTGTCGCCATTTTCACTGATAAATGGTGGCTATTGGTTGGCTATTCGACGTTGGTCCAATGTTGGCTGAACGTTGGTCCATTGTCGCCATTTTCACTGATAAATGTTGGCTTTGGTTGGCTATTCGACGTTGGGCCAATGTTGGCTGAACGTTGGTCCATTGTCACCATTTTTACTGATAAATGGTGGCTTTTAGTTGGCTATTCGACGTTGGGCCAATGTTGGCTGAACGTTGGTCCATTGTCGCCATTTTCACTGATTAATGGTGGCTATTGGTTGGCTATTCGACGTTGGGCCAATGTTGGCTGAACGTTGGTCCATTGTCGCCATTTTCACTGATAAATGGTGGCTATTGGTTGGCTATTCGACGTTGGTCCAATGTTGGCTGAACGTTGGTCCATTGTCGCCATTTTCACTGATAAATGATGGCTATTGGTTGGCTATTCGACGTTGGACCAATGTTGGTTGAACGTTGGTCTATTGTCTCATTTATTACTGATAAATGTTGGCTATTGGTTGGCTATTCGACGTTGGGCCAATGTTGGTTGAACGTTGGTCTATTGTCTCATTTATTACTGATAAATGTTGGCTTTTGGTTGGCTATTCGACGTTGGGCTAACGTTGGCTCATTGTCGCCATTTTCACTGATAAATGGTGGCTATTAGTTGGCTATTCGACGTTGGGCTAAAGTTGGCTCAACGTTGGTCCATTGTTGCCATTTTCACTGATAAATGGTGGCTATTGGTTGGCTATTCGACGTTGGGCCAATGTTGGCTTCATGTTGGTCCATCGTCTCAATTTTTTTTTTAAATGGTGGCTTTGGGTTGGCTATTCGACGTTGGGCTAACGTCGGCTGAACGTTGGTCCATCGTCTCAATTTTAAATTTTAAATGTTGGCTTTTGGCTGGCCATTCGATGTTGGGCCAATGTTGGCTGAACGTTGGTCCATCGTCTCAATTTTAAATTTTAAATGTTGGCTTTTGGCTGGCCATTCGATGTTGGGCCAATGTTGGCTGAACGTTGGTCCATCGTCTCAATTATTACTGATAAATTGTGGCTGTTAATTGGCTATTCGACGTTTGGCTATTAACGTTGGCTCAATGTTGGTCCATCGTTTCAAATTTTACTGAGAAATGGTGGATATATGTTGGCTAATATACGCGACGTTGGGCCAACCCGGGGGCCAACCTTGGCTTAACGTTGGTCTATATCGTCTCCATCTTTACTGATAAATAGTGCATGTATTGGTTGGCTATATGACGTTGGGTCAACGTAGCAAATACGACCTAGTACCGCTACATCCGGGTAAAAAAAAATGCATGCGTGCGCATGCCCATGTGCTCATGCAATTCCAACGTACGTCAGCCATATCCTGTCCATTTGTCTGGATCAGTTGCCGGGGAGTACCAACACTGCATGGTAAATGAATGATTTTCTTTCTCTTTTAACGTTATTTTTGTGAGCATGTCGCGTGAAACTGATAAATTGTATAGTGTGAGAACTCCCCGTCACAAAGCGAGGGAAATAGCATGAGAAATTGTTAAAGTAATCATTGATAATTCCCTGTCCAAATGAAAGTGAAAGTGAGTACGAGCTAGTGTACCGCTCGCCGTACGCTTAGCATGCACACCCGCTGCGTGCAATTGAAGTGTGAGTGATGGCTATGATGGCTATGATGGGGGCCAAAGTGTCGGCATCAGATGCATTGAGTGTTTGCCGTGATAAATGTTAATATGTTCCTGACTTAGAGTTAGACCTCGGTGATGTATTGATGCATCATGTTGCAGCGTCCGTGACAGTGATGATGTTCATCCCAATATGCAATATCGACCATGAATCAAATGATTGTGAATCTGTTGGTGTTACAAGTGTTGAAGGTGCTGATGCATTGTTGGAAAGACCAATTGAATCAAATAGAGCTGAATGGGAAGACGCATCATTTTTTTATGCATATCTAAATGATATTATAGTCTCTGATACTTTCAGATTTAGAAGTAGGTCTATACTATACTCTGTAGTAGCTCAATATATGCTGATGGTGATTCAGTTCGAAAAGGAATAAATTACGAGATTGAGCTGTGAATTAAGATATCCCGCTAGTACATGTTTCTAGCCTCCTGAAATCTTACAAGGGTGCCAAGTCTGCCAAAATATGCAAGAACTTTGTATCAACACATTTAGTGGATTGTGAGTGTGATGTGAAAGAGGTAGCTGGTGGGAATTACCCTCATTTTGGCATTTGCAATCATTTAAAGTCGCAATTGGCCAAGAACCTCAATTTGATCAAATAGTAAATAGGAAAAACTATTGGGGGCGGGGGTAACACTGATCGATCCCATAATTTTCATTCACAATTTTCATTCACAAATTTGATTATTGCTGCATTTATATTCTCATTTTCAAATTAGTTTTTATTGTTTAATTATGCACATGTATATTAAATTGCTATAATTTGAACTGAAGGTAAATATTCTAATTATTTATTTTTAAAATTCTGACGTTCTTTATTAATACATTCAATTTTATATACTTTTTTCTCCTATAATCCCTACAATTCTGAAATTTAAATATTAAATCCTGCATTTCATATCGTCAACTTCACAACAAATTCCAGATTCCTCTACCCGTTCATATCCAGCTACCCCTACCTCGATCATCCAGAACAGCATCAACAGCACCAAGGACCCCTTCGACATCGACCCCATCAACCTCCAGAACACTGTCGACCCCAACGACCCCATTGACCTCAACATTCAGAAATATGGGTATGTCATTTGGCATTTTATTCATTTTGTATTTAGTTATACATGTAGACAGGATAGCACTTCTTAGTATTCGTTATAGTTGTGCCCTGCACACAAAGTACAAATGTACTGGATTAATGTACGTTTGTGTAGGACATAGCTGCTAACGGATGCTAGAATCTGTTTCCTGATTATATTGAGAAACTGCATTGTGATCACTTACAAAACTATTCAACAACAACAAATCATGAAATACTGCTTATAGCAGTATTTTTTTGGAAACAATTCTGAATGCAGGGTGCCACAAAAAACAAAACACAGTCAATTGATTTGTTTCTTGTATAAGCAACTAACGATATAGCTTTGTGTTTTTGTTTCTACTTTGAAGCCCCTCGAGCTCTCTCAAGTATTGGGAGCTTACATAAATACAAAAAAAAGTATTGGGAGCTTCACATTTCACTTCAATGTTATAATGATGTGAAAGAAAATGCCACTCTTCTTCAAACATTTGTCCTAAAATTGGAAAGAATACAAACTTACTAACTAAGGGTTTTGTGTTGTATGCAGAAAACGCAAATTTTGTATTCTTTCATCCATATTCTACTTCAAACACATTTGTTAGGGCAATATTCTATTTGCAGAAGTGTCCGGGTGTTAATGACATCCTCTTTTACATCATACCATTTAAGTGAGATTGTGCCATCTATTCTTTGGCTAATTTTGGGATCCAACACTTAAGAGGGGCTTTAAACTGTTATCAATCAAGCATCTCAACACTGAGCAAACAGATACTATAAATTGGTTCTTTCTATTGAAGAATATTACTGCCATTTTACCTCAAATGTATATTTCCTTTGTTAAGAAGAGTGTTTGATGCTATTCTAATTAAACAAGACAAAAATAAAAGAAATCCATTCCTTTCTAATTTCCATACGTCTGGGTCATTCGCTCTAAAGTTTGAACGAAGTTATTTTCATGACAAAGTACTTCTATCCATGAAATTTCATCAAAACTAGGGAGGATGTGCCACTCAGGAGTCAGGACTACTTCCCTTGAATGCCGTACTATTTGATTAATATCCGTACTATTTCAAGGTGATGTTTCCATGATCTGCTTTTAAATCTTGTTTGGTTTCTTTCTTCTTCTTTTTTTTGCCGCAGATGTTGAAGCTGTACCATCACAAGCTAGACAAGATTTTGATTCCGACTAACCCATTCTTTAAAGGTCCATTGCCTTAGGAAATTAAAACTTTTATGTCTTGTATCAAGACCCTTTTAAAGCAACATAATAACAATTGTTTCATAAATAAATGCCTCCTTATATTTTTTACAATTTTTTGAAAACCTGTCCAAGTTGCTCGTCTAATGGTGGACCCCGCCCCTTACAATTCTCAGAGTTCCTCGGAATGATTGACCAAAGGATTAGTGATGTTATATCAAGAACGATCTCCGCTTAGGCAAGCTACGGTGCTTGCTAGCCAGCTCTATGCATTATGTTTTGTACACAAACATAAACAATAACTTTTGTTATTAAATAGTGTGCTATGCATCTTTACTTGTTATTTATTGTGGTGAAATTTCACTAATGGCCCAATTTTAAAAAGAGAGCTATACCATGAGTCGAAGAAGGTCGTAATTGATTTGGATGCCTGTATAACGTGTCAACTAAATGCATGCTATAAAGAATTTCAAAGGTAAGAAAAAAATGTTTCATATATCTAAGTGACTGAATGTTTTTCGTACTACCTTCTTCTCAATTTAAAGAAATATTGAAAGTGGTATATCAGAGTGAAGAAACTTGTGTTTTTCCCTTTACAAGCTCTGCTCTTTCTTACTTCACTTTCAAATTTCCTCTCTTGTTATATAAACATTTAGCGATTGCTTTACTTCACACATTCAAGCAATGTATACTATCCCTCCTAAAAAAAACAGTTTGTAGATGTGTTAACAATAGATATGGCGACGAAATGTATCAGCATCTCTGAAATGCCTAAGCATAAAAAATGCTGGCAATTGCTCTGAATTTTATTTTTTATTTTTTATGGAACATTGTTTACATTAATTGCCTAGTTCTTGGTATGCAAATGGTGGACACTTTATTAATTTCTTTATATGTTTGTGCTGTACATATGTAGAGGAATCTTGTCATAAGCAATCGTGTTCGTCTGCCAGAAAGTTTGTTTTGTTTTACTCGGGAAGTTGTGAGGATTGTTTATTATATTCGTACAATGAATTTCAGTATGTTATGTTGTGTTACGTGTAAGCGACAATTCATTTTATAACAGCTCCTATCGTCCTAGCATTCATTGATAGTAGGCCTATATTGTGACACATTGAGATACCTTGAACTTGAAACTATGTTAACATCTTTTTCGAATTCAAACGAAAATACAAAAGAAAGATGTACAATAATTGTATTCGCATTTACAACAGTTTGTTTATTACACAAAAAATAAAGTATGTTTTATCACAAAATCAGTTTATTTTCCTTGTTCTTTTGTTTTGGAGGGAGGGGGATGTATTCAGAGCAAATTCTAAGAAGCAAGATGGTGAACTTTTCATTAAAATGGGACAAATAAGTTGTTATCAAGTTTTGATAGTGATTAAAATGTACAAGATAATAGACATGACGAAATTAAAATAACATGTCCCTCTTGCTTCAATATTGTTATTATACATATCTTCCAGAGGGATCTAAGTCGAGTTCTATAATGAACTTTTCTCAAATTCAGTCTAATTTTGATGGAATTGTTACTATCTTCATTTTGTGGATTTTGCTCTGTTTATTTATTTAATCCAATCTTAAACTACTTGGCTTTTCCTTGTCACGTTGTGATGCATGTGTTTGAATGAATGTACATGTCCGATGTAGTATGATCTCGACGATGTTCTTATGAACGGACGACTGATGTTGGTGTGAATATGTTTTTGAGTTGGTGTTGGTATAATGTCAGAAGGATGTTGGCATGAACTGGAAAGGGGAGGTACAACGTCGGCACATGGTGGGATACGGGTTGGCATAACGTTGCTTCTACGTCGGCAAATGGTGGAGAAGAGGTTGGCATAACGTTGGTCTAGCATTGGCACATGGTGGAGGAGGGGTCGGCACTTGGTGGGAAAAGGGTTGGCATTATGTTAGGACAACGTCGGGGAGACGTCGGCACATAGTGTAAAAGGGGTTGGCATTACGTTGGTCCTACGTCAGGGAGACGTCGGCACATGGTGGAAAAGGGGTTGGCATTACGTTTGTCCTATGTCGGCATATGGTGGGATAGGGGTTGACATGACGTTGGTCATACGTCGGGGGGACGTTGGCCCGATGTTGGCTTAATGTCATTTCGTCGCTGTCGAACCAACGTTGGCCCGCCGGCAAGAAAGCCGTTGGCCCAACATCACATTGGCGACGATGGCGCAACGTAACAGCCCACGACGTCGGCACATGGTGGGATAGGGGTTGGCATAACGTTGGTCCAATGTCGGAACTACGTCGGCACATGGTGGGATAAGGGTTGGAATAACGTTGGCCCTACGTCGTGGAGACGTCGGCACATGGTTGAAAAGGGGTTGGTATAACGTTGGGCCAATGTCGAGGAGACGTCGGCACATGGTGGGATAAGGGTTGGCATAACGTTTATCCAATGTCAGAACAACGTCGGCACATGGTGGGATAGGGGTTGGCATAACGTTGGTCGTACGTCGGCACATGGTTAAAAAAGGGTTGGGACGACGTTGGTCCAATGTCGGAAAGACGTCGGCATACGGTGGAAAAGAGGTTGGCATAACGTTGGTTCAATGTCGGGAGGACATCGGCACATATGGTCGGATAGGGGTCGGCATAACGTTGGCCCGATGTTGGCTTAATGTCATTTTGTCACTGTCGGGCCAACGTTGGCCCGCCGGCAAGAAAGCCGTGGGCCCAACATCATGTTGGCGACGTTGGACCAACGTAACAGCTTACGTTGGCCCCACGTTGGCGTAACGTCGTATTGTTATCTGGGATAACATGGTCATTATCGCAATTCATTAAATACGAGCCATGGGAGGGGGGGGGGGGTATACAACCTGCTATGTTACAATATAAAGTGGCATTCATGTAGCATTATAATAAATATCGTATTTATATGCTGAAAGAAAGAACTAACTTTTATCAATGCGCAAATTTTACGGACCAGCATCCCTAAAGAGCCATCGACCTCCCCGATCTGTATCAATAATAGATAGGGTCTACGGTATTGCAGATGATATGCATCCATCAGTTTGAAGCTACAGCCTATATGTAACTAAAACAGGTTTATACAAAATTGGGGAAAATGCACTCCAGCATGTTAAACAAGTGAAGTTGCATCGATCTTCACAAGATCTTGCGCTTTCAATTTACAAAAGGTCGTGTAACAACACGACCACCCTACATGACCCAATGATTCAAAGTTAGCCTGTTACTACATGAATAGTGCCTCCAGAAGCAGGTCTGACATCCAACATTTCCTCATGGTTTGGTGTACGGAAAATAGTTATTCATTCATTCAAAAATATGCTTTGATATGAGGAGCAACAAGTTTGCTCAAAGATAAAAATAGATATTAATTCTTTAATTCAAACTCTGCTAATGGGGAGCCACTAGATTGCCAAAGGATGAAACCAATATTGATCTTTTGACATGAGAGTTCGGCTAAGAACAAAACACTACATTATTCAAAATCTTTTCAAATCTTTGCTTAACAATGGGCACTTGCTTGCTCAATATTAGAATCAATATTTTACACCTAAGTTTGGATAAGAACAAAATCCTACATATTCATAATCTTGTTAAACACAAAATTATTGCACTGGGTAAAACTACACTATATAAAAGTAAACCATATGTTGAAAAATCCAGTTTATCTACAAAGATTGAAATTAGCTTCATGGTGATATTATCTATATCTATATTATGGTACATACACAAGAACATCATCGAGTATAAGGTATTGCCACAATCTCACAATTTGAAAGACAGGTCATTCACAATTCATAAACTTTACAGGTATTATCTATAGATTCCTCTTTATGTTCACACACAGTTATTGCTGAAGCATCTTCTAGTACAACAAATTCTTAATATACAGAACAGAGTGTGTGGTTTTAACCAGATGCATATAACCATACACAGCAGGCATTAAATATTACAGCTCTAAAATGAATTAATACTATCAGATATGATTGTGTAATGTACTCCTCTAATCCTCTATACAGTGTGAGTCAAAAAAAAAGTTTACACCTAGAAAATTGCTTATTATTTTAGAAATCATCTATGGACAGTACATTATTATACATCTTATGAAAGAGTGTTTTATCCCAAATCATTTGGTATCATGTTCACGGTTGGACGAATATGAGGCATTGTAGAGAGTGCAAAAATCGACTTGCGCCAAAGATGCTTATGTGATATTTGAATAAAACAATTGGGATTTTAGTATTAATTCGGTCTTTGCGGATCCACATAACATTTCTACCAAAATCATGCCACACATATCAAATATCAACGAACATTTGTGCGCGCACGTGTGTGTCTGTGCCATTTGCTTCTGCAAAAAGCATATGCAATGTATTTCATTTGATACATTCAATTCATTCTCTCACTTTAAGCGTGAACATGCATGCCGCTAGACCAACTCACACCTCCCTCATCTTGTGTGGCCCTGCAAAGGGCCGTTGTCTGTTCGATCAGAGCAAGATATGACCCGTCTATTTGGAGGTAGTGTATTTTGTCACTGCTTTGGAACCCTCGCTCACAGCGTGCTTTGCCAGCTCTCTGGGGAAAATAAGGCGGACGGCGGTCTGAATCTCGCGACTGCTGATGGTTGACTTCTTGTTGTGCTGAGCGAGGCGGGAAGATTCGACAGCAATTTGCTCAAAGATGTCGTTCATGAAGCTGTTCATGATGATCATGGCCCGACTGGAGATACTGGTATCCGGATGAACCTGCTTGAGGACTTTGTAGATGTAGATTCCATAATTGTCCTTCCTTTTCCTCTTCTTCTTTCCATCACTGGGCTGAGAGGGCTGAGAGGGCTTGGCAGGCTTGGCAGCCTTGGTCTTTGCGATCCGTCTGTAGTAAGGATGGCTCAGATAGGAGTTAGCTAAGATTGTGCGCTGGTGACCATCCCCTAACACCTATTATACCAAGAGAGAAATATACATTATTCTTTCAGTAGTTTTATTCATTTTCCAATTAAAAATAAAACTAAAACAGTGGAATACAGGATACAAAGCAGCAATTCGAGGGTATCATACAAGGGTACATAAAACGAATTCATATAAAATAAGAATGAGAGGGACCATTATCGATTGTCTCAAGAATTGGCAATTGATAATATGTCTATTATCACTCTAAGTATCTTGTGAGTTTTGCTTTGTATCTTGGATTGATATCTATTTTAGGTTGTACGAAACGGGTTCTTGCGACAATTGCTCCTCAGTCAATTTTCTAACTTCAACCCTGGACCAAACAATACAGCTACATGTATTAACTTAAAACCTAAAACCTTACTTGTACCTAAAAACCTAACCTAAAACCTAATTCCTAAATCCTAAATTGTAACTAGCTAACCCCCAACCATAAAACCTAAAATGTAACCTAAAACTTAAAATGTAACCTAAATCCTTACCTTAAACCTAACCTCAAACCTAACCTCAAACCTAACCTCAAACCTAACATGTCACTTAAAACCCACCCAAACACCTAAAGCCCAACCTGAAACATAACCTAAAACCCAATCGCAACCCTAGCCTAATATCATTAACAAATGAAGCCCTGTGCAATTGTTGGAGGAGGAAACGTGTATGTCTGAACACAATTTCAACCAAAGTCCTGAGAAAGGAATTTTACACTTGTGCATATATAGGTAATTAACCACTGGAACACATTGTAAGTCCTTCCCACAAATACATGTACGGTATGAATTAAAGAAAGGTAATTTATGAATTAAAAAATGCCACTGAACAAACACAAATTATATATAAAATGCAAGTAGTTACAAAAACTTCTCCAATAAAGCACTTACTGAAGTGAAGAATAAAAAAAGTTATGAATTTTGAATTGTAATTGAATAAATTCTATGTCAAATGCACGTAATTCCGTAATCAAAACTTCTCTAAAAAAGACGCAATTAATGATGCAATATCATTTTAGTACTAACAAATGTTGTCTGAAGTTTGCAACATGGGTTCATTCAATCACTTGCTGCACATATACCTTAATACAGAGCTAATGACTAGAGTTTGAAACATGGATTGATTCAACAAACCCCACTATATCATCTTGCTCTATTGTTTGCAAAACATTGTATAATTATATAGATGCTGCTTGTAAGTGTCGGCTTGCATGGTGATGTAGATATACAGTAGGCTTGCTAAGCTAAGAAAGATAACCAACAGTCCTTTTCAGGACTACAAACCCTCAAGAAAGATTACCGAGAGTCCTTTTCAGGACTCCTCAATCCTCCCTCTCTCTCACATGGTGCACCCGCAAGCCTACTGTATATTGTATATATACTTTACCTCAATACAGAGCTGACGCGATTTCAAGAAGTAGTCATAAGCTGAAGAGTAGTTTTTTTTGTCTTCGTAGTAAATACCTATACTGCTAATGATAAGTTCCATGAGTTTGCATTTCTCTCCAAGGGCTTGCTGACACTGTTCAAGGGCTATCTGGTACCACTGAAGAAAAAACACACACACAAAAAAAAAAGGTAACATGGAACTATTGTAGGAGATTGTCACAAATATCTGGGCCCTGTTTCATAAAACTTGTTTTCAATCACAAGTGCCACATTTCTATAACAAATTTGCTCTCCGCCAATCAAATGCATCAATTTCAGTAGCTTATAACAGTTATTGCAACTTGTTATTGATAACAAGTTTTATGAAACAGGGCCCTGATGTGCTGAAAAGACTGATCAAACGGAATTGCACGTCTGGAGAATGACGCTGTTCAACATTACTTTTATCGCATGTCCTGTGATTAAGAATTGACCAATGAGGTTGCAAGAATCTTAGTAGGTGTAAGTTGTATAATACCTATTAGGCACCTTGATGTGGGATGGATATGTGCATAATATAAATACAGCAAAAATTAGCCTCAATATTACTCTTAATTCATTTTCCAATATCCATTTATCATGGTTCAGCTATACATACAATGTCAATCTTACCTCTCTCTGTTCTTTACTGCCATCTCGACAAAGGTGACCCTTGACCATGCTGGCTGCCGCTTCTTTACCGAGGTCTCCAATCTGAAATAACAATAATGGAACATTCCTCATCAGGTACTGTCTTCTCATAGTAAGAATTATATACCTCAATTCCCGTAAAGAAACGTAAAATGCTAATAACGCTTGATAGTCCGAGAGTGAGATCCCTCAAAATTCTGGTTACCATGAAAATAGTAAAATTTTGCTGCGATACCCATTGGTTTACGTGATAAAATTGTCTTTGTGCAAGCGCGCACACCATACAGTGCTTTTTGTCTGCGATTCCCAAATGATCAAAACTTCCTTCCATGAGATGCCGAGTATGCGGCGGATACACCTCAAATGGAAGGCATTCAGTCTCTTGTCGTGTATGGAGTAGGTCGTTCATGTCTCACTCCCGTACAGCAGTGTGCTGAGGACGCAGGCATTGTAAACTGCCATCTTTGTCTTGACAGAGTGTTTGGTGTTACCCCACACCCGTGTGGTGAGGCGAGCGAGTGTTGTTGCTGCCTTTCCTAATCTCTTGTTGAGCTCTGCTTCCAGGGAGAGGTTGCTGCAAACGGTGGACCCAAGGTACGTGAACTGGTTCACAGCTTCCAGCTCGTAGTCATCAATGGTGATGGATGGCATCGCTTCTACACCCTGTCCCAGGACGTTCGTCTTCTTCAGCCCAAAGTCCTTGTAGGCCTTGGAGAAACTGTCCATTAGGGTCTGGAACTCCTGCTCCGTATTGGTTGCGACAGCAGCGTCATCTGCAAATAGCATGTCTCTGATCAGAACCTCCTGTACTTTTGTTTCGGCTTTGAGACGGGCAAGGTTGAACAGGCTGCCATCTGATTGAGTGTGTAGGTAGATCCCCTCTGTTGCTGAGCCGTAGGCATGCTTCAGGAGTATGGCAAAGAAGATCCCAAAGAGAGTCCGAGCAAGGACGCAGCCTTGTTTGACGCCGCTGCGTATGTCAAATGGCTCTGACGTGCTGCCGTTACATTGCACTGTCCCCTTCGTGTCTGTATGGAAGGACTCGATGAGGCTCTGCAGCTTCAGGGGGCATCCTATCTTTGGAAGGATCTTGAATAGGCCCTCTCTGCTGACCAGATCGAATGCCTTGGTAAGATCAATGAAAGCAAGGTACAGGGGCATGTTCTGTTACCTGCAACTCTCTTGAAGCTGGCGAAGGGAGAAAATCATGTCTACCGTTGATCTCTTGGCGCGAAAGCCACAATGGGACTGGGAAGGACACGTATACTAGGCGAACTAGGATGGTACGTGTGTAGACTTTGCCAACTATGCTGAGGAGCGAGATGCCCCTGTAGTTGTTGCAGTCGCTTCGCTCGCCCTTGTTCTTGTAGATGGTGATATAAAATGCCTTCAACACTGGATAGGGACAATCTAAATCAAGAGTGAACATTGTGGCTTAGTGACATGAGAAGAAGAAGACTGTCGATCTTCACAAAGGAGGCTGGTTGCCACTAATGTCTCACAGCTTTTCCTACACTGTGCCTCAGGGGCGAATCCAGCCGGCAGCACGGGTGAGGGCCAAATAGGGTTGAGTTGTTGAGTTGAGTTGAGTATATTGGTTTCACATTTCACATGCAGATATAATACAGATAACAAAATATACATAAAAGACATATTGTTTTATAATTAAAAAAAATGAGTATAGTAATTGACAAGGTACGGTAACCAGACTACAAAGTTCAATGTCATCACATTTGTTTGACAACTAATATCATTTAAAGGAAACCCAGACAATAGGGGGCCCAAAAATATTTAGTGCTGACTCATTCTATGGGATGTTATTGTTGTAATTGCCATGTTTACCTCTTTGAACATCTGAATGGACCTTTCTACGTGTTTCTTAGGTTCATCATCAGCTTCAGCTGGAGAGAGCGTATCATCTCCTCCTCTACACTCTATCCAAGTATACAGGGCGAAAGCAAGCCGCATCAGCACGTGTGCTAACTTGAACTGAGGAAAAAAAAGAAATTGACTTTATACAAACAAGATACATCATGTAAAGATACTTGGAGTTTAATACTTTGTTTTGCTTGGGGTTCCATATTGGTCTCTGACATAAATGATAATGAAACTAATATTAATAACTAATGTCCTTTGGCAAGACATTAAAGGGAGTGTAGCTTGGCAAATACTGGTTAACGCCATCTACGTCTTCTTTTGAAGAACTGCACGTAAACGAATGGACTTGACTAACGGTAGTCAGCGACTTAATCTCTACATGATCAGCGTTCGTGAAACAGACCAAAGTTCTCCGCAAGCTTCGGTTTTGCGTATGTTGTACATATGTGATTGCTGCGGTCGTATTATACCTGATTGGCCCAAGTCAGGCTACGGGAAAGACACATAGTCTCGTGAAGCTACACTCCATTTAATCTACATTTGTGACTCTCCACCCAGGTGAAGTAAATGGGTACCCGGTAGGAAAATTCCATGAGTGCTTTAGCGCCTTATTATGACGGCTGATTTTTTAATTGTCCTGGACAAATACAGGTAATATTTACATCTGCAGTATTTGCTTGAGTTTGAACTGCTTGTTTCATGAATCACACACATTCAATTTTAATTCGTAGCAGTAATTGTGTGTACAGTGTGTGACTACCTTTCAGTAGAGCGATAAAAATATTAACTTTTTGCACAAATTGTGCCCAGGATTGTTGAATTCAATATCCAGTGTCATTTGACATCAGAAATATGAAAGGAGGATAGGAATTTAAAAATCTTCATATTGGCACCATGTTGAAATATCTATTTATTGAAATGTCTTAAGTGAATAACGATTATGTAAACTGGGATTATTGACCTATACAATAGACTGCATATATTGTACGTACCTTGTGAGAGGGTCCTTCTAACGTTTCTCTGATTGCAACAGACTTCCTGTAGTAGTCGATGGTAGGTCTCAAGTAGGAGATCTGTTCTAACTTGATGTAAGTACCGGTACTATTATGGAGATTGCGAATCTGTCAGAATAAGCCAGTTGAAATGAATTATGGTGACTATACTTTTAAATGATTCCAATTCTGTCTTTAGAGGGACTTACCGGTATAGTAACATTGTTAAGATGAGAGAAAATAGTGCTGAGGTAGTGACTTCAATGCTAGATGTACAATTAAAGATAATCTGAAAGTTTGAGTGAAAATAGACCATTATTTGAAGGAGGCGAGTTGGCTCAGTCGGTAAAGCGTCAGGCTGTCGAACCAAAGATCCCAAGTTCGACTACCACCCAGGCGGATGACTGAAGTCTGCGTTGTGTGTTAACGTGCCCCTTCCCTTGTTCATAGACACAGGTTATGTCAAGTGGAAAACACTTCGTCCCTCGGATAGGATGTTGAATGGAGGCCCTGTGTACAGGAGACTCACCACCCTTGCACGTAAGAACCCATTACACAATTCGTATAAGAGTAGGGGGAACCCCGATGTAATGGTCCACCTGCACACCCCAATCAGGCCGAGTATACGGCATCTGCAAGAATCTTCAGTATTGTAGGAGGCAGATTATCTTGAAGAAGAGAAGAAGAAGATTTATGACACAAATTGGGGAAAAATTATCTGATCGATTCCTTCATTCTCCCAACTATATTATTACAATTATTTACATTTTAGGTGAATGTACAACGTCTCAAAGCATCCTCATGAATTGGCTCTATATACCATTTAAGTGTTGAAAGATTTTTAAAAGCCTGTCTTATGTCTTGTTTTCATGGAAACCGGTTGGCAAAGTCCAAAAATGGTTGGTAGAATTTACTGCTAGAGGGTGTTGCACAGTGACGCCTTCAAAGAAAACCGTAAATATCTTTGTGGTTTGAGAAATTTTTGCATGTTAACTAGAGGGTTAGTACAGTGGAAGGAATATAATACCGGTAAGTAACATTTAATACAAAAATTACACAGTTTTTTCCATCAACCTTCAACAATATTACTGAGTCACTTTAAAAACTTCTCAACATGAATCTCATTGGCTATCTATATAGCTGCATGTAAATGAATGTGCAAACCATCATGTAGTCCTCGATCATGTTACTCTAGGGTTCATTTTCATTTTTTTCTTCATGGAAACTATATACAGTCAAACCTCTCTTAGTGGCCACCTCTCTATAAAGACAGCATGCCCCCCCCCCCCCGAATATAGTTTCTTGTTGAAACCTGTACTAAAGAAATCTGTACATATATAAACACCACCTGCTTATAAAGACCACTTTTCATTTTTCCCTTGGGTGGACTTTATTTTCACTGTACTACATGAGTAAAGTGATAACACAGTGACATGTACGTCAATGGCCTGAAATGTATGGAGTAAATACACAAAGAAAATGGATTTTCAATAATTAAACATGATCATGAAAACTTGCCAAGTTCAAGAATGGAATATTTATTTTTTATTTTAAAGGTAAAGACCAGTTTTGGAAACGTACCCCTCCCAAAAAATGAAATGGAAGCTCATACTACCAATCATGTGAAAGAATATGTTTTGACTAATACGTAATGATACAAATTTTCAAGGGAAACCGCCTACCGTACTAATTGACATGTTTGGCAAATTATTATATCTATTTGGAGCTGATAAATATGGCCCACGTGTCGCATAGTCCCATATACATATTTCTGTGTATAGTGCTTGTAAATTTACCAAGACTAGACCAAATTTGCAGTACACACCAATACTTATATGCTAGATGATCAACCTTTTCTGATCGATTCCACCCTTCTTTCACAATGCAATCGCATGACCAGAACTGATCTTTACCTTTAAAGTAAATCTCAGAGCTACATTACCTCATCAGAGAGATTCGCACTCAACTCATAAAGCTTCACTAGTCTCTCTGGTTCAGAACCCAGTTCCTCAGTCTCTATTGCAAGAACTTTATCAACAACGCCCTTGGCTGCTTCGAACTGGTCTGCCTGTGTGCTGTATGAAATAAGACGGTAAAATATTCATGTCTTAAAGGTATATACCAGTTTTGGAACACCCCCCCCCCCCCCTGTTCTCAAAAAATGAAATGGAAGATGTTATTACCAATCATGTGAAAGAATATTAAGTAAATTATTATATCTATCTGGACTGGATAGATATATTAAGTAAATTATTATATCTATCTGGAGTGGATAGATATATTAAGTAAATTATTATATCTATCTGGACTGGATATATATCGCGTAGTCCCATATACATCTTTCTGTGTATACAGTGCTTATAACTTTACCAAGACTGCATGGGCCAAAATTCTTATCATTTTGATGATTCCAGAACCTTGCAGTACACACCAATATTTATATGCTAACTTTTCTGATCGATTCCACGTTTCTATCACAATGCAATGACCAGAACTGGTCTATACCTTTAATGCCAAATTTGAGATTCATGGCCATGTTATCGGCGTCTGTGATATGGTGTAATTGACACGCTAACAAAAATTGCGCTTCAAAATGATTATGAAGTGCCGCAAAAAAGTAAAAACTTTTGAGTGACCGGTCTTACCATACTCATTTTCCCCATAAGACTGTAGTGTTATAAAAAATCGTTGGGAAAACAGTTTTAACTAGATGGAATTTTGACTGCGCGCAGTCGAAAATGATGCCTCCGCCATAGAGCAATTTAAACAAGTTTGGAGTTTAAATCTCCAGTGGTTCTTGAGATATCATGATATCAATCTCAATGTATGGAATTTCATAAGTTGACCTCTGTGACCCTTGACCTTTGACCTACGTGCTCCAAAATCTAATCAGATTGTCTTCCTATGGTGATACACACTATCATTAAGTTTGAAGTTTAAATCTCCAGTGGTTCTTGAGATATTATGATAACAATCTCAATGTATGGAATTTCATAAGTTGACCTCTGTGACCCTTGACCTTTGACCTACGTGCTCCAAAATCTAATCAGATCGTCTTCCTATGGTGATACATACTATCCTTAAGTTTGAAGTTTTTACATCTCCAGTGGTTCTTGAGATATCATGATAACAATCTCAATGTATGGAATTTCATAAGTTGACCTCTATGACCCTTGACCTTTGACCTACGTGCTCCAAAATGTAGTCAGATTGTTTTCCTATAGTGATACACACTATCACTAAGTTTGAAGTTTAAATCTCCAGTGGTTCTTGAGATATCATGATAACAATCTCAATGTACGGAATTTCATAAATTGACCTCTGTGACCCTTGACCTTTGACATACGTGCTCCAAAATCTAATCAGATCGTCTTCCTATGGTGATACATACTATCCTTAAGTTTGAAGTTTAAATCTCAAATGGTTCGTGAGATATCATGCTAACAAACTCAATACAAGGAATTTCATAAGTTGACCTCTGTGACCTGTGACCTTTGACCTACGTACTCCAAAATCTAATCAGATCGTCTTCCTATGGTGATAAATACTATTCCCGAGTCTTAAGTTTAAATCTTAAATGGTTCTTGAGATATTGTGATAACGGTCAAACGGGACGGACGTACGGACGGACAACCCGAAAACATGATGCCTCCGGCACCACCTTCGGTGGCGGAGGCATAAAAATATATTTTCCTCCAAAATGCTGAACCACCCCGGACCTTCTAATTTCGGCCCGAAAGTTGTGATAATTCAAATTTTTACAATATTTGCCCCTACGCCCCTTTCAAAGGGATATGTGGGGGTCAAGATCCATCTAATGGCATGTATGTACATTCATTGTGGGGAAACTAGCCTATTAAAAAAAATATATATTTTCCTCCAAAATGCTGAACCACCCCGGCCCTTACAATTTCGGCACGAAAATTGTGATAATTCAAATTTTTACAATATTTGCCCGTTCGCCCCTTTCAAAGGGATATGGGGGTCAGGATCCATCTAATGGCATGTATGTACATTCATTGTGGGGAAACTAGCCTATTAAAAAAATATAATATTTTCCTCCAAAATGCTGAACCACCCCGGCCCTAACCATTTCGGCCTGAAATTGGTGTTTATTCAAATTATCACAATATTTGCCCCTACGCCCCTTTCAAAGGGATATGGGGGTCAGGATCCATCTAATGGCATGTATGTACATTCATTGTGGGGTAACTAGCCTAATCAAAAAATATAATTTTTTCCTTCAAAATGCTGAACCACCCCGGCCCTTACAATTTTGGCCCGAAAGTTGTGATAATTCAAATTTTTAGAATATTTGCCACTACGCCCCTTTCAAAGGGATATGGGGGTCAGAATCGATTTAATTGCATGTAGGTACATTCATTGTGGGGAAACTAGCCTATTAAAAAAAATATATATTTTCCTCCAAAATCCTGAACCACCCCGGCCCTTACCATTTCGGCCTGAAATTGGTGTTTATTCAAATTATCACAATATTTGCCCCTACGCCCCTTTCAAAGGGATTAGGGGCAGGATCCATCTAATGGCATGTATGTACATTCATTGTGGGGAAACTAACCTATTAAAAAAAATAATATTTTCCTCCAAAATGCTGAACCACCCCGGCCCTTACAATTTCAGCACGAAAGTTGTGATAATTCAAATTATAACAATATTTGCCCCTACGCCCCTTTCAAAGGAATATGGGGGTCAAGATCCATCTAATGGCATGTATGGACATTCATTGTGTGGAAACTAATATATTAAAAAAATATAATATTTTCCTCCAAAATGCTGAACCACCCCGGACCTTCTAATTTCGGCCAGAAAGTTGTGATAATTCAAATTTTTACAATATTTGCCCCTATGCCCCTTTCAAAGGGATATGGGGGTCAGGATCCATCTAATGGCATTTATGTACATTCATTGTGGGGAAACTAGCCTATTCAAAAAATATAATATTTTCCTCCAAAATGCTGAACCACCCCGGCCCTTACCATTTCGGCCTGAAATTGGTGTTTATTCAAATTATCACAATATTTGCCCCTACGCCCCTTTCAAAGGGATATGGGGGTCAGGATCATCTAATGGCATGTATGGACATTCATTGTGGGGAAACTAACCTATTAAAAAAAATATGTATTTTCCTCCAAAATCCTGAACCACCCCGGCACTTACCATTTCGGCCTGAAATTGGTGTTTATTCAAATTATCACAATATTTGCTCCTACGCCCCTTTCAAAGGGATATGGGGGTCAGGATTCATCTAATGGCATGTATGTACATTCATTGTGGGGTAACTAGCCTAATCAAAAAATATAATTTTTTCCTTCAAAATGCTGAACCACCCCGGCCCTTACAATTTTGGCCCGAAAGTTGTGATAATTCAAATTTTTAGAATATTTGCCACTACGCCCCTTTCAAAGGGATATGGGGGTCAGAATCGATTTAATTGCATGTAGGTACATTGATTGTGGGGAAACTAGCCTATTAAAAAAATATATATTTTCCTCCAAAATCCTGAACCACCCCGGCCCTTACCATTTCGGCCTGAAATTGGTGTTTATTCAAATTATCACAATATTTGCCCCTACGCCCCTTTCAAAGGGATATGGGGGTCAGGATCCATCTAATGGCATGTATGTACATTCATTGTGGGGAAACTAACCTATTCAAAAAAAATAATATTTTCCTCCAAAATGCTGAACCACACCCGGCCCTTACAATTTCGGCACGAAAGTTGTGATAATTCAAATTATCACAATATTTGCCCCTACGCCCCTTTCAAAGGAATATGGGGGTCAAGATCCATCTAATGGCATGTATGGACATTCATTGTGGGGAAACTAGCCTATTAAAAAAAATATGTATTTTCCTCCAAAATCCTGAACCACCCCGGCACTTACCATTTCGGCCTGAAATTGGTGTTTATTCAAATTATCACAATATTTGCTCCTACGACCCTTTCAAAGGGATATGGGGGTCAGGATTCATCTAATGGCATGTATGTACATTCATTGTGGGGTAACTAGCCTAATCAAAAAATATAATTTTTTCCTTCAAAATGCTGAACCACCCCGGCCCTTACAATTTGGCCCGAAAGTTGTGATAATTCAAATTTTTAGAATATTTGCCACTACGCCCCTTTCAAAGGGATATGGGGGTCAGAATCGATTTAATTGCATGTAGGTACATTCATTGTGGGGAAACTAGCCTATTAAAAAAAATATATATTTTCCTCCAAAATCCTGAACCACCCCGGCCCTTACCATTTCGGCCTGAAATTGGTGTTTATTCAAATTATCACAATATTTGCCCCTACGCCCCTTTCAAAGGGATATGGGGGTCAGGATCCATCTAATGGCATGTATGTACATTCATTGTGGGGAAACTAACCTATTCAAAAAAAATAATATTTTCCTCCAAAATGCTGAACCACCCCGGCCCTTACAATTTCGGCACGAAAGTTGTGATAATTCAAATTATCACAATATTTGCCCCTACGCCCCTTTCAAAGGAATATGGGGGTCAAGATCCATCTAATGGCATGTATGGACATTCATTGTGGGGAAACTAACCTATTAAAAAAAATATAATATTTTCCTCCAAAATGCTGAACCACCCCGGACCTTCTAATTTCGGCCTGAAAGTTGTGATAATTCAAATTTTTACAATATTTGCCCCTATGCCCCTTTCAAAGGGATATGGGGGTCAGGATCCATCTAATGGCATGTATGTACATTCATTGTGGGGAAACTAGCCTATTAAAAAAATATAATATTTTCCTCCAAAATGCTGAACCACCCCGGCCCTTACCATTTCGGCCTGAAATTGGTGTTTATTCAAATTATCACAATATTTGCCCCTACGCCCCTTTCAAAGGGATATTGGGGTCAAGATCCATCTAATGCATGTATGTACATTCATTGTGAAGAAACTAACCATTCAAAAGATATAATATTTTCCTCCAAAATGCTGAACCACCCCGGCCCTTACCATTTCGGCCTGAAATTGGTGTTTATTCAAATTATCACAATATTTCCCCTACGCCCCTTTCAAAGGAATATGGGGGTCAAGATCCATCTAATGGCATGTATGGACATTCATTGTGTGGAAACTAATATA